GGGACAAGTATGGCCCGAATATGAAATACCAAGACAACAACAGGGAAAATACCGTGTGTGTCAGTTGTTAGAAGAGCTGCTGGACATTGTGTAATGTAATCGTACAATATGGTTGTGAAAATGAGAAATGTGTGTAATGTAATCGTACAATATGGTTGTGAAAATGAGAATTCTTAATACTCAGTACCTAAATATCTAGTCACTTTGTTTACAAACATTGTAATGCTATATCACATAATATTTGCTATGCACACTGTGTAAAGGTTAAATTGTATGATGTTTTTGAATATTGCATTTTGGAATGTACATGGTGTGAGTGACCATAAGTTAGATGATGATTATTTTAGTAGTCTAAGTAGCAAGTATGAAGTAGTATGTTTAGTAGAAACTATGTTAAAAGACTCTCCAAAAAACCTTTCAGGTAATTCACCACTATATTTTGTCAAGTCTAAAAAAACCAAAAAAGGGGAAGGCCCTCTGGAGGAATGCTAATCTTTATTAAACCTACTTTACAGAAATTCTTCTAAAAAATTTATGAAAATGACTATGGTGTGTGGTTCGAAACAAGCTTACTTTCATATTCAAACAAAAACACCACTGGTTATATATGTTTTTGTTATGTAAAACCATATGTGAACAAACATACTTCTGAATCTATCTTTTTCAATCTAGAAAATGATATCTCAAAATTCAGAGAAAAAGGTGAAATTTTTATTTGTGGCGACTTTAATTCTAGAACAGGGGGGCTTCATGATTCCATTGATCATGATACAATAACAGACACTTTTCAAGAGTGTCTACTACCAGAAATATACCGTATAACGGGTATTTTCTGCGGTTGGAAATTTTTGCGATTTAACCCCTAAAAGATAGCAAATTAATTTCTGTGTTTTCAATTTCTGCGGTTGCATTATACCGCAAAAAATTATTTACTGGGTATGATCACCAAACTCTAGGAATTATCAGATAGCTGTCATGTTTCGTTTTATACATTCATTGAGACAAATTGATCAAAATTGGACAACCGCAGAAAATACCAGTTATACGGTATGTATCAGATGTAGCTGAACATAGATGTCAACTAGACACCATATCTAATCTACATGGTCATTTACTTATAGATATATGTAAAACCTTTAGACTGTCTTTGTTAAATGGAAGGTTTCTTGGAGACTCGTTAGGTTATTTTACATTTTTTAATTCAAATGGTTCAAGCACTGTTGACTACATGTTGGTATCAGGGCAACTTTTTCATAATATCAGGTAATTTAATGATTTAATGTACTACCACCAACTAAACTATCAGATCACTCCCTTATCAGTACTTCTATTGAGATTAATTACAACTCTTTATACAGAGAAATATAAAAATATAAAATCACTCCAAGCCCGGGAAAATACTTATGGAATAATGAATCAAAAGCCTACTACTTAAATGCACTCTTAGATAATGTGGCAGAAAAACAAATTTCCAACCTAAATGAGTTAGTTGATTCAACAAATGTAGACACCAACATTTTTATGGATAGGTTAACAAATATATATATTACTGCAGCAAATAAGTCCATTATCTTTCGAAAAAGTCAAATTCCTTCCAAAAGGAAATGTAAAGGAAAAACCCAAATGGGTAAATAAAGATTGCTTACTATTACGCAAAGAAGTACGGAAGTTAGGACAAAAAATTACAAAAAATCCTAATAATTGTGCATTAAAACAGGCTTATGTCACTGCAAAGAGAACATAAAATAGATTGACAAAAACCCTTCGAACACAATTTTATAACTCATTAGCTAACGAAATTAATTATTCAAATCCTAATAATTCCAAAAAAATTTGGAACAGACTTTAAAAATCTGAAAGTGTAGATGCTACAACAATTAGCACATCCGAATTTGTTGATCATTACAAATCCTTACTAAATATGCATAATCCCTCAAAGGAGAGATTTGAACAAAAAATAGATAATCAATCCTTACAACAGAATAACCCTTTAGACTATCCTTGTACTATTAAGGCCCTTTCACAATTGGCGCACTGTACAACACTTTGTGATCAGAATTTTTTAGCTTCGCATGAGCTCTCGCAAACGTTGCACGATGTCTCGCATTCGTTGCATGCGTTTTAGCGGTCGCATCAAGTCTCCTCAAAATAGTGGACATGCACACTATTCAGACGCGACCAAATGCGATCCAAATTATCGCAATGCAACGCACGAACATTAGTGCGAACGTTTTACAATGTTTTGTGTACTTGTAAGAGTGATGCACGATTTTTAAAGGTCGTAAGATGAATCGCAGCAGTGTTTTGCGACCATGAGACTGTTGCTCAACGTGTCTCATGTAATCTTGCGACGTTTTACTTTCATTGCACGATTTATCAGCTTCAATTTGCCATGCAAATATTATATGTATACACCATATATATTATATTTATACACCAATACGATATCAAACCGCCGAAACACTTTGCTGTCATAATAATACAGTCAATAATTAATTAGCACATTCTAAACGATAAAAATATTAGAGGAAATAAGAAAAATCACAGCACTGTGTCGGGTTCTCTAAATTTAGAATTGCGTGGCTGATGTGTGTTGCCTAAATGCACTCGAACGAGCATTGGTACCATGGAACGCATGATCGCACGAGCGCCGCACGTCCAATCGCATAGGCGCACGTTCAATCGTCCGATCACCTGATCACTCGCGCGATCCTATCGCATTATCTTACAACACTCGCTTTCATTGTATATCAGTCGCATATAGACGCAAGATATATCGCAAGATTTAATGCGTTTGCATCGCACAACGGTAGCTTTAGATCTTGCGAATTTCGTACGAACACTTTTTCATGTGCGATTATTTCGGTAACAGTTTACGATCCAAATCAATTTTTTCCGGTCGCACGAATATTTTGTCGCGTCTGCTTGTGCGCCAATTGTGGTATCGCTAAAATAAAAAATGTGCAGGTAATGATTTGATTCTAAATGAATTTATCAAAACACACTGTTAATCACATGTTTTTTGCTGATGACTTAGTATTAATTTCTGAATCTCCATCTGGACTTCAACATTGTCTGAATGCTTTGGAAAAAATTGTACAGATTGGCAGTTACAAGTTAATATGGAAAAAACCAATGCAATGATTTTCTCCAGGAAAGCATCAGTGAATGATATGTATGGATTTTATTTTAAGCATAACATTATACCTATAACAGACTAATATAAATATTTAGGACTTGTGTTTACATCAAATGGAAAACTAAAGTTTGCTTCTGAGCAACTTTCAGAACGTGCTAAAAAGGCATATTATGCACTGAAATCAATTATACCTGGAAATAACAATCTTTCAGTTCAAGTGTTACTTAAACTATACAATTCAATGATTGTTCCAATTATAACATATGGATCTGAAATATGGATCACAGACTATAAATTAGATATTAAATCTTCAAAATGTTTTCCATTTGAAAAAAATCAAAATCATATTCTCAAAGATATTCTAGGTGTACATAGAAAAGCATCAAATTTAGCAGTCAATGCTGAACTAGGTTCTTATCCACTTTACTATTCATGTTATGAAAACATGTTTAAATATTATATCAGATTAAGAAATATGGAATCAAATACCACATATAATAATGCACTTTTAGTATCAGCTTTCAAAGAGGACAAAGAGTTGACTCTGAAAAAGGGTTATACGTCATGGCAAAGCAAGATTTTCAATCTTCAACAAAAACTAAACTTCGCTTCTTTAAATATTGCCCATAAGGATTTGAGGTTTAAGTTAAAATAAAACTTTTGTTGATATGACCTTTGAACAATTGAGCAAAATCTCATCTTCTAACTCAGGAAAACTTTATTTTAATAGTAAAATCTTAAACTGCACTGATTATAAATTGCAGGATTACTTAAAGTTTCCTTTAAAAAAGCATGAAAGATCACAGCTAACAAAATTAAGAATCAGTGCACATTCACTATTCATTGAAACAGGTAGATACTGTCAACCAATAATCCCTAGGGAAAAACGTTTATGCTATGCTTGTAAATTATTGGTTGAAAATGAAAAAAAAAAACATTTTGTACTTTACTGTCCTGTGTATGACAATGTTCGATTTCAATATTGTGGTATTTTTGATGATAAAATATACTGTGGTACTGATCCCATTAAAGAAATTGTTAACCCATGTGATTATAATACTACAAACGTTTATGTATCTACTTAGATAAATGCTTTATGCAGAGGAAACAATCCCAAGGTCTATAAAGAACTGTGTAAGATTGAATTGCATGCAATTATGTTATAATATTCTTCTCTTTTTTTCTGTCATCTGTCATTTGATTTCTTTATTTTGACTATATGCCAACATGGTGATGTCAATAAACTGAATTGAGTTGAATTGAATAAACATTTACGTTTCGCCGCTGGCAACCATGTATAGGCATGCACTTTTTGATACTTCGGCTCATTCCGGCGCGCCCCAGCCCCCAGGTCGGCTTCAGACTCAGTTAAAAGACTAAATTGATCAAGGCAGTGAGAATAAAATGATCCTTTTGAATAAGGCTTTTTCTCTTTCTTTTATTGATCTGTATTATTATTAAAGATTAATTGTACAGTTTTGTTAATGTTGATTAATGTATTGTTATGGCGTACATCGAATCAGGAATGAATGGCAATTAAACATTAAAAAATAAAAAGAATTTTGTATGATAGGCCCCAACTGCTTCTTACAAACAACCGTAACGTTTATTTCTGTTTATGTGCATGGTGAGTGTGTTGTATACAAATAACAGACCTCTTAGAAATATTCTCTTTTTTTGCGATGGGATGCTCCGTTTGCGGTTCCCTTGTTAAATCTTCATTCTGAAATCTTCAAGCTGAAATTGAGGATTTTTTAATTTATTTCTTTTATAACTTACATTACATTTGTAATATATCAAACAGACCTTATTACTTTTATCAAAATGCAGCATTGCAAGAAAAACAAGTACAAACGACATAAACATTTAGGAATTACCTTTTAATGTGAAATCTCAATATTAAACATTAATAAAGCATTGAATGGTTATCGTTTGCACATCAAAGTTCAATAAATCACTGAAGCAAATTGTTAAGGTATCTAGATTTTACTGAATGTGCCATCTACAAAAATTGGGAATTTTTCAATTTAAATGAATATGACAATTGTCATAATTCATAACAAGACTTTTATTTTAAAATAAATTTAGATAAGTATGTGATAAAACCGTTCACTAAAACTTATTTGTACTTGATTAAGTAATGTGGATAATATTGATTCTTATCAAATACACAGACGATTCTGGGATTATCCAGATTATCTACACAGGAGTCATAAAGTTCAGAATCTTCTCTGCTAGGATCAACAGATGGAGGCCTTTTATACTTTTGATCTCCAGGACACCATTTTCCACACAGAACTTTGGCAAGAAACATGTACTTATTTCTCTGCTCATCTGGTGATGCATACAAATCAGAATATTTGGCGTCCATGGCAAAATATGCACCTTGTCCTAGCAAAGCCCCAATTCTACCACCTGCCAGACGGAAGTCAAAGTTGTCCTTGCAGATGACATTTACTTTGTTTGGTAAAGTACCGTGAAATAGGTCCAATTCATTGGAACATCCAATACCCCCATATTTACTTTCGAGATGTCTACGCGTCCTTAATAAAAATAAAAGTGATTAAGGCAAACTTGAGAACATATGCGAAATATATGGCCATATAAAAGAAAAAAATTAAATGCAATTATTTATGTACAGTTAGAACTTGTATCTGAATTTATACAAGAAGTTAATAGGCCACAAGGCTAACCTAAGATAAAAATAAATGTGTACATGAACCAAAATCCCTTATTGTAGCCATCGTAGGCTGATTTCTGCATTAGGCGAAAACTGAAATGTTTAAGAGATGAAAATAATTGAGTAAATCTTATGATTTTCTGTTTTTAACAGATTCGAGAAAAATTGGTCCGGTGTTTGGCACGCTGAACATTTTGGTGTGCAGAGGGAAGAGTAATTATAGGCTGTTAAGATAGTGTCTAGATAACTGCTTTATAAGACTTGAAAAGAAATTCTCTCAAAATTTGTTTTTAATCAATACTGCCTGATGATAGTTGTGCATTTTAGTGGACATCAGTTAATGGACAATGCAACCTTTGACCTTACCAGAAAAAAGAAAGCGTTGAACATACAACAGCATTGTTAATGCTTAAATATGTACTGAATGTAACATATCACCTACAACATGTATGATGTACATATTAGTTAAGATCAATTCATATAGTTTATTGTTAGTAAGATGCCCATTTAAAGGAGTATTTTGTTATCGATATCTATAATTATTTAACGTATATCTATATATTCCCGGCAAGCAGTCTTTTGTTTACAGACTGCAATCAGTAGTATGACATCAGATTCTGAGATTCCAAATACGTTCAGTAAGAATATAGACTGTGCAGGAAAAATAGTAATACACTGTTGTGCAAAGTCCGATATATTCATAAATTGATATTCAAATTTTAAGAAAAAGATCATGTAAAGTATTCATTACTGACTTACAATTGGTAACATTCCCAGTATAACATATTTTGGACTCTGTCTATTTGCAAAATCTTGACCTGTCCTAATGTTTTTTTAAACTTCTGTGCAACCATTTCATATTCCTTCTGTACCATACCGCCAGCATCAGGAAAGAGAGGAACTCTTTTGAAAGCGTCTGAGTGCCCCATGTTCTCCCAGTCCAGAGGAATTCCAATGCCTCTCTTTGTTGTAGCAAGTGTAGCAGTATTAGCACTTTTAGCTAATCTGATAAATTTAATATAACATCTTGTTTAAAAAAAAAACATTAGTATTTAATGCAATCTTTTTTTAAGGATTTTTATAACCAGATTCATTATATCTATAGACCTACATCTTTGGTCCTTCTTTTTGATCGATATAGAATTTTAAAAAAAAAAAATATTTTCCTTCAGCAATATCGAGACTCCCTTCAAAGAAAATTTTCTGTTTCCACTTTTCTCTATATTCAAATGCTTTATATTTGAACTATTAATCTCCTCTTTGATCTAATTTAATTAATTTAAAGCAATATGAGCTGCGTTTTTGGTATTTTATTTTGTTGTTTAAAAAATGTCCTGTTGTGATAAATCTCTGTGTTATTTAAACATTTATGATCAATTAGACTAAAATAAAATTTTCACTTTGTTCAGAAGAAAGATTTCTGTACAATGGAATGTATAGTATTATACGAGTTTAAGAAATCAATATTGTACAGGATGACAATAATGTGTTTTGCTTTAATCAAAGCTTATAAATAGTTCTTTCATCGTTCATCGCAAATATGAACAACAGAAGTTTATAAATGTTTTTTTTTCTGTCATTGAAATAGTTAATTACAATACAAAAATTTCCAACATCAAAGTTGCAGCTCATATTGCTTTAACTTAATCACCTGCATTTAGATTTTATGTCTACCAACTTATTAGATACTCAAGAGCATGCTCTGAGTACGATCATATTTTATAAATCAAGGCAGTCTACTAATAAACAAGTTGATATTACAGTGATTTAACCTCCTTATTTAAAATCATATTTCGTAAATTCCATGGTTCGTTATAGTTGAGTGACATTTCATACCAATTTGACTAAGGATAATTCTGTCTCCCTGGTCAATACAAATGACCGATTGACAATGAATGCTACCTACTCCTAGACACCTGATTCCACCTCTGCAATTTGTAGAGATCCGTGTTTTAGACCCTGTTCATAGATTTGTATTGTTTGTAGGTTTTTTTTAAAATCACTGTTCATTATCGTCGCCTTTTTAATTTAAAAGAAATCCAAGCTACTTACCTAATCATGAACTGTTTGGTACTTTCATCTTCAGCCAAGTCCAGTGGGGATTTCTTCTCCTTGTTTTTAATGTAAATATCTGCCTTGGCTTCAAGTAAGGTACATAATATTTCAGTGCCAACGTTTATTTCGCCTTCTTGCTTTGTTTTCAAAAGCTACAAAATAAACAAATAAGAGAACTAACATCAGAGCAAAATTCTTTCATCACGATTTCTTCTTGAAAGTATACATGTAAGAGATAAAAAGATTTGGGGGTTATAACTCAAGGATCTACAATACAATTCTTTGCACTAAGTCAAAAATCCCCAATACCTATAAAAGTAGGAAGAAATCAAATCCCTCAACAATGTCAAGGTTTTTTGATATCATTCCTCTACACAAACCATTGACTAAAGTCGCTATTCAAAAGTCGGGCTAGAAAGCTTCTATTTCATTTGTTCCAGTTCTAGAAGTGGAACCAATCAGAAAAGAGCCTTTATTGTCGGTAAGTTTTGTAATCAAATATGACTTGTCTTTAAAATGGAAAGTGACAATATTGTTGGATTCGTGACGAGTTACCTCAAATAGAATATATGAAATTAATTTTTGAAATATCCTTCTTAAAATCACAAAAGATGTGCTATGGCTTTCAACCACATGAAAACGACAGCTTTGAAAGATATATTTTCCTTAGTTGGTTTATAATTAACCATCATATGTAACCACAAGCCCAACTTTTAAATAGCGACTTTGTCAAGCCTTAGGGGTTGTGAATAGGAACGGTATCACAAAAACTTGATATTGTGCAGATGATGCTATCCATGTTCAAAATTTCAAATAATGAAGGGGCGAAGAAGCATATGCATGTATATTTCTCTTCATGTTACCAATTCCTAAGTAAAATAGAAATCATTAGTTTTCACTCCATACCATGGGAAAGTAGTTCTTCATCTGGGCTACATGTAGAGCTGTGTTGCCATTTTTGTCCTGTGCATTGACATCGCAACCTATAACGACATTCAAATCAGTAAAGGAACAAAAAATATCTTGAAAATGTCACATTTCTCAAATGTACATGTATGTCAGTAATCTAATTTTATTAACTTACCATCCCTTCTCTTATACAATGATTAAGTATACAGATTCTTTTGACTTTTTTTTCATCTTTTCTAATACATGTATTAAACATATTTGGGTTTCTGAAATTTAGCATTTTGAATAAAACATGAGGACAGTAGAACTCTTGATTTGCATTGTCAAAGTAACATACATATGTATATCATAGGAGTATGTAACTTTAAAATGGTTAAACGACAAATAAGTTCCATATCTCTTGCAAGTAGATTTAAATAGATAGTCTACTGGATTCCGGTCTATAGATTTGTCATTTTTCTCCAGTATAAACTTTACATGTATCTGTTACTCACAAGCTGCTATTAGAACCTCTGTTGTTCTTTTATGACCTTGTGCTACACTGATTATCAAAGGTGTTCTCTTGTCTTTGTCTCTGGCATTCACATCACAATGACCCTATGAAAGATGATTCACAGTGCAAAGAAAACACAAGGCAAAACACATAAAGCATATTATTTGTCAATCAATATCTCTAAAATAAGGTAAGAAACCTAATGATATAACTGCTTTAAAATATGTGGGACATACTTAATTAAAAATATACAAAATATGAAAAAAATTGAATGACAAGTATTTTTTCAGCTAAAGGTCCTTCTTCCCCTTATATCGATATATTTAGTTTTTGGAAAGTTATGAAACCAATTCCTTCGGTGACCTAAAAGTAATTGTGTAATGTACGTTTAATTTAAAGTACTTTATTTAAGATCTTCTTGACAAAATGGTTTTTAACTTTTAAGAATTGAAAATATTATGGTCCAGTTCTCAGAAATGCTTTATTAGCTGTTTATGTGAAGTATGCATCTAATATATCTAAATACGAAGTATGGTCCAAAATTAATCTTACAACTGTTATTTAAGGTATGTCACTCGTCAGCTTTTAAGAAAAGTTCAGTCATAACCCCTCACTTCAAAACTATTTATTGAAATTCAATATTTATAACAAATTTGATTTTAAAAAAAATGGAAATTACACAATATTCAATTTAAAAACTGGTCACAAAGTTATAAAGTTAAAAAAGATTTGTGGGGAACTATTTCTCATGCTGGAAGGATATTTAGAAGAAAATTCTTCAGATCTACACATTTGTTATATTTAATATCTTTAGTCCCTCATATTTTTACTCATAGCATTTTTTTGATATTATATGCTAGAAATATTATATATATCTATCGTTTAATATTTTTAGAACAAATTTTACACATCCATTCAACAGATTTTGCCAAGAAATGAAGATATAATTATAGACCTAAAGCAAGTCAAGATAAAATTTACATTATTTTTGGCCTGAAAATCGCATACTTGACCAATATCTCAAAATCTAAATCACTGGTCCCATCTTTTTCTTTCATTATTTTAAACTACACGATACTTCCAACCGATCAGGACTAAAGTAATAATGAGCTTGATACAAGAAAATATTTTATTGTCTATTTAGATGTTTAATACCCCAAATATGATACTTTCTAGTGCAAAAAGGTCACACAATAATTTATGTGCATTAATTTGTCCAATGATAGATATTCAAACTTTTTACGCAGAATAAGATTATATTTATTGCTATGATTACATCTGGTAAAGTATGATAAAAGTTAAAGTGATTAATCTAAGAGTTACAATTTAAGTGCGAAAAGGTCAAGTTCATTGTACCGTTGCTCAAAAAGATGCACGCTGAACTCCACTTTTCTAAGCGATTTTGAGTCATGCTATATAAGTACTTATCAAAAATTTACTTCTCAAAAAATCGTTGATATAACTTATTTCACGAGTGACAAACCTTACCTTTATCTTTTTAACAATTTTGCCTAAACATTTCGTCTTAAATACATAAATACTTGTTTAGAAATATCAAAAGAAACACAAAGTTAGATTTTCTCTATTGTCGAATGACAACAAAGTTACCGACTTCTATATGATGTTACTTTTCAGAATTCATTTTCCCGCCGAAATATGGCTGAAATATTGCCAACTCGGTGTAAGACAACAATAATCAATCAATCAGAATTCATTTTCAATTTATCCCTAAATCTGCTACATATTAATGCCAACTTGTGCCTTGACTTATTTGAATGTTCCAAAGATCATTCCCATATTCATTCCGCTGTTGTTTTTTTTTTTTTCAAGAGCAAGACTTAATGAAGTTCATAGTAGACTGATCTTTCAAAAACTGTCTTAATTCTTCTTCTTTTTTTAAACTTTTTTTTAAAAATTGTGTTGTTAAATTTATAATTCCCATTATTATCGTAAGAAATGCCCGACGTCAAGTAGTGGCATTTAATTAGTTAAAAAAAACCTCTTTAACATTTCAACAAATACAAGGAAAAAGAAAGTGTTGGATGACCAGTCAATCCTACTCATGAATCCTATGCTACCTGAGGAGATCTACGCACAGAGGCATTGAAATAATTTAATATAACAACTTAAAGCGAGACGATTAAAAACAGAGAAATTAAAACATGTATAAATGGCTGATCAGAAAATAAGTTCCTAAAAGTTGCATCATACAGACGTATGTTGAAGATCAGTCTGTGGTGTAGCGATAGACATAACTTAACTTTGAATTTATTTTTGTAATTGAAAAAAGCATTACAATTATCAAACTGAATTTTTTAAGCAACGGTCAAAATAGATAAGGTATAAATGTTAAAGTTTTATTTCATTAATTCCTGTTATTTAAGATTTTAAAACACTGGCAACATTAATGTTGTATCAATCCTAGTACTAGTATTCAAAGATATTCGAGACATAGAAGTCAATTTCTTGTCATATGGAGATATTACAATCTATCAGAAAATTCTCTATCAACCATCAATCTCATGTCATATGAATTTTAATATTTTGCCCAATACTAGTATATGTATATTATTTAAAGACCAACATTTACATCCACAGAGTTTACAATGGACTACTTACTCGCTGAATGAGGTCACTGGCGATCTCTACATAACCATTAACAGCGGCGATATGAAGAGCTGTAAAATCCTCACTCATCTTATCGTTAACAAGTTTGGTATTTTTGTTCAGAATAACATCAACAGCCCTACAAAAAAATAAATTTAATAAAATATGAATCTTATACATTCAAAACTCTTCAAAATTAAATCACCAAAAAGACTTTATTGTAAATGGATTTTTCTTAACAATTGAATTTTTAAATCTCGGAGAGTATAGCCCATGCTTACACCAATGCAGACAGCGGTCAAAACTATGTTGAAAACATTTACATGAGTAAATCAGAGCAAAAGAGCATAGACATATTCCTAGATAACAATATCAATTCGAAGGTGGAACAAATAGTATATATGTATCAGGGTATTTTTAAATAAGCTTTTAGTATTGCTTACTCTGTGTATGTCTATTTTGTTGAATGTAGCATAATACACAAAGACAGTTCTCGATATTCTTTTGCCAGACTCTAAAGTAACTTTAACAAATTTAATGAAATCTCAAAAAATAATTTACTTTTGGAAAAAAAGGGAAAATTGAACTTAAGTTTGCTTTTGTTTGTTTATTTGTTTAACGTCTCTTTCGAGAATTTTTCACTCATATTGAGACTCCACCACTTGCCGGTGGACGGCTGCAAATTTAGACCTATACTTGACACTCAGGGCCATTGAGTCCACATCCCGCAGTGGAATTCGAACCCGCTACATAAGGATTGCTACTCTAGAGCAAACGCTCTAACCACTGCGCCTCGGGGGAGATGAACTTTATTGAAATACAAAGCAAAGTCTGGAAACAAACAAGGTTACAATTATAGAGGATTCCGACGAGGGTCTTGATCTAAGTTATAAACATCAAGAAATATATCACCAATACGGGTGAGAATCCACGATTAATTTTATATTGTTGACGATTCGACCACGGGATGGCGGTCATCAAAACTTGTCGGTTGACATTGCCATAAATAATAAAAAAAAAATATGGAAGGTTTATACTTAATATAGATTTGGTTAACAATGCAATTTTATACAAGATGTAATTTCTGTCTCTGAAGCTTTGCATGCCACCAAATACATTAGGTAATGAAAAAGGTGAAGATAACAAACAGTGATGGGACAGCTGATCACTTCGTTTGACATACAATTTAGTTGTTACATGTAATTGACCCTCTTCGTCTATATGAAATATCTATATGATTAATTAAATAGTCCAAACTGTTCTCTTTCGTATTCCATTTTCGTATTTTCGTATTTTAGTAAAAGTTCAACGAAGTAAACTGTTGCAGAAGATCCACTCTTTAGCAGGTAGGTACTATATAGAAAATTATTGTTGTGTTTATTTTCTTTGTTTGTTTATTGTTTAACATCTCGAGAATTTTTCACTCATATGGAGACACCACCACTTGCCGGTGGAGAGCTGCAAATTTTCACTTAGGGCCATTGAGCAGTGAGGGGTCTTTTTCGTGCCAGCACCTACTGCGACATGGGACCTCGGTTAATACGGTCTCATCTGAAGGACTGGTCTCCACGTCCCACAGTGGGATTGGAACCCGCGACGTAAGGATCAACTCCTTACTCCGCAACTCTAGAGCGAACACTCTAACCACTGCGCAACGCGGGCGACTTATTGTTCTGTTAGTCTTTTGACGGCTTTTAAGGAGGGAGGTTTCCATTTTGCGGTTTTTCGACAAATTCGCGCGGGTTCAAACACGTTAAAATGAATGCTTCAGCAAATAACCTCTCTGTATGATCTTTCATTATATGTCGTATGATAGTAGCTATATCTTTTCTTCTAAATTTTTAATACGCACTAAATTATCAAAAAATGAAATATATGGAGATAACGAACAGTATTCAAATAAAAAAAAAAGTGTCTTTTTCTAATGAATGTTCTATTGCACGGAGGAATTTTCAGACAATACATTCATATAAATCATCTTCTATCATCACTATGTTATTTGGAAATGAAGTTTTTAATACTTTTTCCTGGAGTTGAATTTTCTGTTGGATTTTCTTTATTTTTAGGCTTTTATTGTTGTTTTTTCTGTGTTTTACCTTCTTCACTGAGGTTAGCATTGCGGCTGATAGATTGTTGATACAGGTATATTTCAATTTGATGTTGCCGTCTGGGATTTGTGGGATTATTTTGGCAATTCATGTTTTTGTTATAAGGTCCTGTTTATGGCATTTATCCGGGTGTGCAGCATGTTTTTTTTTTTAGTTCAATATATTAATTTTTTTTGAATGTCCTTAAAATATATTTTCTCCTGAATCTTCCGATAGAGTCTGCTTTGATGATCGATCTTCCAACAGGATGACATAATAGACAGCAACAATCCGAAAAAAATTAGGACTTACATGTATTTTGTTAAACATAACATTTAAAATCTTCATTTAATTTCTTGTTTTTATTACTTATAAAGCTTCAAAGACAGTGTAAATCATAATTACATTTTGTTCAAAATAACATGGTTTAGCAATTTTTTATATGTACAAACATTCAGCGTTTTTACACTTTTTATAGCAATGTTTCTAGTTTAGACTTTGTGTTTACATTGGAACTGGAACTGCTGCATAATCATTAGGTAATAGTATTCACAACTCCGATCAAGCGAACCCTTCTAGGAAAAGAAATGTCAAAGATATCCACCCCCTCCCCCTGAAAAAAAGATTCCGCAACTCATCACATTCACATCATTCACATATACATGAAGCATTTCCTATATAAAAGCCAGTAAATCTAAACAGAAAAAAATACCGGTAAAGCAAACATCCATGAAACCAGTCTTCAACTATACCAGATCATCCGAATTCCAAAATTTTCTGAAGAAGATAGAGACATTTTAAGGACACTGAAATAACAATTAATACAAACTTCAACGACGCATACCTTAATAAATGTCAAGGACAAGACCTCATACAAGGAACATGGAGAGGCAAAATTATCCCAGACAACAACGTCATGTTCCTCCCGAATTGGAGAAAGTCAACCAAAATTTTAGCCACTGTATTACCCGCCTACTTCAAGAACAGTGGGATATAAGAGAAACGATACTGTTAACATACAGATCCTTAAAATCCCTGCGCAAAAACAAGGATAAGGCTAAAGAAATGATTAAAATAAAATAACAGTGTATTTTACGAAATTCCGACCTCGTTGAACAAAGTAAAACACAGGCAGTAACAAACATAGCCTCATATGATAAGAAGAAAACTCGACAGAAAATTCAACTCCCAAAAAAGTATAGTGAACTTCATAAATTTCACAACAACATGCGGACAAATAAAAGCGAGGGCAAATTCCAATGTACGGTAAAAATTACTCATAAAAAATTTACAAAAAAAGTAACTTTCATGATTGCATATTTACAAATTTAGAGAACTATTACATGTATTATTTTCTTGTTAAAAAGGTGTAGCTTTTTTATATCATATAAACAACATATAAACAAAGATCACTCTGAAACAAAATTTACTGAAACACTCACAATCACTTGTTCCAAACCCAGATAATTGCAAAAATCGCAAATAACGGAACATCCCCCCCCCCCCCACACACACACACCAAGTGGAAGCCGTCAAAAAATCAGAGAACACCAAGTATCTACATGTACATAGTACCAGCCAACAATCCGCGTCTACGATTACGAAATAACATTCAATTGAGTTTATGGACTATTCAAATACTACAATAGACCGTTTTTATGCATGATTGTTCTGATGACGACCACTCCACCCCAAAGTCGAAACCGATCAACAAAATAAACTTATTTTGGCATGCTCATGAAGTGTTGGTGTTCTGTTATTTCTTTTTGAGTTCATAATTTGGAATGAGATATCAGTAGTGTTTGATGATTGTAAACAGACATCCTTGTATGGATAAACAGGAAGATTTTCAAAAGATTTTTGAAGTTCATTAATGCTGTATGAGTGTCTTAAATTAATTACGTACGCTCTGGAATTATTCACAACAGCCCATTGTAGAACATTGAAATCGTTTGCATTGGTTTCTTTGAAATTGGCCGATGGACTTCCTAGAACGTCTTTTAAAATGGCAGATTGGTCATCTTTCTGAGAAATTGCATCATGCATTGCTGTATCCCCATCACTGTCCTACAGAATTAAATTTTACATTCCTTAAGATATTCCATGTATAATACCATATATATGTTAACATTTCACAGAAGGTTTTTAGAAATTAATTCAATTGATCATCGAGATAAAATGTACATGTCGTTTAAAGTTCCTATGTTAAGAAAATTTTAAAAAGCTGGCCGCTCTTGATGAAAAAAATGCAAACTATTTATGCTGTAACCTGTCTTTTGCCTCTTTCAATTCAACTGAGAATGAATTTAGTTGACCCTTTTACTAGAATCCTAAGATAGAATTTACTTTTCATGTTGTTTCACAAGTAAAATTTACTTCTTTGGCTTCAGTACTAAACTGAGCAAGCCATATTTCAATGAAATGTTTTTATTTCTTAGATGCAGTTATCTCAGTTGATTTGATGTACCTTCAGGGAGGGGTTGGCTTTGTGTTCCAGAAGAACTTTGACACACTCCTGACTTTGCTGTCCAACTGATACGTGCAGAGGTGTTTGTTTTTTCTTGTTGACAACATTCACACTGGCACCATTCTTCAAGAGTTCTTCCATTGTTTTGGCTTCATTTCTGAAATCAGTTAAGTTTATCAGTAAAAACCAAAATATGGTCTTAATTGTTAAGTCATGAAAAATGTTAATATCTATAATGACTTCAATTGTTGTACTTCTAGTTTTAAGATACATTTATTCGCTCTCATTGTTTTAAATAGGGATGACATAGTGTGTTCAATTATTTAGTAATTCCTTCACAATTTTAAATCTTTTTTCCTGATATTATTTTCCCTGAATAGATTATTTCTTTTCTACTGAAGAAGCATGTATCTCAATTTTTATTTTACCTATTAATCGATAGATTAATAATTACCCAAAAGCACTGTAATGTAGTGGGCTATCATCTTCAGCATCCTTAAGGTTAGGGTCAGCCTGACTTTTCAGTAAGAACTTTACAGCATCCACATGACCTTCATAACATGCAACCTGCAGAGCAGTTCTTCCATCATGTGTTTTATCCACCTAACATACAGCATAGATATCTATATAGACAACCAGTGATATTAACGAATTATTTAGTAATTCCTTCACAATTTTAAGTCTTTTTTCCTGATATTATTTTCCCTGAATAGATTATTTCTTTTCTACTGAAGAAGCATGTATCTCAATTTTCAATGTACTCGCTTCTAAAATTTTAAAATTACCACATTTGGGTGCTTCTTAATGATTTCACTCAAAGTTTGAAGATCATTTTCGCAAGCAGCCTGTACAAAACCAGTGATACTCATAGTCTGGTCAGACTGTTCTCGTTTTAAATCAGCAAACATTCTAGCTAGAGATTCTGCCATATCTGTATGAAAATAAACATTCTTGCTAGAGAATCTGCCATATCTGTATCAAAACAAACATTCTAGCCAGAGATTCTGCCATATCTGTATCAAAACAAACATTCTAGCTAGAGATTCTGCCATATCTGTATCAAAACAAACATTCTAGCTAGATCTTTGTCACAACAAACATTATATAGCTAGACATTATGCAATATCGATACCACAACAAACATTCTATAGCTTTATAACAAGAAAGGGACATGTAAACAAAAATTCTGTTTTTTGAAGAACTTGTTTTAATTGTATTGGGAAAAGTTCAAACTTTTATCTCTGAAGCTCAGATTGTTCAGATTTAAATTGAAACTTTGAAAGTTTAATTATGAATTACAATTACTTTATCTGTTTTAAAATTTATATCAGAAGGACACAGATTCTGGTGCTAATTCGATCAAGCAAGAATTCTACCAGAAATATAAATTGATTATAAATATTGTTAGATTCTTTCTTAACATTTATAGTACTTAATAATTGCTGTGTCAAAAGTTCTGCAACTTAAAATTCTTATTCTAACATGAATACAAAAAATCAGTCATTCAATAATAATAAAAATATACCATTTCTACTCCTAGCTCTGTTTATAGACTTTGAATCCAAATCACTCGGTTTTTTGGCTGGAATGGAAGGTATTTGATTTGCTTCGTCTTGGTTCTGTAGTGGCATAATGCAAACTGGACTGAAAACCCACGTCTGATCGCGAATTCTAACATGCATATCCCCATCCTTTTCTATAGCTTCAATACGACCATTTGCCCCAAGAGCCTGGATTATGAATACATGTATATCTATATTTTACTTTTAATTTTACTGTAGCGTTTTATTTTTAAGCAATTGCATTTTTTTGCTTAAATTTGTTTTATGTATAAGTGACAAAAAAAATATTTGATACATGAAATGTATATACATGTACATATAAATCAGGATTCTCCATCGTTAGAAATTTTACTGTGTTGCAGACTTTACGTGAAACACTAATATTCGCGGTATTTTCACGATCAAATTCGCAACTGAACCACTATTCATATAATTACACACACACACACCCTCACACACACACACAACTTTTTTGAATCAATAATTCGTTATACAAATGGTATGGTCGTACATATTAATAAAAATTAAATTAATAGAATTGATATTTAAAACCTTAAATAATATACCTGTATCACTGTGTACAAGTTGTACGTGTATATTAAACCTTAATATTTTTGCATATATATACATTTACATGCACAATGTATATATAACTTCATATTTTACACATGTCCTGAAGAGTAGAGGAAATTCTGGTCAATAAAATCAATTTACTTTCCCACTTTAAAAGAAAATTTGGCGTGATTCTTGTCGGTTGATCGAATTTCCGAATTAAAAAAAAGAAACTTCAGAATAGTAAAGTACTTTTAGGGGGATTACAGTATGATGTTTGACTCACAGTGCCAACATAATTCTAGAATGTGGTTCTGAAGTATAAAGACATACACTTATAATAAATTGAATTTTTAAATAATATTTTAAAAGGCAACTAGCAATTATACGGTTATATGTTGTGAAAACAAATTATTTGTCTTTGTTCCTTCTTGCGTAAAGTCCAGCGAGGATCTAGTAGATAATTGATTATGAAAGGTGAAGCAATTCAAAGTGTCCTAATTAAGAGATAATGAAATGCTCTGTCTTAAAAATTGAAAGATGGTAGATTCGTTTGATTAAAAATTTCAGTTAGACATTTATGTTCTGATTTTCTGATTATCACAGATGTTACAAAATTTTTTCTGTCGCACGCATAAAATTTGAATCGTTACTGTGTCGGAGAAACTTTTACTTTGTCGGGGCCGACACAGTAAAACAGCTCATGGAGAACCCTGTATAAATACAATGAATGGCAAAAATATAAGTGGAATATTTATGAAAATAAAGACGAAAAATTCTTATAACATTCTAAAAATATTACATACAAAAAGATTATGCTGCAAATGAATAGAAATATTATAAATTTGTAGGCTGTAACAAAAAAGAGAGATTAAGTTATAATATATTTAGATAAAATATTTAGTAAACTCATAAATATTGCAGATAATCATTATTTAATGAAATACTGTAAAATCGCTTATTTTCGTAGGGTCAAATATTCGCGGTTTGAGGAAAAAATACTTCGAGGGGATTTGATTTCGTGGGTGGAGGATAGACTTATACTGTTTTATAAAATTTTATCATTTCGTTGGGGACATGAATTTGTGGGTATCTTCATAGCATGAAATCAACCAAAATTACCCCCCCCCCCCCCCCCAAAAAAAATTAGTGATTTCACAGTATGCCTGACAATGCACCTGTGGTGAATACATGACAGAGTAACCTTTGGTACTTACCGGTCTCATATCATCATTCCAGCCCCCATGCCCCTCCTGCAAGTCCCTGACAGCATTATAATCAGAAAGGACTGTCACTGCTTCTCCTCGTGAAAATGTGTGAATCTGCTCATAGAAAATATGGCTGGTAAATTTATTCCTTAAAGAATATTTCGAAATAAAAAAAATCAATTTGATGGAGCATTGCAGGTATTTATATAAAAATGACATTTTTTTTACAGAAAAACCAAAGGCTTCTTTTTAAAAGTTATATAATGTATTATGTTTGAAAATTAAATGTCGTCTTAATTGAAATTGAAAAACACATATCTTTACTGGGATTGAATCAAAGGAAACCAATGGAACGTAATATGGCATAAAGAAAATAATGAGGAAAAAATGAACCTGCTAGTAGAAAAATATCACATTTCCACCTTACTCCTTGGGCTGTAAAAGTTGGATACATGTGTTTTATCAGCATTGGGATCTAAAACAAAATCATAGCCTCATAATGTCTATCAATTATGTACTGGGCATCATGTACAAACCCTGGTCAATGCCACTCTATTCATGCTCCAGACCCTGCCATCAACATACTGCACTCGACATGTCTTCCCTTCAAACAAAGTCTGAACAATGGTGCCTAGCTCCCCGATGCACTGAAAAATAGCATGAAAATTTGTATTTTGTGAACCATATATTTTGTACAGAGATTCATGAAGCTTCAATACCTATGCAGGAATAAAATAACAAATAAATCAAGTTTTTTTTTAAATCTAAATTTTACTAAGTTCTACTTATTGTTCATCTTTAAAATAAACCTGTTCCATTTCGTCTTCCCATCCTCCATAGATAGAATTATCCTGTAACTGTTTAAAATCTTTCAAAGTCAAGTTCACTCGAACTTTGTCTCCAGGTTTCAATAGGATAATTCCCGGTTTGTTTATATCTAAGGAAAAATAGACCTACAACATTAGATTTATACTGATCCACAATCAGGCATATGAATATGAAAACTCTTGAATTCATCTTACGTCGACCCTCCACATTGTACCACAACAATGGTATTTCCTGATTAAAATTTCAAATTAATCCAAATTCCCGAAGGGTTATTTTTGACATATCAGAAGAGTTACTAGAACATGAAAAGCAATTTCATCCACGGGTATAACACATTTAATTTTAACCAAGTAATCTGAAAATATATGTTATCCTACCAACTACGGGAATGTGTTCTGGGTAATATTTTCCTCCACTCCCAGCTTCCCTTGACCGTGTGTAGATCACGTCGACGCATCCATCACCCCCTACCCGGTAATCACTCAGCAAGGAGTCGTGCCTCCACAAGACTTTCACCCCTCCACGGTGGTACTTTCCATCCCACGTCACCACCTGTTGTATTCTGCCCACTTCCCCCTCGCCCCCTGTGTGAAATACACCTTATAATTTTCTTACCTATAAACGCTATGTTTAAACGAAAGGGCATTATGATGCATATCTATTTTAGACATAAACTGGTTATCATTGTAATAAAATATCTTAGTATTCAAATGTAATATAAAGTGTTTCGGACGAGGGTAGAAATTAAAACCAGTTGTTATTTTAAGATATTAATATACGCACACGAAAGTGTTTGCCTCAATTTCTATACTCTCCTTCGTACCTGAGTAACTAGCGAAGTAGCCACATTAGTTATTTTATAATTTATATAATTTACATATATAAAACTAAGCATAAAATGTTGAGTATGTGGTCCATGAATCTTTTATGTTGGGATTTCTTATTACAAATGCATTACAGTGTCGTTACAGAAACTCTATGAAGGAGTTGTCAATCTTGTTGCACATCTGCAGGATACCCCTTAAAAAGAAAAGTTTGAGGAAGAATTTTTTTTTTTTAGAAAAGTGTCGTTTTAACCCTTGTTTACACCAATCCTTCTGATCGAAATTTGAAATTCAAATTGCATATCAATAGGACACCAGCAGTAATATTACAAAAGATGATTTGGCTAATGCGTAAAAAGTAAGGGGAGTGTGGGGAACCAGATTTTCATAGGAAAATGTTTTTCGAAGCACGTTTGGGTCCAAGACTGAAAGTGAAAATTCCTAATTTTAATGCTCATCTACTGGACACAACTATTGTATTCCGAAAAATGAATTGACCACTGCTACAAATGTCAGAGGAGTTTGAGGACGGATATTTTGTTGGGAAGAGTTGCTTTTTTGACACCCAATTGGCCCCAGGGTGAAAATATAAATTTTAAAACCTTATTGAATATCTATCAGACACCATCTATCATATTTCAAAAGATGGATTGTCTACTGCTTAAAATGTAAGAGGAGTTTGAAGAAGATGTGGCAGACGGACAGACGGGGTGACCAGGGTAACAATATACCCAAACTTCCTTTCTTAATTTTCACCTTGGGGCTATTTGGGAGTGGGGGGGGGGGGTTTATTCTGCAAAACCTTATTCCCAGAACTCCAATTACATTTTATGCAGAAGAAAAATCGTCTATTATTATATAATTGGTGATGTCATGTAGATGTGCAATGAGGTTATGAAATTTTTATTTTCACCCTTGGTGCCTATTGTGGACCAGAAAACGACTTTTCCGGAGCTCCTCTAAAATCATTTCGGAAAAATATTGGTGTATCCTGTGCATGTTATTTTCATTTTCACAGAGGTGGCCAACTGGTTTTTTTTTCACAAAAACCTTTCCAAATCTCCTTTTTAAACAGAATTCATGCTTCATTAATTTCTTTGATTTCATACTAGTAAGGATTTTAAAATGAAATTCTAACATAAAAGGCCCACGGGTCAATCAGGCTAATCAAAGAATAGCCATGTATCGTGGCTTATTCAGGGTTCGTACCAAGGTAGGAAGGAGAGTACGCTTAGAGACGAACACGCGCGTGCGGATATTTATACCGTCTTATGACAGCGTATAGTTTGTGTATTACCATCATCATTTTTCCATTTCCAGTGTGGCCCTCTTATCACCTCAGCCTTTGGGAACAGACCAGAGGCTTGTATACTTTTACTATTGGCTCTGGGAGGCACTGGCAAGCTGTTCAACGTATCGCATTAATAACGCATATAAATTTAAAAGGCATAAATGTTGTGTAAGCTTTCTTCTGCCTATTACAAAGAATTTTTAATTTTCATCACAGAACCCATAATAAATGCATATTTAATAATTTAATTCCATCTTTAATTATCACATATCAGTAAAGCAACTTCACTTTCGTTGAGAAGTCTCTGTTTAAGAAAGTTATGGTTCTGGACAATGATATGTGTTATATAAATATATAATACAGTAAAACAAATTTATACCAATTACGCTTATGGTTAATACCTGCATAACGAGGTAATTTTTATTTTGTATTTGTATGGGGCCACCAGGTACAACGAAATATAGATAGATTAGAAAGTAATTGGTGCTTTAAACACGTTATACAGTATCATGCTTGATAACATTTGATATCATAGAAAAGTTACATTTCATATTCTTTGCTTTCGGAGAAGGATTTATTTCTTCTGTACTTACGCACTGGAATTCTGTGTATCAATCCGAACGAAGCCATGTTTCGTGTCGTGTTTGTCATTCATGTAACAAAGGTTACAAAGGTCAAAGTCTTCACAGTCCGTGCACTTCCATCTTATTCCTTTTACGGGCGTGTCGTTACAAGCATCACAGACAATATGATCGTGAACGACGCCTGACAAAAATTATATCTCTAAAACTTCTTTTCAAAAGAAGATGGGGGAACAAGGCGTGTAAATTTCCAGTAGCTTAAAAAATGTAAAAGTCATATTCAATTTGTGAATTTAGTACTTAAGTAAAGTTCTTATCATTGAATGGTATGAAATTATGAAAAACAAAACTTTTGTGCAGAAAAATCTTTCGGCAAAAGTCATTCTATGATTAAAAAAAGAAGTGGTATTCTTGGGATTCAAACCCAAGCAATAAAAATCCTGAGTGTCAATCTTCCCTTCGAGACTAACACGCTAACCACTAAACTATACTGCTCATGAATACCAAACATGGACATTTAAATCATATTTGTGATATATCCCTTGACTAAATGGACTTCAAATACGAAAGTTGTGCCACAAAAGTGTATTTTTAAGCTAGGTGTAGTGGGTCTTTGCTCCATGTTTTTGATGACCAAAGAAAGTATAATTTCACACATACTTTGAGTATAATCTTTCAAAAAATGGAGTGAAGATCCACTCATAGGAGAAACTGTGTTTTACTATGAAAAATTGATCATTTTTTCCCTCTTTGGTGTATGTATGCTATTTTATTGATAAAAAATTCCAATCTTTGTGAGATTGTTGCGATTTATGGAGATTTTACATAAAGTATACATAAATGTTAAATGAAATATCAAAGAAAATTTGTCATAAATGAGATCTGATTTTTCACTTTTTTTATTTGTCGCAAAACAGGCATTTCGCTCGCCTTGTTCGCCCATCTTCTTTGCAATACTCTATTTAAGTCCAGTTAAGTCAGTTTTCCTTGAAAGTTCAGCAGTGTCTAGTATAATATTGTGATGTATTATGCCATAAAATCTTTTTTTTTTCTTGTCTTTTCTTGGCAAAAAAATAACGTTTCCTTTTTAACATATGTTATGTAGGTATGGAAATTCTTTCTTCGTATGAAAATATCCATATTAAAGAAAAGAAAGATTACACTTTAATATAACCTTTCTCCTTATTAAATTATTACATATTTTTAAGTCAAAATGCGCACATACCAACGGGAGCTGTGTCAAACACTCTTAGGTCGTACTTTCCATCATGTCCCGCCCTATAACGGAGCTCCCGCCCCGAGTCCCAAATCACGGTCACCTTACTGTCGTTGGATCCAGATTTAGGGACAAATATTATGGTACCCAGAAAGCCTTCTCCATTATCCTGCTTTTTGGAAGCCCAGTCCGGACCCCTGACGACTCTAGTCCCGGGTTTTATCTGAGACAGAATGCTCATTTAAAGTTAGCATTTCAAAAATTCTATGGTCGTTATAATGATCTTGTTTGCAAACATAATCTATCATTGTGTACAATATTACCCCTTGTTATTTTAATGAATAGTGGGATCAAACCAAAGTTTCTATGTAAAAATCTTCTGAATCAAGTTAATTTTTGAAAAATTTAAAAATAAAACATTCAATATTTGTCATTTTGAGACCACCATCCTCTTTAAAGATTTTTTTTTCTGTTTTGTTGCTCCAAATAAAGTTATAAAAAGTTTTTCGAATTCTTTTATCTACTTTTTATCCGACTTTGAAAGATGTGTAAGTTTGGATAAGATTAAACTTTTCCAAGTGGAGATGTGTTTCTTTTTTATCATGAACTGGTTTCCTTTTCAATGTTTTGAAGGCATTTCTCAAAATTTAGGTGTTTCATTTTTTTAGGTCAGTAAAAGTTGAATGTTGTTTAAAACTCCTGAATCCGTGCACGTATTTCATGCGAGTATACTAAAATAGTATGCATAATTCATTGGAGAAAACAAAAGTCCCATAGTCCCACTTTAGAAAAGGAAGAGAGTAGGGTCAAAAACACTAAATTCTGCCGAGACCCATGTAACATGTGACGATTTTATAAAAAATATAAAATATTTTGACAATAAACAAAGATGTTATAATTATAATTTAAAATTTTTTTTTATATTGTCTACGCTAAGACATGCATGACTTTTCAATGAACATTTTCGTACTAAATTAATAGTAAAACATTATGTTTGGAAAAAAAAGTGGCGATGTGGGACACCCCTCCCCCCTCAAATATCTTTTACATCCCTATTATTTTTTTTTTCTCTCAAAAAAGGTTCATGTTCTTTATCTTAAATTTCATAACGAAAAATGAGTACAATCGACTGATTCAAAGATTACTCCGCCCAGTTAATATAGTATATTCTACCGGCGCGGATCCAGGATTCTACGTTAAGGAAGGATATTAGATGTCTAGTGGTCTGAGAACCGCCAAGGTCTCAAATAGGCAGGAGTCTGGGGGGGAGGGTTTCGAAGCCCCTTTTAGCTCTAGAGAATCAGTAGGTAGAGAACCATAATTTGACTCATTTAACATAAAAATTCATATGAATACCTGACTTGTTTTATTAATGCGAAACCGAAAGTACTAGTACATTTTTTCCACCAAATGCATTAATATGTTTATAAGGGTTAAGAAATATTACACATATTTTTAAAACATAGAGTTGAAAATATAATATAGTTCTTACCGATGTCATTCTTGCTTACTTTCTCTTTCGGTAGGTATTCATGCACAGTGCCATAGGTAGTATGTCCCGTTAGCGTATGTCGACACTGAATGTAGGTCGTTATCTCCATGCATCACTGCACAAACACGACCATACCCCCCTTTATTGTATATGTTTATAATAATGAATAAATTGAAATCTACATTACATTCCTCAATTCGTAATCAATTCAAGCAATCTTAATATTTTAGTAGACCAAAATAAAATGAATTAAACATTTTATTTTGGATTTGTAGGTTCCCCATTAAAGTAAGCAAAGAGTGATTTTTGTTCATTCATACTTTTTTCTTTGAACATTTTCTGGAGGTAAATGGCTGATACCCTACTTTAGAAATGTCATAACATACATGTAAATATACACACTATTTACAACTTTATACAATATAACTTTCTTAATGTCCATTTTAACATTTGTATTAGAGTATAATAGAAGGATATATAAACTGACAGACAAAATTTTATGACAAACAACGTTATCCCCCCCCCCCCCCCCCAGCTGCGCTGTAACTTCCTTGGCTTGGACTTAAATGAGAAGTTTATTTTATTTGTTGTGATTGAGATGATACTAGTATCAGTGAAAACAGATATCATGGGGGATTGTATACTACATTATGACTTCCAAGCTGCCTAGTCATAGATAGACGAGTATCTCAGAAAAATTATAACAATGATTACTAGTATTTACAACTTTCATAGGGATTCCATTTCTTTATCGACGAGTTTGGACAAATTAACATCAAGGAGAAAATTATGTACATGTCTGCCTAGATATGTATATGAAGTTTTTAGATTTTAATTATCATAAGTGTTTTTAGGAAGTGGCAGCTTCCTATCCAGAACATCAGCTGTCACAAAATAAGAGGTCCAGTAAGGGAAAATTAATAAAAATGAAGAGCAGAAAAAATTAACTTTGTTTATAATTTAATATGACCTGGTTCGTCCGTAGCAAATTCATTATAAAGATATCCAAACATAATACACTGAAACGAGAGAGAGAGGATTGTTCTAGTCTTCATGAAGGACGAAGCCAAACAGATGTAGTCGTATAAAAATATTCTTCTTTACTGGGGACCCATATCAACAAAATCAATTGTTTACATGAAAATCGTGTGCAATATGACCTCAGATAAACTTACGACCCCTGGACTCATCGCTATGAACCTCAGGGTGTGATTTAAAATTAATTTAGTTACATGTATATAATGAAAATGCCTTTAAAATCGAGAAAACTCCTTTTCTCTTGAACATCAAGTTCACATACATTCAGCAAAAAATTAAAATTTTGTGCATATATATATATATATATATATATATATATATATATATATATATATATATATATATATATATATATATATATATATATATATATATATAATTTGTAATCTTCTCTATTCATTTTGGTGATCATTTAAAACTTGCAAATTTGCAAGTTTGAAATATGCCGTATAAATCAATAAACTAAGTGTATAATTAATTGGAATCTCGCATTTCCCACTCTGTAAATTCTATAGATATGAAAAATCATTCCAAGACCATAGATCTGAATTCCAAGTAAGATAAATAATACGTTGACATGGAAAGGAAATCTAGATGGGCTCTTTCTAATATCGATCAATGTTTTTTTTTTTTTTTAAATCATAGATGAAGAATAAGAAGCTGTAAATTTGGAACATTTGTCTAGTAGTAGAAAGAATACTTAAGTCAATCAATAAAAATAATTTCATCGATATCAATTATACTAAGCTACAGGCATGCGTGATATAAAGATATCTAAGGTTTGATAAAAGGGAGGATTATATAGATATGGTTAATATGAATGGTACACTTATGAAATACTTTGGAATACAGGATTTTTATACATTGATTGTTATTATTATACCTCTAATGATTTTTCGAACTCCTTACATAAAATTAGATTGCTAGATGTGAATAACTCTCTAGAAATCTCTGTGAAATGGACTAATACCCGTTTTGCCGTGCGTTAGTTTCGTGAGCTAATCCCTGCTTCAAAATTTGTATTGGTATAACAAAAAAGTTAAAAGTACATGTATATCATAGAGGGAGTAAGTAAGATTCCACTTCCCCCTGACCAAGACTCTTTCAATCTGGTTAGTCTCGGGAAATAGTCCTGGCCTTTGGGAACTGGAATCTTGCTAACTCCTTCAATGATGTACTTTAACTGTATAATACTAAAAAAAAGTCAACATATTTTTTATAAACAAAATTTCAAAACGTTAGACGGAATCTTTTATTCATAAATGAATGTACGGGGACTAACATATACAAAAATATCTTTTTTTCTGTACAGTAAATAGTCATCAAAGCACATATAAAAGAAAAACAAATGAAAGTGAATATTTAAAACGATTTCTAAAACAACTCTTTGATGAAATAATCAATTTATGTGAGTACTTCCATTGAGGAATGAGCAAGAGTTCTTCACAGAAACACTGATCTGATAAACAGTCGTGTTTGATCCATGTTTGGGGGTGTGCAGTACTGTACATTTAATGCTTGGTGGTTTAAATATTATCGTCGTTCTACCTCCACGGTTTCTCCATAACTGAAATATCATCTAATGCTGCCAACCTTACATAAACGTCTTCCAGCAATACTTTTTATGCCTCTCTTAAATCTGAAATGAAAACCATCAACAGATACAAAATGGAGATTGGCCTAAATCACGTTGATTATATTTTTCTGCTTCCCGTAAAATATTTTTCCCCAATGACCATTCATATTAATAATTCAAGACAAAAATTGCTGTTAATCATAATAAACGTTTTATTAAACAGGAGAATATATGCAGGAAGTTTAAACCCAGACTTCAGTGAAAGTATGATTGATTCAATTCCAGTTTAAAATTGAAAGCCATCTATATATTTCATTTATGTAATGGTTCTCAAATGTCTGAGTAAAAACTTTTTTCTTTCTAAAATCTTGATCGCAAAGAAAAGGCCATTAATTCTCTTGAATCTGTTGTCGATCATGTTTTCTAATTTATATTTAATTAATTTTGACAAAGCTTGATATTAAACCCATTATACCATATCAGTTTCATTTATTATAATAATATTCAATACAGAAACTTAATTTTTACTGCATTCAAGTAGACAACCATATCAATTCTCTAATCCTCTCTATTAAGTTTACTTTGTAGGGATAAAAAGATCAAATTTGCTGAACGAATTTGGAAATGCTTTGAATTATGACAACGTTTTAATATCTAAAATATATTAATGTTCTGTAATTTTCAATTATACAGTAAGCATGTCAAAATTTTCTATGTGAAGTACATATACCCATAGAATGAATTGCTGTTGAAGGGTATTAAGTACAACCAAGGAAACTTAGGTCAGTGATAGTAAGTTTAATAAAGTGGTATTCCTCTCTAAAAAAAAAAATCTTTTGGAAAATGACACTAACGTGGGATTCCCTCAGAAAACTGACTCCAGAGTAGGATTTCTCCCACAGAAAAATGCATCTCCAGTAGAATTTCTCCCTCGGAAAATAGCACTTTACAGTCGGGGGGGGGGGGGGTTCTACTCTGCAGAGTACAGACGTCCACTCACCAACACCCCTCCATGCGATTCATTATAATGAATTATGTTTGGGGCCATAAACTTGTTTATCTACGTCCCGTTCCTACGAATCTTACCTGTGAATTCTTTGTTTTTCTCTTGTTTCTTCTTAGACAATTCTATATCTCCGGTGATTTCATATTCTGGAGGCCAATGGAGACCAACAAGTATCGTATAGAGAACACAACCTATGATAGCACCAAGGTGAGGACCAAGTATTGGAATCCAGAAGTACCCGTAATCACGGTGGCTAGAACCAGGATTTCAATGAAATCAGATTAATTGAAGGGCAATAAAATAAATCTCTTATCAGAAATATAAAATTTAAAACTATTTAAATAAAAGTTTAAAGTAAAGATTTTTTTCATGTTTTGTTGTGAAAAACATGAAATGATTTTTACCATTTCGTATTCATTTCGTTTGCAAAACTTTTGTTGGTGATTTAAAAAAAAAACAAATGTCTAGGCTGAGGCTTTAAGATTTCAACAAATGAAGATACAAAGTCAATACAATACAAGGTATTATTGATTATCCTCTCGTTTAGTAATGATATGCAGTATTATCATCTTCTAAGAGAATGTTGAAGTTTAATTAGATAAAAGTCTGATGACGTCATAACTTACGAAAAAGTACCGTCGCCCCACCCAGCTGCCAGGGTGAAGAGTCGCGGCGCTAAATCTCGAGCTGGATTGATGGCATAACCACAGTTAAGATGATAGGTCATTCCTATGGCGAATACGGAAAGCCCTACACAGATCGGTACCAGGCCCTTACTGGGGTTCATGTTTCGTTCATCTGTGATTGCCATAACGCAGATCAGAAGCAACGCCGTACCAAAAATCTGAAATAAGTCAACAACACGTCCATGGGCTGTAAAAGTCAAAGCAATTTTCTAGGCTACTTTATGTGTTCTTTTGTCTTATCTTCTCATTTGTAAAACATATCCTTGCTCAGTCAAAAGGGCAATAATGCGAACAACTGAAAAGTTCTTTGCTTCAATCATATTGCAACCTTTTAAAAAAAATACGTATGTAAAATTGAACTCTTCGTATTTTGCTTTACGGACACTAAATTGAACAAACTTGATTCTGCATTGCACGATGATGCTTGCAAAATAGATTTACAGTCTGTAGTTCTGTAGTTTTGCCTATAAAATTCTGTGTAAAACTGCGGAGACCCTCTACGTGATCCAATTCTGGCTTCAGAGCCATGTTTTGAAAGCGTGCGAACTGAGTACGTTGGCAAATAAATTCAGCAACTTAATTAGTGCTCTAGTTCACACAATTTTTTTTCAAAAGTTTGATATAACTTTGTTAATTATTCCCCGTTCTGGCCTTACATACATGTACCTGAGTTTATACTATACAAAGAGGCTTACACAAATGTTTGTCATTTCTACTGGTGCATATACAGCACAGTATATTATCTCCCCTTGAAAGGGGGCATGGCCTTCGTTATTAATGAAAGACTGAATCGCCATTTGTAAGAAAGTGGCCCTGTGGCTCTGTAGAAGAAGTTGAAAACGTAAAAAGTTTACGGAGGACGCACGACGAAAACGGATTACTTTAAGCTTGGATAGCAGAATTTCAATGTGTTCTCATTCTTATTTTCTTAATGGTAAACCATCATTTTATAAATACTTATTAATAAATGTTTTTTTAGGATTGGTCCATGCATGGCCCTAATCAATAGATATCTCTCCATAACGACTGGTCTCCTACGATCGGTTTATCAGGAACAATAATATTGGTAATTTATATAACATATACCATATACACTGTACCGCTTTATACTTTAGTAAATTAGAATTTATATTACATGTTTTCAAGGGCTTTCAAGAAATTATAGACTTCCAGGCTCTTTCACAAAACAAACATCGAAACATCGCATTCTCGACTCAAGAGGATTAAAGCCGGAGAATAGATTTATATTTATCCAAATATATTCTCCGGTGTAATTCACCTTACTTAGCTAGCCGTTCAATATCGATTATCTTTCAGTACATGCACACAAAAAAATCGCCAAAGATTTTATCATCAATTTTCTTTTATAATGATAAAAAAACATTGATGTTTATGTATTAAAAAACAATAACTGGCAAGCGACGTGTTTGCTTATGAGTTATTCGTTGATTAAAGTCCCATTAATTGTAATCAGTTTTTAAGATATCCATTTGATACTAGCAAGGTGGTGTCATCAACAGGGACCCATTTTACGATCCCCAAGAGAAAAAGACTTCTATTATCCCTAAATATTAAAATAGATAAACGTGTTCTCATTCCAATGACGATCACGTAAAAACCTTTCTGGCAAAAGATACCTGCATATACATCCTTAATAGACGAAGCTGTCAATTAAGATATAAATGACTGATTCAGAACAAGAACAAATAGGACTCTAATACCTGAGATTCTTACCTGATCCCCCAGCGCTGTGGGGATAGACACAAAATCTTGGGGGTACGTGGCCCAGATTCCAGCTGTACCGTTAACACCGACGACCATCCGTGTGCCTCCGTCAAAGTGTTCTAGAGCATCTTCAATAAAGATCCATTTACATGAAATATCGTCCAGAATTATTTCAAAGTGTACTCACCGTCGGAACCCACGTGATTTCTCTCCATTATACTACATCTATACACTGAAATCCCTTGGGTTCCGATAATGAAGTGTACTTTAAAGTTTTATAAATGTAATGATTGATGTTTATGTACCTTCTACGTGTAAATACATATTAAACTTTGTTAATGACTATTGATGAAAATTGAACAAAAATTTTAATCATTGTGAGCAATTTTGAAAATACATATATAATATATATTTTATAAGACAACAGTAGTGTTAATCACACATATCTTACTGTTTACCTATATATATGACGTAGATGAAGAAGGAGGCAATAAAAGCTCCACAGTATTGTCCCAGCATGTAAACGGGAACTTTGTGCCAAGGGAGGCGACCTATTACCGCCATTGCTAATGTTACTGATGGATTAATATGACCCCCTGTAAGAGATCAAGTAATTTGAGAGTGATCTGCCCTTGATACTACACTAAGTCAACAACAAAAAATACCAAAAGATAAATATTTTGCATTACTTGCAACTTTCAACAATGCAAGAATTTTCGTTATGTTAAAATTAATAAATGTTCAAAAATCTAAAATGCAATACTTTATACTTAATCAAAACTATCTCATTGTTTAAAGACAGCTGGGCAACTCACCTGACACGCCCCCTGATGCATAGACTCCCATCATGACGCCCACGCCCCATGCCCAGTGAATAGAATGAGCGGATCCAAGTTCTCCTTTACTAAGAACAAACTGCGCCACAGACCCATCTCCAAAAACCTGGTTAAAAAAAAAAAGTGTTAAGTCTACGGACCATTCATGCTATCAGGTTTTTTTTTTATTTCTTTTTTAAATCAAAATATTGTTTGTTTGTTTTTTCGTTACATTGTCATAACAGTATCAAAATGGACAAGGTATAAGCTTATCATACTCATAGAAATAATGTTTTCATGTAATTTCTTCACAAGCACTTTATCTGCCCATAACCATTAACCAATAACTATAGCTTTGAAAAATTACAAAATGATAACGACTCATATTAAGCAAATCTTCATCTTACGATAAGAATAAACGTTCCCAGAAATTCTGCCAAAAATTCTCTGGTCAGTTGATTACGAATCCGCAGCTTGTTAGCCAGGCGGTATCCCATCCTACAATGCAGGTGATACAGTTGGTGAAAATAAAAATGTCCGTATGTAGAATTTACATCTTACTTAAATTTGAATGAATTGGTTGGTAACCTGAGAAATCATTACAGAGTATAGCATTATGTTTATTCTGTAAGAACAATAGAAAGGGGGGGGGGGGACAAGCCTAATTTGCAAACCTTGTGAAGACACCTTAAAATCATCATGCCTTTATTCCAAAAATATACAATTACCAAAAAAAGAAGAAGGGAAAAAAAATGAAAATATTTTTCTTTGTATTTTTCACTATTTAGACGGAATTTGTGGTTTGTAATTTTGAAAAAAAAAATGATGGAGAGGATAATAATGTTGGGGGGGGGGGGGATTGGATCTTTCTATTTTCATTTTTGATTTCATTAATAGGTATAGTTAATTTTATTAGAGTTGCAGTTAGATGAGGAGTTATTGATTTTTCATTTCCTTTTGCTTTGTCATTACAGAAATCGTACAATAATTAACAATCTGTCGGGGTCGTTTGCTCATATTTTTTAATATCTTCCAGGTGGTCCTATTGATCAAACGTAAAGATGTTTCTCCTGGTTACCAGAATGAAACAATATCGTCTGTACAACTGAATGGGTAATTTTCACTGGTGCTGAATACACATCAAATTGATAATGTATTAGATTTAACGCCTTTCCTTACTGTTTCCGCGTTAACTAAAGAATAAATGGCGGAATTTGTAATTTGCAGTGCAAAATTATGTAATCATTATGTTTTGTTTGCATGGAGCTGACGACTTCCAATTCGGGCACAACCAGAATTGACCTACCGGTAAATGTCTCCGATTTCCGCGGGGGGTTTCTCGGACGGGCGTTGACCCTATCAGGGACGCGAATATTCTTGCAAAGTCACAAGGGATTAAAAGATTATTTAGAGCTATGATTTTATTATTTTAATTAATTTGAATCTAATATCCAGAATTAGTGTAGAACGTGACGAAAAAGACGGACTTAGAGGATTAAAAGGGATATGAACGCACGTGTAAATGTTCAGATTTTAAGGTATATTACATTGATATTGTCCGTTATGCATCTTATGCTAGAATATTGAATTTGAATTCCAGAATTTATGTGAAATGTATGTTTATGTTTTATGTGAAATGAAATGTTTGAATTAAAGCACTAGTGACAAACACATTGCCAGTCACAATTTACTGTTGATTGCTGAAAACTAACATATTACATGTATTAGGGTTCGGTTTATTATATATAAAAGATTTATCAGGAATTACCACAGGGAGTAGGAGGCACCCATTTCCACTTATCAGGCCTCGTCAAAGAACCAACGAAAGAGACATGTCAAACCGTGCTGCTCCAAACTTAACTAAAGAACTGCCCTATTCTGCATCATTATGTGCAGCCACACGTTAAAATGCTAATTTAATAAGTTATCATCTGCATGGAAGCTAGGCATTTGAATCTTGACGGGGAACAAAAATGCGCAGTTACAATTATTAGTTTTGAATTTGTCTATCTATTCATTTAAACTCACATGTTTAACTATATTAAAACTGCTAAAACAGCTACATGTATCAAAATATGCACTGGCTCAGAACAATGCTAAAGCATAGTTTTCATTCCATGACACTAATTCTGTGATTTATTTGGTACCGGGTATGTGTGACCTATACGTTTGATCCCCATCCCACCCCTCAATTACGAAAACGTAATATATTCGAGTTCTCTCTTAGAAAATATACATGCACATCTTTTTCTTTAAGATACCTCTCAGAAAACACCATAAAGGGTTCCTTCGGGAGGCTTTGGGGGGGGGGGAGGGGGCATTGACTAAAAAGGGAATATATTTTTAATCCCAGTTTAAACGTCTGCTACTGCGACCTCATATCTAAGGAATAGAGTGTATTTTTACTATACCAAATGTGAACAAATTAGAAAGTCATAACTGACAGAGGGGAGAGAGTAAAGTATAGATTTTACCATACGTTCCATTTCTCGTGTCACATGACACATGATAGATGCAAAAGTTTGTTTCTGTAATGAATTAACGATCTGAATCAGTTAACATCTCCATCTTACGCTACATAAAAAATTAAAAGGTCACAAGTCTTCAATGAAGTTTCCAGATGGTGAGCAACTTCAAAGCGACATAAAATAGTACATGTCACTCTGTTGTTTAAACCTAAGCAAATACGTTATCTATATATAATTGACGATAAACGTTTAGTGAATGGTCCTCGAAAACGCAGGGAATGGGTAAGGTTCGAATTTCATTAGAGCATAAAAAATTAAAATGCAATTGGGAAAAAATATTATACATGTAATTAACAGTGACATGGAATGATCACTTTTTACTTACCTACCCTATTTTTATATCACTGTAAGTTAAGAATATACTAGAACTATCAAGACATGGTCAATTAACTTTACTTACAGCTAAATCTTGAGTAGAACAAGACTGTCAGTCAGTTCATATACGGTTAATAAGGCATTGATATCTGGAACTGACACAGAATAAAACAGCTGACCCGCGTATGGTTGTATTTACTAACCTCTCAAATGAAGGACTTAGATGCGCAATTTTCTGGTAATAAATCCATATAATGTACTAGTATTCTACAAGAAGTTTAGCTGATAAAATTTTCATGTCGAATATTATGTTCCAAATTTCTTTGAAATCAAATGTAAGAATTCTTCTGAACAAGAAAAAAGTATTTTTGTAATTATCAGTATAACTCCATCGAAAAAATTGTGTTTTTGAAAAAGAAATTCAATAATAGGTGCAGGTAAGTTTAAACAAAAAAAATGTGATAGCTGGTTATCTTGACCTACAAAATTTTATAAAACAGTTCCGTTGATAAGGTGCTGTCGACATGAAATCTTACCTTTTTGAATGAAATTCCCTAAAATACACAAGTTATCAATCACACTTGTAGTAGTGTAGTAGCTGTATTGATAAGACTGGATCGGAAGAAGGGGCCAATAGTTGACGGTCACTAGTAACCTAATCGAACGGAGGCTTAGACCAAATGATTATCCGACGTTTGAGACATTCTCAATGCTTGGGTACAGTAGCCTGAAATCTCTACACACAGCATTTTATTTATTGATGGAAGTCAGGAGTGGTGAAACTAGGCAAATCGGGCATTATCAATCTTTTAAATCCCTTCTAGTTGTTACGTAAATTACTTGGACATGCATGTAGCTTTTATTAATCTGCAAATGCATGCCAACTGCTAATTTCAAAATCAATAGTAAAAGTAATATTTTATACATGTTCTTTACTTGCTTGATTGATTGTATTGTATTGTTTCTTTTTCTTCCTTCTTGAATTGTTCCAGACACAATATAGACTAGTGGTAAAATATATATACCTTGGGTTTGGATTCTCTCTCTCTGAGAGAGAGAGAGAGATTAAATGTAAGCTGTCAGTTTACTGTTTATGATACGCAAAACTTTTATTTTCAGAAGTGCTCTGATAAGAAAAGTATGTCAAAGTACGTATTTCAGTTTTAGAGGCACTTGAAATCTTACCTGGCTAGACACTGTGTGTCCCCTGTATCAGTTTTACCCCTCCTTTTCTGTATATCCTCCTTGTCCATCTTCTCGATTTTTATTTTTACTATTTTTTCCTCAACATTCAGCCTCTGGACCCGTTATCTGAAACGCGTTCCCCAGCGCATACTCACCATTTCCTTGGCCAACACATTGCTAACGGAACCAAAATTTGGGGCAGGCATATTTATAAACAGTGCAAGTTACTTTAAGTGTAAGCCTCCAGCCTAAGATATTGAAGAGAAGTTTCTGTATATATATACCGATATGAAAAGTGTGTGCAGTATCTTATTTCTGTATCATAGCCCCCCCCCCCCTTTTCCCTATTTCATTTGCACAATTAAATGTTTTTAAAAAATGTATCAATTCAGAACATTTTGTAACTATGCGGTTTCCTGTGATAATATGCATTTACATTTCAAAATCAATGCGGTATATATAAATATGATTTAGATATTTCTAAAAATATATCAATTCTATTCACTTTCATGAAGAGTGATGCGCATTTACACAATTGTATGGGGTTTTAGAATTCAATGTATTTTAAAAGCAGAAAAAAATGAATTGAAATGCACGCCAGAAAATGCACACCTAGATGATCATTCAAGATTGCAAGGTAAAATAATTAACGAGAAAGGATGGCTAAGGGTAACTCTTAAATCGTTCACATTCCTGCATACATGTTTACAGCTGTTTTGAAAAAGTATTTTCTACATACATGTACATAGCTGCTAGACTTCAAACGTCATAGAGAATTCGATAAAGGGTTATATATTCTTGAAAAAAAAATCGATTTTAAACAACAAACAGCCCAAATCAATTTTTATTAATCCCCTTGCATATGAATTCATTTCTCTTTCCCCGGAAACTTCAAAGATACACGTATATACAATTTGTACAAACTCATTGAACGATCTCGTCACAGGCGTATATCAAAGAACATCCTACTCCAGCATGCTAGAAGTCCACGGCGAGATACTTTTGACTTGGCGCCGCGTAACGAGGTATATAATGAGCGTAGGGACGTTAACCGAGGCTCTTACTTGTAGGAGTAAGAACATCCATGAGAGGAGATTCAAATTGCAATATTAGACAGGCGTTGTAAATTCTGAGACATGGTAATGAGCCATGTTTCTTAAATTTGAATTCGAGATATGTCTAATTTTTTTCTTATAAACCAATAGTGTTCGGGTAGAAATGTTGGAAACCTTGACTGAAGTAAATTCATAAGCGAGTTTCCCATAACTTAAAGATATATCGCCACGAAACATAAACATGTACTTTTGAATATTTTAATGGGACAAAAAAGGGTCATAATCATGACTTCGATGTGATGTAGGAGTAATTAAAAATTATATTGAAAATTGTAGAAAATATATGGTGAACAGATTAGAATGTATTTTTTTCAATATACCTATTAAAATACAACTTGCAGAATTCATTTTCTAGCTATATTTGTTAAAAAAAACCATCTTATAGGCGAATTTTCCAAATGAGATAAAATAAAAAAAACCGATATCTTTGAATTAAAAAAAAACATATAGTTTTTGTAGCTAAACAAAGAGGTTTGACATGTATTGTTTTCATGCCACAATAGGACTTATACATGCAACACTTCTGAAAACACTGCATTCTCCGAGACGATGCCAGGAATCGTGTCCAGAGTCATAATACCTTTTTATGCTACTTTTCCTAACAAAATGCGTTTAAGAAAAACTGCTCTGGTGCTAACAATGCACCTTGACCTTAGACCTGCATGCCATCTTCTTGAGGTTAACTTACGTTAGAGTATGATCTGAGTCAAATAAAATTAATCATAATCATACTTACAGTATTTTTATCAAGCAGTTGAATAAGATACAAAAAGAATACAAACAGAGTAGCCCGACTTCAGGTTCATTCACCTTGTTTGCCTTTAGCTCTGGTATTCCATAAATATAAAATATGGGTATTTACTATTTAATCACATATATTTGTAATCAGTAAAAACGGAAATTTCTGATTCTCATGATGACTCAGCAAAAAGCTGATTGTGATTACCATACTCCTGGATCTGATCCTCATCTTCTCTATCAATTCTATGGCTTTTAGAGTTCAACGGAAAAAAGCATTTCAAGTTGTATGACAACGGACAGATCTAACAAATATAGGGTCTAAATGTAAAATCCAGACGTATATTGACTCGTAACAACCACTTTACGCCATAAAATAGAACAGAAATGTGGACGAAAGTCAAAAATCTCTTAAGCTAATTTTTTTCCCCTTAATACTCATACATTATTAAATTTTTTTCCAAGGATAATTACAAGAGAATAATGAAAAAAAAATACTTCCGCTAGCGCATATGTCGTAGACGTTTTGTACACCGTGTAACATATATATGTATTACAGAGTAAACTAAATATGTTGCAATATCCTCTCTATTTAATGATATAAAATATTACATGAAGTTCATAGCAAGGAAGTACTTCGTTACATCATGTGCGAGTGGACTAAGGCTATGCTTGACTGATATTGAAGGGTATCAACTGTGATTGACCGCAGCCAATCATAAAAAGAGCAGCCCACAATCTTCACTTTTAAATCAGCCATAAAATGATTCAAAATGTATTTTTTATTATCAGCAGTAAGATACTGGACGGATATAATCAGATAAAACATTTAGCTTCCATTTCAATCGTACTATATCACACAGTAGTTATGTGTACATGTATATCAGCTATAGAGTTTATAACAATTCTATCACAGAAGTTACAACATCGAATCCCCAAATCCTTACTGGACACTCAGGAAAAGGGGGCACAGACTGTTATACCCATCCCTCCTGGGGAAGATTTGGAATGGGCTCTAAGCGGGCAGTGCCCACTTGGAATGGTTTCATCATGGATTCGTACTTGATGGCACTGCTTTTCCTTTCTTCCTGGAGCCAATATAACATCTCTATTCTGTCCCATTTTATTTTCTCTTCATATGGACGTCCCTGCAAGAAAAATCTCATTTACTTTGTTGCTCTCTTGTTGTTTCCCAGTTTTGTATAAATGAGCCTAACTTTGTACATAATTGATTTGTCTCCCATATTTTACTGGTATCAATTTGTATACAGAAGAGATTTATGATTTTCAATTAAAATGATTCCAAGTTATAAAAAAATATCATGAAAGAGATTTAAGAGAACCAATTACTTACTTTATAAGATACTTCATCTTTGAAGTGTTTTTTTATCAGAGTTAACTCCACCTTTATTTCGTGATCATAGTATTCTATCCTCTGAAATCCAAAAACTTCATTTATAATGTAAATCATGATGGAAAGATGGTCCACAGAAATTTGATGTTTTTTCTCCAAAACATAAAAATTTACCAAAAATTGAGCTCTCTTGTGTTTGAAGGTTAAAAGTTACTGCAGTGAGAATCCATGATGGATGACTTAAATTACCTTATACAAGTAGCTTCTTTGTTTTGCTTCCTGTAATCTCTTCACTGAGCTTCCTTTATTTCCTAATTTGATAGATTAGATTAGAATCATACATATTGCTATAATCAACATTTTCAGCTTTCGAATGATCATTTTCGTATATTGGATATAAAAATAAGATAAAATTTTATCGACATGTTCCCAAGTATTTCCATTCTCCATTATTTATCAAAATCAACTGGTTGCCCATGTGGCACAGTGGTTAGAGCGTCTGCTCTAGAGTCGCGAAGTAAGGACTTCGCAGCTAGGTTAAGGACTCCCATATATACGTCAGTCTATGCAGAGGTTCGGGAGGGCTATTATGACGTCACGTTAAAAACAATACAAATGAATCTCGATGAATAAATACTATATGTTCTTTTTAAAACACACTAAATACTTTCGTTTCTCATAAATGTTATAAAGATACATGGATGTGCAACTTATGTTGCCACAATACCACTTAGCGTATGCAGAATGAAAGCCAGCTTGATCTCGCTGTACTTACTGAGATGACGTCATTTCTTAGTTTGACACGCAGTTTCTCTGTATTTGAGGCGTGGATCAAGCTTTTATCGTAGCTTGTAAAAATAAAAATAAATACGAAACATGCATAGTCAGACAAAAAGAGAGACATATTCTGAAATATATTAATCCTCATTTTATTGTCAAACTAAATTGATAATGTGTAGACTTTAGATATAGCCGTAGGGAGCACATTTGTACAGTAACGTGCTAGAATGAGGGGTCCAGCCCCTTGAAAATATTAAAAGTTCAACGATATCCGCTTCACTATAAATTCTGAATTTTTAAACACATGTAGCTATTATTCCTACTATTCTGAAAAGTGCTGGGAGCTGGTTGTACATTCTTTATTTATTCCGTAATCTAACATTATTCCAATGCGTATTACATTTTTGTTTGGAGTTTATAGAAAGACGGCTAAATTTTAAACAATTCTCGAGCATGAGGAAGTTGCTCCCAGCACTTTTCGGGTTAAGGAATTTGTCTCAAAGAAAACAAAATAAATTTTATAGCGGAAAGATGCCTGTATATCGTTGAACTTTTACGATCTTTGTAGTAGTACATATATGGTCCAATTTTAAACCTGTCACGTGACAAACAGCTGATGTAAGCGATGTCACTTTGGCCAAACTCAGCAGAGACCCGATATATACAAATGCAATCACCACAATTCACATTTATCAAAACTACTGCTGTTTAAAAAATATGAAAATTGTATTCATTTTCTCTGAATATATAAAGGCGTATATTTCATGGGCGTCCTTAACCTAGCTGCATTGATCCTTACGTCGCGGGTTCGAATCCCACTGTGGGACATGGAGACCGGTCCTTCGGATGAGACCGTATAAACCGAGGTCCCGTGTCGCAGTAGGTGTCTCCATATGAGTGAAAAATTCTCAAGAGGGACGTTAAACAACAAACAAACAAACAAGCAAAATCAACTGTTTCTAATTTTAATCTCTTATAGGGGAGATTGAAAAGAAAGAAAGGGTGGATGAGTTTAACCTAGCAAGATAGAAGAAATATTGCACTAATTTTAGGAGTTATATCATTCATATTTCGATTGAAAAGAGACTTTTCTTGAAGCATGTTCATGCTAGATCATCAATGTAAAGGAAACCTTTTCTAACATACTGAATATTTACCTTTCTCAAAGAACCTGTTGGGGTCTGAGGCAGCCCTCTCGAATTTTTCAAGTTTGGCCAGAAGGTCTTCTCTCTTCAGTATGAGATCTGTCACCTTCTCCCAGTGCTCAATAGCCTAAAGAAAAAGTAGGAAGAATAGTACTAAACCAGTGGATGAAGTCAAGATTTTATGGTTATAAAAAAATTTTTTAAAAATTAAATTTTGGAATATTTTTACATCCAGATTTATTTATCATTTAAATCCCCATCATATAGTATACTGCAGTAGATGTACCTCATATAGTTTAACATAGTAGTCATTGGTGCTGTATTTAATAGCCATGTCCAGTTTAAGGTTGTCTGGCATCTCTAGTGAACCCCAAACCTTCTCCAGTCTCTCCTGAGGGGTAAGTTGTACCTCCCCACTCTATAAAATAAATAATACATAAAGGCTTAGGTTTCTCCAGTTTTAAATCTACATTAGCCTCTGAAGCAAATGAATAAGGAGTCTCTGATGAAACTGTAGCTCTTATTTGGTTTGTATAAATATAAAATGAAAAAAAAGTTTCACCTGGTCTTAAAACACCTTTTTTTTGTTTTTAAATATACAGAATAATGTATCCTGATATTTTCTAAATTTACACCAAGTTTTATTGATATAAAACCAAACTTTACAAGGAGTACCATTTTGAGAGATTTTTGATAGATTTTTATTTTTCTTTCTTTACCAAGGCTATATCCTTTAATGAAATTAAAAATAAATTGAAAACTGATAAATAGAATTATGTATCTACATGTGTACCAAAATTTATTCAAATTGAACAAATATTTTAGGAAGAAAAGCAGTTTGGAACTTTGTTTACAGACAGACAGATTTTTAAAAATTAATTTTATCCTTACCTCCTCTGTACGATCTGTCTCCAGCTTACTAATGGTTCCAGTTATAGTTGTCACTTTAGAGGCTCGAGATGTTGTGGCAACCTCTCTAAAAGATTCAAAGGAAACAATTTTAAAAAACACATTTTCTTCAAAAGAATTATCACCATCCTAATTTTTACAAATATGGTGCAAAAGGACAATTCAATCTTGAATTACCAAATAAAAAAGAAATTATTTTCAGTAAGCAATTAGTAATTTGCAAATAAAATGTGTCTATAGTGTTTGCGTTTTACCTGATTCACATTAAAAGTTAATTCCCTACCTTCCTGCTTTTTCTAGTTTTGCCGAGTGTCGGGCAGCAGCTCTTTCCTGGAGAGTTTTAGCCGATTTAGTTGTGTCAGCTGACTTCTTTCTGGAGGACGATGCATCATCATCATCTGCAACAAAATATAGACATTACAACTTACAAGTCAGGAGATAACATTTTTAGTTTTAAATTTTTTTTATGATATGAAATGAAATTTTAAAAATTGGCAGTCCGCACAGATCACTAGATCTTTAAGATAAAAATCTTATAAAGTAGATCAAAGTTTCAACTTTGCTTAAATTAAACACATACATGTATATGGTCTAAGACAATATTAAGTATTAGTTAGGAGTTTTGAAAATTGAGTGATACAATGAAACAAACCCTGTGGTTCTGTAAGGACTGGGTCCTTCCCCAATCCACCCATCAAGATGGAGTTCACATTCCACATTCCCTCTTCATACTTATTCTTCTCTTGTTTTAATTCCTCTATTTTCTTCTCTCTCTCCCTGAAAAAAAACCCACAAAGCTGTGAGAGACGGTTTATATAAGGGAAATTGGAAAAGTAAAGAAGAGGTAAAGAATTGAGAAAAAAATTCCATCATAATTAAAGATAGATGAGTCTCCATCAGTATTCTTTCCCCGACTTTTACATCATGAAGTATAATAAAAACAATTAGATAAGCATGTTTTAAAACCTTTCAATAATTTTCTGAAATTAAAAAGTTCCAAGGGATAAATGCATAGCCAAATTAATACAATCAAGATTAAAAATCAAGTTAAGTAAAAATGAAAAATCTACCTCATTGCATACAACATTCATGCATTAGTTATGGACAATCTGCTCTAGGATGAACACATGTACTGAATACAAGAATCTTTTCATTTATTTTTTTTCCATAACGTACTCTAGCTTCTAATAATGTTTTTTTTTTTTTTTTTTAAAAAAAGTTGCGATAGTTATATGCATGACATCTTTATTACATCAGAATTTCTTTCATCTAGCTTAATTATACTCTTGTGTAAACATAATACTATTATATAAGTAGAATGAATTAAAGAAAATTTTGTCTGTTTAGGAGCTTCAAAGTGATTGATTCATTTATGCACATACTATATTGTGCGCATATTCTATGTTGCTTAAATGTTGACAAAATGCCTTCATTATTACTACTCATTTATTTCAAAGCTGGAATGAAAAAAATTTACATTTCAAATTTTTGTTTCAAACTACACAAAATAAAATCAAAGAAAAATTTGCAAATCCTAACTTGAATTTAAGCTTGCATGCCGAAAAAAAACAAAACAATTTCGTTGTGATAGCAAGTACATGTATGCACTACCGATTTCTATTACGTGTACTTTTAAAAGCATTTTGAGATGTCACTACAGATGTATATGCATGCTTGAATATGACATTTTAAACTAGTGTGCAATACTAAGATATTGAGGTAAATTGATAGAAATATCTCTTTTCCACCTCCAGTTTCAATAGGTAACCAACTATTGTCTAAAAGCTTAACTAAATTCATTTGTTCCAAGTAACTGAGCAAAAGTCTTTCCCCTTGAAATCGATACTTTTGCTTTGTATTTCATGTGCATGGCAACAATATTACAAGGAAAAAAATTCTTTCAAAAAAACTGGAGAAAAATTTAATTTATCAGATTAATAGTTTTTTTTTTTTAGATCCTATAGCTTAATTATTATATTTAATCCATACACATCTTCATGAAAAATCTGAAAGTTATTTGAGCTCTGGGAGTTTAACTTAGTTTTTCAAACTTGGGGAATCTTTTTTTTTTTTTTATTGAATTCGCAACTAATTCATATCAAAATGTCAAATATTTTTTTCTTAAAACAGCTAGAATATTTGACACAAAAAGTATTTTTTGAAAAAATTATATAAAACTGTAAAATTACCAAAAACTTGAAGAGAGGGAGATGTTGGGATTTTTTTATAGAAAATTTTTTTCCATTTAGAATTTCAGTGCCTTTTTCCCCTTCTTGTGTACCAAGCTATCACAACTACTGAGTAATTCACAACATTGAGTCCACCTGAATACTTACAACTGTAACCTCTGCTGCTTTCTGAAATTAAGTCACTGTCCAATTTAACAATATATCTAAAATAATCACCTTGGGAGACTTGGTGGTAATGCTATGGGACTATCTCACCCTTCCCCTTTTCACCTTACACATATGCACTAAATCAAGGCTCACTAAAATAATGGCTTTTTAAAAATACATAATTGATAAAGTAATATTTGATTTGCACATCAACCAAGATATTCCGGGGGAAAGAGTATTTTTAGAGGTCATTTCAGAGTCAGGGAAATCCCCTCCCCCCAATGCAAGTTAGATCCATTTGATTACTGAATCATCCTTCAGACAAAAAATTCATACATTAGATGCACTGAATGCGAGTTTGGTTTTAAAATCAATTGTCATATGCTGGGCATTGTTCTTAACATATGGGTTCATCAAGCAGGAATTGTACAAAGATAAAGATCACAAAAAGCATCCAGAAATTCTCCAACTGTTCAAGTTTGTTTGGATTCTATTTATGTCCTTTCAATAAAAGTCACTGAAGCATGATTTATAGATCATATGCATTACCCAAAACATCCCTAGATATACCACATCTGAAAGTCTGGTTTGGATACACTAAAAATAAACAAGGAAAAGACCTAGATTGTCAGCTGTACAGAGGGAGAAACAGATAAACAGATGGACATGATGATTATAGAGAATTGTATCTCAATCCCTTGATTATTCTGCAGTAGAGAAGTGTAGGGATGAAAAGAAAAGATATCCCAAACCTCTTAATTCTTTAAACAAAAGTACAATATTATCAATGTATAAATCTTTGGTTTGTAGGAATAAAACAGAATTAAAATACTCACAACCCTTTACCATTAAATAACAAGAAGTTTATTCATTAAAAATTTAAAGCCCATAAGTTTATTCATAAAAAAATAATATCCCAATTCATCAGTAATTCCCATATCCTTATCCAGTTGAGTTATGGATTAATTAAATCTTAAAAATCATCAATGTTATTAGCTTTTCTGAAACTCAAATCTGTACACCTTACCATCTGATTATTTCACCTCTCATTCCCCATAAAGCTTCATTTACCTGTGTGATTTGCTACTTAAAGACGGAGAACTGAAAAGGGGACTTAACTCCTGAGAAACTTGTTAATATTTACACACAAGATATGGTACAAAATAGTAACTTGGTAACTTATTTTTTTTTAAATAAATATTTCAAATTTTTCTGAAAACATGACATGAAATGCCCACTTTTGGCTTTGCCAATTATTTGCACCAGTACAGAAATACGTCTTGCTAGCTATTAATGCTGCTTTATAATATTCTCTTGTAAATTATCAGTTACATGTATTACAATGCCATTAACCCCTAACCCCTTGCTAACATTGATATCACTCTGTCACAGATAACTTACTTGAGTTCTGCTAGTTTACTGGGCTGCCCCGCCCTGGAGTGAGGTTTAAATGGAGACATGCCCATCCTTGGTATGGTGTAGCCTCGAGGAGTAGGCTCCTCTTCTTCCTCCTCATCCTCGTCCTCAGAGTCGTAGAAATGAAATACCACCCCCATATAATCCGACTCCTGAAGAAATCATAAAATTAAGTATTGAAATTTAGATTACTAAGAAACCTGAATTGTTTGTTATAAGAAAATATATGTAGCATACCATCTGTCAAAAGATCAAATCAAAATTCAGTAAACATTGAATAATTAAGAAGAAATGTAAAGTTAAGTACATGTACCATTCATCTTTTTTAAATATATAATAATGTAAAAGAAAAGGAAAAAGATCACTTTCTTATTGCTCAGTATATCATTGTTTTAAAAAAAAAACTTGTCTTGATTGAGTGGTTGTTATGCATTAAAGCTATGATCAATTTTCATTGTGCATCAAACTTACAAGTGTTTTATTTCAATTTTTGTACCATTTCAGTTCTAGATAATAGAGACTTTTTTTTTCTTTTGATTTCTGCAAAGTCTTAGATATTATAAAGATCAATATAAAAACAAGAACTGGCAAAATACCCTTCAAGAACTTAGCTAGGTCAGATAATACATGTATCAACTTTAAGCATATAACAGTGTTTATAGTATAACCAAATGTTACATTCCTAAAGTAGTATATTTTAATCATTGTAACAGTTCTGTGGTAAATCTAGAGAATTTAAATTTGACCCCCTTCCCTTTTTTCCCAAAACAAACAAAAAACAAAATGAAGCAAACAGAAATAAACACAAAAGGGATAAATAAAATCAAGTGCACCAATTAATTATTCCTAAACCTAACTTCCTAAATTTTCTACATAAAACTTTAAATCTTAATTAGTTTTAATTATTCAGGTAAATCATGCATACTCCTATAAAACAGTAATAATTAAAGCACTTCCACATTGACTTGTACCGGTAGTATGACAGATCACTAGATTCTAAATCTTGCTGCAGCTGGCTATATAATTAATCCTTTGGGAAAAAATAATGTGATTTTTTCTTTGGTTAATGTTTATAAATTCTCTAAAATACAATTAAATTATATCAAAATGAATACATGTATATAGTAGATTACAATATTACCTGCAATTAAAAAATATGTACACAATTAGCCATTAAAAAAGATCCATAACCAGAAAATCGATCAGATAAGGCATTGCTTCAGATAAGACAATATATAAATCACATTTAATTTGACAGATCACATTAGAGACAATTAATGCTCGGAATCTTGCTGCAGCAAGCTAATAAATGAATTCTATGGGAAAGATTGTGTCATCTCTCTAGTTCTTTGATGTTAATGACCTCTAAAAAAATTTTTAAAAAATCTTTTTAATTGATTGTTTTGTGAATTATAAAATTAATGTAGACTTTTGAAAGTTGCATAAGATTTTCAAAGGAATGCTTATATTCAAACAGTCATGTAGATAAAATTCATATATATACTGTAATGATTATTAAACTCGTTAATTTTTTTTATCCATGTCATGGTTCCCTTGACCTTTGAGCTATGACCTTGAAAAGCAATAGGGATCTTCTTCACAAGATACACTACTTACTTGTAAAATATGAACTTAATAGGAAAAAAATGCATTCAAGAGTTTTCTTAAAAAACTTGTGGGATGCCCACCCATGCCATCAGAGGTAAAACAGGATAACATGCAACTTTATAGGTGAGATTGTGGGGTTTAAAAAGAGAATGTTCAAGACATGCAACAATAAATGATAGTTTTCAAAAAGGATTTTAAGAAATCTTAAATAAAGGCATGCTAGAATATTTCATGTATTCAAAATTTGGGGTGCAGGCATACAAGTTAGAGTGCCAATTTAATATAAAAAGAAGACAACCAAGCAAGATTCAAAATAGTAATGATCACTGATCAAAACTACAAATCTTCTCCATATTTTATACTTCCAAAACACCATTAAATTATTTTTTTTTTCACTAAAAGCATTCAAGAAAATTATACTAAAAGAGAGAGCTTATTAAGAATCTAGCAGATTAAAAATTTAGGCATTAATTGCATGCAAGTGCAATAATGACAGAAATAGTGCTGTGCACTACAGCTGAGGAAATCAAGCAACACATCTAAGGATAAGGAGCTGTACCGTGGTCGACAAGTATTTCATGTAGTCGTCGCTGGTAATGGTACTCCTCCACCATTGGAGCCAGGAAGCGTACGTCCTTGACATTTTCTCGGCAACAAATTTGGGCATATTTTCTGTCTGCTCCTTGATCTGGGCCATTTTTCGAGGATTGTGCATAAAGTCATGAATCTTTTCCATGTTAGGTGTCTGACAAGTTATAAAGATATGACTTGTAAAATAAATACCTTATGATGCAGATTCATCAACTATGTGAAGGTATACAACAAGAAAGTGAGCTATTCACAACCATCTGGATTTTCTTCACCTAAATTTTATGTTCTAGTTTATTAATTTAATTTTCTTTTCATCTACATTGTAAATTGTGACTCTGCATCTTATATTCTATCTTTGTTTCTTATAAAGAAATATATAGCCCGTACATGTACTACAGTATTTATCAAAATTTTGAAATGCTCAAATGCTGCTCAATATAACTTGACCAATACAAAACATAAAAAATTGTTTTAAAGTTTCAGAAATTTTCAGCAGAATGAATTCCAACCTGGATTTGAACATTCAAAGTCTATTATGAGACTAAAATCAACAAATGTACAAACTTGCTGTATAGCTTGTTTTGTAAGGATTACATAATTTCTTTGTAAAGTGACATTCATTTAAAAGGTTAGTTATCTTTTAGAGAAATCATTTATTTCAATGACTATTTTTAATATACAAATGTAAACTGAATCAATAATATTAAAACAAAACTAATTTTAAATTATTGCAGCAACAACTTAACAACAACTACAATTCATTTTCATTCAATAAAAGTAATGTGTAAAGTGCAACATTTCCTGAAATGAATGTATCTGAGATTACCTTATATTTAGGAAAAAACTGTGATAATGCAAGCATATGTATAAATTATTGTGTGCAGATCATTTAATCTGTCTAAAATAATTTCTGAAAACATACTTGCATGCTTTGACAAAATACATTATGACAATGAATACTTATATGTACCTTATTTTCTGGAAGGATAAAAAATACTTATTATGCAAAACACCATTGAATTTTCCTACTGAAATTACATGTATATGTACTTAGAGGATCTCTGAAGATAGCAGTTACATTCATACATGAATACAGTGTACTTACAGTTGGATGAAATGTATCTTCTCCTAAGAAATTCTTTGGAGGGTTGTGGGGTCTAAAATAGAGAAACAATTATATCACCAACATCTTGGTAAGTTTCATTTTGCTTTACAACCCTAGAACTATAATTATAACTGACTTACGTTCTGACCCACTGTTTGGGATCCATTTCCCCCCATGGGGCCTTCTGACCCCGATTCAGGGCAGGGTTAATCACTCGTTGACTTCGCCTCTTTGCCAGTGTGGAGGAAGCCATAGTGCCTGATAAATTAACATCATCAGCAGCTTTTTGAACCATTTCATCCTAAGAAAAGAAAATCATTTACATACTTGATTCACACAGTATCTTTCCTAAAGTATATACATGTAGTACATTAGAAGTATTTACCCTTTCAGTAGTTTTTAGTAATGTAAATGTTCTCTTTTTTTTAATTTGAGCTTTTTGTCAGGATTCTAAATTTGACAATATCCTGCTTAATTTTGCTATGTACATGTGATATATTAAACTTCTAGATATATACCGGGTACCTGTAAATGATTTTTGATTAATATTTTATCTTCTGTCTTGCTAACATGTATCATACATGTACGTAAATAATAAGTTGGGACAATATATCGAAATATCTGGTATAATTACTTGTGTTGAAATATCGATACAAAAAAGAAATCTTCAGACTTTTTTTGTTGTACTTATGTTTTGGGTTTAAAATATAATTATTTTTACATATGAATATGAAATGTGTAATAATTAACACCACTTTTGTTAAATTATTTTTGTTTCACAACAAATATTTTTGTTTTACAACAAATATACATCTGTGAATAGATAAGTGTTATTTGTGAAGAAATATTTTTTTTTATTTCAATGTAAAATGAAAATTCATTAACTATGTAAAAGATGTACCATCCCAGCCTTAATAATAACAATCTTAGGTATATACCATCAGTACATTTATCTTTGAGGCATTTGTGTGAATTCTTATCATTGCTCAAGGATATGTAAGAGGAATAAAAAATTGGAACTCAATTAGGAAGCCTAATTTCTGGAGGTATATCCATAATCCTTATCTTCGTAACTAAAATCTAGGACAATTTCCATAAGGGTAAACAACTTTAGTTTAAAGGTAAAAAAGTAGAACAGAATATTTGAGATTCACAGTAACTTACATCATCCAGCCTAAGATGGTCTGTAGGGACAGTCTTCATGATTTCTCTGTACACCTCCTTAATCTCATCACTGAGGAATAAGTTCTTATCTAGACTCTTCACAGTGGCAGGATCAATCTACAAAGGAAGACAAAATCATTTCTTTTTTTTAATCTAACCAAAGAGTACTGTTCATGGAAATGGCTGTTCAACTTTTAAGAAAAGGGACCTAAGTAGGAAAAGTTTTATTGAAAAGAATATTTGCACAAAGAAAAAAAATATACAATATTATAGGTACCTCATCAGTGAGTTCATTGTACACTGTTGTGTATCCATCGATGGTGATTGAAGACATACAAACTCTCTCTGACACCCGGATATCTGATGCTCTGACTTCCATCTGAAATGGGAAAGAATTGCGTATGGAAGACACATAAAAATCAAAAACAAAAACAGAGAGCTTAAAAACTTCACAACTAGCATCACATTGCAACAAGTTTCTAATATACAGTACAGGCAACGCGGATCCCGTATTAGACCGCGTTCCCTCGGCGGTGTGTTAATCCTTTCCGCGTTACACCGTCGCGGGTTTTGATCGCGGTACTACCTGCGACCGTGTGTACACCGCGGCGGGGCCAGCTACCGTTATTCTTTATCTTAGATGTTGTTACCTGTAAAGTGTTGTCGATTTTTAATAGCGTCAAAAAAAGGGGGGTGTAAGCCATTAAAGGTTACGGCCTGCATTAATTAAATGAATTTTTAATTCAATTTTTAAGTATTATCAAATTGTATAATAATACTTGTGTAATTATTTTTTATCTATCTTTTTCTTAAAGTCATTCAAAATTAATTAATTCTCAAATTTAAAAAAAGAACGTATAATGCCAGTGCTTGTGGTAAAATTTGATGAAATATCGTCAACTGAAATATCGTATATATTTTTTAAAATCAATAATTCCAACATAAATGATCATGACATTGCTAAATAGTGCACAGTAAAATAGATTTTTTAAAAATGCCATATCATTTCTGTTAAAATGCATTAAATACAGTGTTCACGATTTGCCAGTGCCAGTGTGGTTGTGTTCTTGGTTACATGTAGCTATGCGTTTATTTTTCTGCGAGATTCTATCACAGTCATTGGTTTCTTGAAGAAAAAATGCTTCTGTATACGTATCTGTTATAAGTATAAGCATGAAAAACGATGCTAGATAGAGATGGTAACAGTATGATATTAAAGAATAAACACGTGTACATTTAGGAATATGTTGCACAATTAGCTTCTGACAAATATGCGCTAAACAGAAATATCAACATGATCTTTCTTTTTTTTTTTTTTTTTTTGGTTATTGTTGTAAATAAAATCATTACATTCTTTTCAGAATAATTTCATAGCTAGTATTTGACTGTATTTCTATTTCCTTTCTTTTTGAAATTAATATAATCATGCGGCTCTTCAACAAATTTCACGTACATGTATCGTCAAATCAGAAAGGACGGCTCTTTTATTAGCTGTTTATATGAGCCTAAAAAATAATTTGAACATACAGCATTGTAGATGAACTAATTATAATCAGCGGTAGGCTACAAGTTTTCAGGTGTCTGTGTAACTGGCCCATACCCTTACGAAATACCTGTAATACTGTCAGATTGCGTAATCTTACATCATGAAGAATGTTGGCGACCTTGTAAATAAGTGTCTTGGAATCAATCTCTTATCAAGCAGTTAGTTTAGTTAAATTAGTGTCTGTGGCTATCACTGTTCCCGTGTTCTTCATTAACTGGCAGAATTAGACAAAGTGCTTACTGGTCAATAAACCGATAAATCAGCTACAGTAATACCTATCCGTTCACAGAAACGACTATTTTGAAACCGAACAAAATTTGATTCACAAGCAATTTCATTTAAATTATAATTATAAATCGATAAATCAATAAACTGATTTCAGGAAAAACGATGCACGTGCCGTACATGTAACTTTCTGTATGTTCTCTCTCTCTCTCTCTCTCTCTCTCTCTCTCTCTCTCTCTTTCTTCCTTTTTTTTGGTTGAAATTAATTCAAATTATACTTACATGTACAGGTACATGTATGAACGTATAAACTGAGACGTAAACAAAATACATGTACTTATAAAACATAATTTGATTTGATTTATTTTATTTTTTTCAACTCTATTAATTTGTTTTAAAAAGTTTGATTTTTAATATACACACAGTTTGGGCTAAAAAAAAAAAGCAACTGTGAATATATTGTCTCAAATTTCTTGGTTGAAAATAAAGAAATAATGAGACATTGAATGGACTGGTATGTCGTATGGCTAGACAACGATGTGCGCATTTGGAGAGATTTACCTCAGGTACCCTAGGACACTCACAGGTGTGAAACCCCCAGGGCATGCCGTTTCCTGCTCTGGGTCTGCTAATCCCTATACACAGGAAATGATCGCGGCTAATACTTAATACACAAAGAAACAAAATTTGTCAAAGTATACGTTAGCATTTGATTTTTTCCTTGAATATTATTGAAAATAAAAGTGTTGTGAGTGTAAAATATCTCCCTTCTTTATATTTGTTCCCTGGAGTTCATCACCATGCATGCACATCCTATGTTATTTTATTGAACATGTAAATGGAGAAATAATAATTATTATTTTTTTTTTTAAAAATCATCGTTTACCAAAGAATTAAATATCAAAGTGAAGAAAGGATGATAGTTTTTTTTTTTATTATTATTGATAGCTTGTATACCGTTTACGTGCCCACTAACTGCAAACTCTCGACTTCGAATATTACAGCTTTCCAGTAATTTGACATTTTCAGAAAAATGCTTGCACATTCGTACAATAAAGCGAAATTAATTTAATGAATTATAGTGTTCTAAATTTGGTAAAAATACAAAAACATAAACAATATAAAGATGCACCTTTTTTATTTCATAGGAGTGTTAAAAATTGTTAATCGGAACTCGCACTGATTATTGTTTAGCACGTGTACATCATTATTGCAATTCGCATATAATTTGAAAAGACTTTCTAGAGCTAATAAACCCATCATTTAATTTTGTTTCATGCTAAAATCTCAAATAACACAGCTTATAATTCTATTTAAACGAAAGATGTCGCCTTAGCATTGATACATGCAAATAGTTTTAAATACAAATCTAAAAAAGTTTATAATATCTCCTGCTTTACAAATCTTTTTAGGTGTATGTTTATTATTTTCTATTCATCGTTGCAAAACAAAAGAAAATACTTTCATAAATAAACATACTCTGTAGTTATTCTTTGTTACTACCTGAAAATTTCGCAAATTCTCGTTCGGGGAGATAACTCCCGTTTGTTTATGATACTAGTTGATCGATGATTTAACCGCGGCGGGGACAGGTAGGTGATGAACTTCCCGCGGAGGGAACGCGGTTTACCTGTCTCACCTGGCCAAATCCCGCGTTGTGTTTATACCGCGACGGGGCGCGGGAAATACGGGATCCGCGTTGCCTGTACTGTATGTACCTTATTCAAAACAAATTTCCTTTTTTGTGAGATAATGACTATATGTGTTAATACACTGTATACTCTGATTTTTAATCCTCTTACCCCTGGAAGTCTAGCACTGACAGTTGAAGGCTGGGGGTGTGTTGGTTCCCTAATGTTCACACTGAAATATAAAAAATATAACATGTACAATTCAAAAAAAAAAAAACTTAAATAAAATGAAATGGCTTGGACAAAATAATAAAACAAACAAACACATTTTGATAGTTGTTTTAATCAGAAAATTAAGAATTTAGTCTGCAAAACTATAGTTGCAGATCTGTGGTCAGAAAAAAAACAAACAAACTTGGATGGATGGTCCTGGACATGTACCAATCCTTCCTTTTTTTTCAGACCACAAGACAAAATAATCAAAAAGGATTATCCACCTTGACTCTTTGATATCTTGTCTTTCCTTCTCTTCCAATTCTTTCATTCTCTGCTCCAATCTCTCTTTCAGACCATCATGTTTAGCACTTCTTGTAATAGCCTACAAAAGTGACTAGTACTTGAGGAATATGTACATCATTTAAACACTGACTGATGGCCTGATGTGTTTCATGGATATTAATCTACCTTTACATGTATTTTTTATTGTCATGAATCAGAGAAAATTGTTTGCTGTTGTTGAATATCCATTTGCACAAGTATTATACAAATGTACAGTCCTTTCAATTGACCTGCAGACAAATTTTTACAATATTTTGAATGCAGACAAGTTTATTTTGAAATTAAAATGAGAACCTGTAACAATGGTGGCAGGTCTTCCTTGATCTTCGGATCCTCTGTGTCTTGTGGGCGTTTGACAAGGCGTTGTAAATCTTGAGCAGCGTACTCTCGAGTTCCTGGCTGAGGTTTCTTACTGGCATCTACCACGATTTTCTGCTTACTCTGCTGTTAATAAATTAATAATCAACATTTAACTTTTTTACATGCCCTTTTCAGTATATAAATATCGTAACATCCTTTAGAATCCATCAACCCAAGCAAAATAGATGATTTATGTCCCTTATCATTAATTTTCATGCACCCAACTCATGTGTAAAAAAAAAAATTTCAAAGCAATTATGTAAAATAGAACGTGAAATAGATCTATTCGTTGGAAACCTTTTATCTGTATATAAGAGTGTGTGTGTTTTCTCATTACCTGCACTTTCTGCTGAGCCATTTGACGTTTGAGAATGTCAATTTCATACTGAGCCAGTACATCCTTTTTGATAGATCGATCAATACCAAGTTCTTCTAGAAGTGTCTCCCCAAACTGAATATCTGGCAGAGAGCGGGACCGCTGTAAAAAAATAAGTAACATTTTACAGTTTCACAACACAAAAAAGACATTTTCTTCTGAATTTGTGCATTTACTAGAAAGGTAATCAGCTGAAGTTAAATGGCAATCTATGATTTGCTACTCAGTGTAAACTTTGCAGCTGAATTAAAAAATCCAAATTCTATGACAATATTGGAGGCATTTGAAATACAGCAAAGAATTAAATTCATGCCACTAATTCACATTGCAGTAAATTCTGTGTTTTCTTTTAAAGAGATTAATTGGGATTAATTTTTGCTATATACGTGGTCACGAATTTTCCACAGAAATTTGTTTCATTGTACTAAAAGTGCATTAAAGACTAACACTGACAATCAAAGAAATCCGCATATTTTTCATCCACGGATTGAAGAGAAATTGAGATTCCATGGAATTATGACCCTTTGGAAAAAAGTATGTTTACTGTATTTCTTTTAAAGATGGATGCTGATAACACTATGAAGTACCTACAAGTCCCTATCCTAAAGAAAACAAGTTGATAAATATAATGAAAAGATAGCTTACCTTTAAAAGTACCTTCCTCCTTGAAAGATCCTCTTTTGACACACTGTAATTAATGAACTTAATTTATGAGAAAGTAACACACTACCTGTTATATAAAAAAAAGTATGTTTCATCTTCCAAGATGCTTAAATTAACTCAGGTTTTCATGAAATAAGGTTTTATTTTACAGGTAATATATAAGATATGCATCCAAGTCATTTTTTTTTCTTAACCTTAATTCAAGCTAAAAAAGGTGACCAAAGAAATTACTCCACATTCTGTTAATCAGTGTACTGCCATCTTCTACATGTGTGGGAAACTATGGACTACGGTAATTGACCATACATTAATCAATGAATTATGAACCTACCCTGAGGTCTGCTTCTCTCTGTCAGAGATTCTTGATGCTTTCCCTTCTGATGCTGTAAGGTTTAATAACAAATAACACAGTAAATACCCATATGCTAAAAAAGCTTTATAAGGGTGAAAATCCATAAAATCTGAATTTTTTTAGATGAAAATTTATCCAACAACAATGTAAATAGCCACATGCTAAGAAGCTTTAAAGGAAATCTACATTATTGTAAATGTAAAGTTTATCCAGATTTTAATACTGACCCTCTGATGGAGTTTCTAGATCTCTTTCCGGGAGGTCAGTCAAAAGACCCAGTACTTTATTGGTGTCCAAGGAGGGCATATTGTCCACAATCTGCACAGAATTAAAACCAATTCACTTTTTTCATACATGTACCCCTCATGTGCACACAAAGTACATTGTACAAGGGACACAAAAGTTTCTGTTACATTATTCTAAGAAAATCATGTATTCCTTAACAGCAAATTAAAGAGATGGATATATAGGTCTGCATCTAATTATAAACTCTTGGACGTACCTGTTTTGCTTCTTGCTCAGGAGTATGAAACCTGTATCTCTTCACTTTAGACTTTGGACGACTGGTTTGGATCTGGAGTATAACAATATAAAAAATTGTTTATATATTAAAGTCAAAATATCAAGCTCTAAAATGAAAAAAAAAAAACACCATTAAATTGCATACACTGACCATTCCTTTAAATGACAGAACCGGAACATCTGATTTGGTTCGTACTGGTTTTTCTGGTGACGCTGAGTAGACAACATCCTCTCCTGTATCTCCGTCTGTAGCTTGTTTACGAATGTCCTCCACGATGTATCTCCGTATTGTCAAAATATTGAAGCTGCATGTACAGAAACCAAATTTGTTAAAGTTTCTTCTAAATTTATCCTATTGGTGGTGGTCAGGGAAAGTTATCAGTAAAAAGAATCAACAATATTAACACACTTTGACTTTCTTAATGCTAAAATTTGAGACAAATACATATTCATTAGTCAATGACATACATGTATTGGAGAACATTTACTTCTTTTACATTAAAAAGTTTGAAAGTCAATATCCTGCACTCTATAACTTACAATTTATTTGCATCTAAAGCTAACTGGGCCTTCAATCTGCTCATATTAGCAGGACCACTAAAAATCCCTCGCTGGTTCAAAACTTAAATAACAAACAAAAACAAAGATATCAGTTTTTCACTTTAAGTACCAGTATACATATCATTTTACAACCCTAACACTGCACATAAATATCATATATTCTGAAAATATATTATTTATATTCTCAATATTGTACTTTTTAAAAAAATATCTGCAATTTTCAAACCTTGAGCTTTTTTGGTGTAGTGGTTGAACAGTTCTTCACATACGGTTACTATGTGTACAGCTATTCGTCTGTTTAGTTCTTTGTTTTGTTCTGGACTCTGAGTCAATCAAAATTAAAAAAATTATTAGGGTGTCTTTAAATTTATACTTTTTTCCAACAATGTCTGAGTGAATTGAGCTAAAAGATTAGTTTTTCAAGTACAAGTAAATCACCAAACTTACCAGGAATGGGTCATCTATTTGTTTTCTGATTTCTGGCCATATCAAATTGATTTCCCCCATCAAAATTCCAGCCTGAGATGAAAAATGTTAAAATCCATTTATAACACTACATTGGAAAACAGAAGGCCCATAGGCCTTGCCAGTAACCTGAGGTTTGACCAACTTTCAGAAGAGCTCTGGATCCATGTGGCATGAATTTTACAATTTTAATTGCTGCTTTCTTTTTTTAATTTATACAGCTTAATAAAGTTTGTCTACTATTAAAGAAGATTATCAAGGACTCACTACACTTTCAATGTATTACCAACTCAACACCACACTGAGCTTGAATCCTAGATGGGACATAATTTTCGCATATTTGGTTGATGGTCCATTGTCATCATGCAGACAGTTTGCCTTCTAGATGTCCCATTGTAAATGCATATACTTGATACACAGATTCAAATTAAGATTTTCTAATGTGCAATGGATTGTCAATTATTACAAACTTAGCTCAGTGTAGGGCCTGAACTTTAATTTAAATATGAGTTTGAAATCCTCACAAGAGACAGTTGTGGTGATTTGCATGGAAATTTTCTGCAGGGATATAGTATACAAGAAATATAACTAAATTTTTATCCAATACTTTCATCTATAGGAAAAAAAAATATAAATTCAGTGAAACAAATACAATTACATGTACTTTCCTAGTAGTTTCAAAAACAATGAGGACTCACCAAATTTTGTTGATCATCAATGGACAGGTAAGGATCATCAGGCCTGGCTTTAATCCTCCTTCTTACAAATTTGGCCAGTTGTTCTAAACTAGTGGGCTGTTGTCTAATTTCTTCCTGTAGTGTGAAAATCGAAAATTCTTTATGTCGATGTGAAATATGTCAAGTGTTCTGCAACTATACACTTAAAATTCTCAAAACCTATAGTTTTTTCATTTTTGCTTTTTAGAAAATATGAAACAGCTATATCTAATTATAAATATAGATGAATCACATGAATTTCTCTTTCAACACATCAATACTCAGACATATTGTTACACCCTAATTAACATACATTTATTGGAGTATTTGGTCTTTCAAGTTCAACTCTGGGTTTCCCTTCTGCATCTGGAAAATGAATTATAACAACAATAGAAAAAAAAGTCATGTAGCGGATCAGATTATATAAGACTATTTACTTTGTATGCAAAAAAAAAAAAAATAATAAAATAATGCAAATCTTTTGGTAAATCTTTCAGGATACAGTTTTTTGATAGTTGACTTTAATATCCTTTTGATTTCCTTTTGATTTTTTAATAAACAATTGTATCTTTATTTGTGTGCACATCATTGTCCTCTCACCTTCATCATCACCATAAGCTGTGAACAGTGACAGAGGTTCTAATACACTTTTAATTTTCTTCTCAACATCACTCTGTTAAACACAATACAAAAAGAATTAACTTTACAAGCAAAGCCTGCTCAGTTCAACTTTAGATGATAAATATTAAAGCTAAATGATATTTGATTCGCTTTTGTTCCCTCAAAATTGAAAATGAAATCAAATTTGTACATGGACAACTAAAATAGAGTGTAAAATAAAATTAAAGTGCAAACCTGTCCTGCAGTTTGACTGAAAAGCTAATTATCAAAGTAGTACATGTATGTAGCTTGTAATGTTTTATTCACGATAGCAATTTGATTCTGTATGTTTACATCATGCAATACTTTCCAATCAAAGGAATTAAAGCTCTTGAAACTTACATGAGTGTACGAAACTTACGTGAGTGTATGAAGGCCACTTCAAAGGATACATATCCCCCTCCTTTTGAACCTTATCTTGCTCTGGAGGGGGTTCAGGAATGATGTCCTTGCCTGGGATGGGATGCCGCTTTGGCAGTCTAACCTGCACCTGGATGGGGTCGGCATGGTATCCTGTGAACTTCACTGCAGTGTTGTCAGATGTAGGCATACTTAACCTGAGAATAAAGACAAATGTTATCTAAACTGCTTGTTGACTATGTTGGAAGACTCAATTTTTTTCTTAATGTAGGAGCTAAGAATCTAACTTCTCAGATTTTGAAAGTTCTGCTATAATATTTGAGTTCCTGGCCAATATAACACAAAAATCCATGCTCTCATGCAGACTAACAAAGCAAAACTTACCCCAACTTTTTGAACCTAAAACTTGGTTTTTCATCATTTCTTTTAAGAATTCCCTTTCTTTTAGAGCTGCCGATATAAGACATGATGGGAACATATACAAATCCTAAGTTTAGAAATTTTAACTAAACATTGAACATAAAACAAATGCTCTGTTAATCATAAATAAATGCTTTGACATTTAAATGTAAATGAGCTAGGATACATCTGTTAAAATGCCTTCAAGGTGCTGCCTCCAAGTAACTGTACACTACAACAATTAGTGGTTATTTAAATCATTGTTCATACTATTGTTTCAATTTAGATACATTATCTTTATTTTAAGCAGATTAAAACCAGATACTGTGTGAAAAATTCTTTTACAAAAAGACCAGGGTTGATATCAGTTAGCAACTACTAGTAATATCTCTGTATTTGTCAAGCTATTTTGTCTTTGTTTCTTCATGAAATCCGACATGGAATTCACCACAAATCTTGAAATGTTTAGGTATGTACCAATTACAGGTGTCAAATTTTAATTTCATTACATAATAAATTACTTTATTCTTGGATTTTACCTATAATTGAACTTATTTATGCACAGTTGAAAAAAAAAGTTTTCATTGGTAATTAAATATCATTTAATTCAAATATGCATGTTTAACCAGTAATTAAATATAGAAGAAAAGAGTTGATGAAAGATATCAAGCTATAATTTGGCATATACATTATGTTTATGTATAGTTATATGTGTTCCATCTATAGTAGTTTGTAATTTAATGCCTTTCATCCTTTACTTCCCATATCAATAACATTCAAATGTACGAGAATAAACAGACCTTTTGTCCCCTCATGTTACTAAAACTGGGGGATATTAATTCTGTCCCACTGTTCATCTGTATATTCATTTATCCTTTTCTAATCTTAATGTAATTTCGTTTTTTATTATGCATCCAAATATTCACTTCTATAACTACATCAAAAACTGTACACTGTATAAAACTCATTCAACAAACCTGTACATGCATCTGATGTGTGTTATATGTGTTTTATGATCTGGTCATGTGATTTCTGTTTGATGTGTGTTATATGTGTTTTATGTTCTGGTCATATGATTTCTGTTTGATGTGTGTTATATGTGTTTTATGTTCTGGTCATGTGATTCCTGTTTGATGTGTGTTATATGTGTTTTATGTTCTGGTCATACGTACACTTATATTTTACAGTGTCTAATGTGTGTTTATATGTCTTTTTATGGTCTGTTGAATTCAATAGTGTGACTCTAAACAAAGTTTACTTATCTACTGTACATCTGTAGTAAGAATATATCTAACTACACAAGAGGATGATGGGCCACACTGCTCACCTAAGCACTTTGCCTAGAGAAAAGCAGAGATTGGTTCAGTTTTGAAAAAATTAACCATACAAGTGGTCCAATCCAACCCCCTGGGGGTGATGATTGGAATAAATTTGAATTAACTCTACCCCAAGATGATTCCTGACTAATCATGGCTTTGCTGTTCTTAAGAAAAAGATTTTAAAAGATTTTTCCTACATATTCCCATGTAAAACTTAGATGCCCTATTGAAGCCCCAACCTATCATCGGTGGTCATGGTATGAACAAACGTTAATCTTACTACCTAGGAATGCTTCTGTATTAATATAACTAATCATGGTTTTGCTGTTCTTGAGGAGAAGATTTTTAAAGATATTTCCTAAATATTCCTAATATGTAAAACTGTGGCCCATTGCTACCACCGGGGTCATGATTTGAAAAAATTGAATTTACCGTTACACAACCTGAGGAAGCTTCTGTATTAATATTATTATTATTAATTATTAGGGATAGATATCGCCAAAAATTTCGATATTTTCAATATATCATGATTTATCCCCAAAATATCACAACAATATCTTAATATTTTTACAAGCAATTTTTACAATGTTTTTAATTAAATATTCATAATTTTCCCTAAAAATATGCTGGAAAAACATAACTTCACTTTTTTCATTCTTTTTATTTACATAATGTAAAGCATGTTTGGATGCTAGGATAGCATTCTTTTACCATTTTCAACATTTTTTACACAACCAATAATTGTAATTTGAAAGTTTGAACAAATAAATAAATCATTTCTGGAATTTATAATTATATGTACCTAAATACAGGTAAACTTCATTATCTTGACATCGACGGGACCATCGGAAAATGTCGAGATATCCGAGGTGTCGAGATATCAGAGTTGAGACTTGACGTCCAAGATTTCACTGCATAGCAAAAGACTTCAATATACATGTAGACTGTAGCTCAACATATTTCAGAATTCCCTCTACTTTTATTAAAAATCTAAGAAGTTATTTTAAAATTCTTATTTATAAAACGTTATCTTTATCGAAATATTTCTAAATTCACAAAGTTTCAGCACAAAGTTACAGCATTCACGTGAAACTTGCCTTTTCGTCAGAACAGGATACGAAATGCGCTCTATAAACTTCAAACCGTATAAAGTCGACATCCGATATACGGAAAAAAAATTAAATGCGGATTATTTTTTTTCTTATTTCTTTCAGGAAGAATGTACATTAAAATTCATTTTTTAAAGAGATTTGTGTATCTAAACTAACGTAGCGTTGTTACAGATGCATGACTTACGGCTGATTCGGTCAATCGTGTCGTCAATCATGTTAATTGGATTGTTTCCTGTTGAATACATTTTAATACAAAAAAAACATTAAAACATCTTTTAATTCCTTAGTTTGAATTATTCAGTTTGTTTGTTATTCATTTTAGTTTAGTTACCTTTTTCAAATTTAAGAGTTATGTTAGGTTTCGATAAAAATAACTACTGATCTGTAGATTTAGCAGTGATATTACCCAAACTTAACATTAAGCAATAAACTTCTCAAAGACGCCGAGGGGCTTGGGATTCACCTACAAACACAGTCTATAGAATTAATTAAGCAGCGTGCAGTCAAAACATGGGTATGAAAGGTGTGAAATTTTGACCACGTCGAGATATCCGGAGTCGTCCGTGCCTGACGAGCGACCCTATTGACAAACAGTTAGGTTCAGTAGAGCAGAAAATTGCCGATGTCAACATATACAAGGTAAATTTTGCTCTTGGGATGGTGAATATACGTCGAGATAACCCGGGTTGTCGACATTACAGAGGTCGACATATCAGAGTTTTTGCAAATCATTTATATAGTAAATACTGCTGGGACCTCGAAAGGACGTCGACATATCCCAGGTTGTCGACATATCCGATGTCAAGATACCGAAGTTTACCTGTACCAGTATTTTAGTCTCTATATCACAATACGTATCACACAATTTAAAATCGTGATATACGGGTATACTGATAAAATCACACATCCCTAATAATCATGGTTTTGCTGTTCTTGAGAAAAAGATTTTAAAAGATAGTTCCTATATATTCCTATGTAAAACTTTGATGCCCTGTTGTGGCCCCACCCTATAGCAAGGGGTTATGATTAGAACGAACTTGAATCTACACTATGTAATGAAGCTTTCACACAAGTTGTTTCCTTTCTTTGAGTATCACTTGGACCATTGGTGACTACATGTCTATAATGATATAATTTTCTTACTATTGGTAGTTGATGCATTATGACATCAAAAATTGCATCATTATTCCCAAATCCTGAAAATTTCTTTTAAAAAGGTCAATTTGCTAAATTTTTTTCCCAATATTTTGTATATAGCATAACCTCTGATCTAAACTTTATTTTTTTGGATCAAGAAGTGTGCTTATAATTTAATTCTATGCTGAAGGTACCCAAATAAGCATGTTTCTGCAAAATTCAAGAACATTTCATTTTCAAAAGCTGTTTCCAATACTTGGACTTTCAGCAGAAACTTTTTTTCATAGGAAATGAAACTTCAAGTCTCTACTATACACTAAAGATGATGAAATGGGACATACGGGAACATTTAGTTGGTGAACAGGGTAATATTATGCATGAAGTGAACCTAGCTCATTATTCTAAGCAAATTTTGGCATAATTATGTAAATTTTTGGTATGTTTTTAGTATTTTTATTTCAATTATTTATACTTGGTGTCAAATCAGAATTTTAAAAATGAAAGAAAATCAAAGCTTAACGAAAGATTTCAAGAATTCCATACACTTATCATGAATTTCTTCACTTTGGTAAGTGCCCCGAATGAAAAGACAGAGGTAATTCGAACAGCAATATAAACAAACCTCTTATTTTTTAATGAAATACCTGATCGGATCTTTGCCACCTGTTCACATGGTGCGTTTGTGATTCTCTGAAGAAAAAAACACAATTATGCGCAGAAAGATTAAAAAGATGGGTAGAATAAAAACTAATATAACGTCATTTTTGATTTTTTTGATGCTTTGTTGCTATGCACTTTTCTAACCCAGATTCATACCACAATCATTGTCACAAGAACGTTTTGTCTTATCTCACCGACTCACGCTGTAAAAGGGTGAGTTCTTTACTGGAAAAAATATTATTGTAAATGACGATAATACTCTTTAGTATATGATATAGTGTTTACCTGATCCTCCATTAAATCACAATCGAAAATAATTGAATAATAAGGGGGAAAAAATCGAAATGCCACTAAAGGTTTTGCTAATGACAGAAAACTACATTGAACTGATAAGATAGGTCTTCATGATGCTTTTACGTTGTTACATGTAAAATATTATTTGAAAAGTATGAAAGTAGATATCATTTTATTAACTTAGGTTACTTATTAATTTAATGCCTCTTATACATACCTGTGTGCTTAGAGTTTCCAGTCTAAAAAAAAAAGAGGTTAGGTAGATACTTAGATTTTTAAAAAATAAATATTTTTTTATATTGTATAGTTTAAGTTTTCAAATTACTTTATATTAATTTACATGAAATCCATTTGCTTAGTCATTGAGCTTTTGAATTTATCAATTACATGTATGGGTTATCTGTCCTTGGTATCTTTTTAATCCTGGTCATGGCACCAAAAACATTTCTAAATTTTTGTTTTGTATTTTTTTTTCTTAGTTTTTTTTCTTGTTTAGATTTTATTTTGTTTATGTGCACTTTGCAGAAATGGAGATGAAGCCAGTTGGTTATATAAACTCCTTGTTCACATTTAAAAATGGAACTCCTCGACAGCCATCGGTATGTCCATTTGCCCGTGGTTCACTTAAAATTGATAAGTCCATCTTCACAAACCCAGAGCATTCACTGGAGGGTCTGGAGGAGTTTTCTCATGTGTGGTAAATATTTTAAATATATAATTATTCATATCAAATTTAAATTATTTGATATTTTCAAACATCTGTCATTGCAAAAGCATTATATGTAGATTTTATTTCTACTTTACAGATGTTTACTAATTAAGGCTAATCATCATAATTTATTAAGTGTTAATATATATGTATCACTTATGTTTACCTTCCTATATATGAGTTTTGTTGCTTTTTTTAGGTTAATATTTATTTTTCATAAAAACAATGCAGAATATATGAAAGCTAAAGTTAAACCTCCAAGACTGAATGGAAAAAGAGTTGGACTGTTTTCGACACGATCTCCATATCGACCCAATGCAATTGGACTTACTCTAGCAAAACTAGAAGCTGTCTCAGGTACATGAAGACTGCTTAAATTTTTGAAAGTTGCACACAAAGAAAATTAGGGTTTGAAGAGTAGGGGGATCTTAGTGAGCCATTGTATCAGAAGGCCTGAGGAATAGAATAATGAAATGGAAAATAGAAAAATTGAAGAAGTACAATGTACATAGTATACACAAAAATATATACATTGCAGTTTTTAATTTTTTTTCTTTTAGGAAGCACATTGCATCTCAGTGGTATAGACCTGTTAGACGGTACACCAGTGTTAGATATCAAACCTTATATCCCAGAGTATGACTCACCTCCATCATCGTGTAAAAATAATTCTACTGATGAGGAAGTTTTAAAGGAGACTTTGGATGATCCTGCCAATGAGAATCAAGAATTAAAGTCACTGGCCTCTGACGTAGATCAAGTGAACAAACATATCACAACCTTTACAGAGGATGGCCAAATTAAAGAACCCAAGCTAAAGCACTTAAATGAAAATGAACATAAAGATGGAAAAGATCCTAATTTAACTCCTGAGAACCATAAATGTAACAGTGAAATATCTTGTGACAATAACAATTTAAACAGTGAACCTCTTACACAATGTTCTAGCAGTCCTGAAGTTAAATCTGCAAAATGGATTTCAGATGCACCTGTAACAAAATTGTGTGTAACAATCACAGAGAGGGCTAATTCTCAGCTGCAGAAGTTTTCCAAAAGTGCCAAGAATGATGAATTTAGACTAAAATTTCTAGATTCTGCAGATGAAGCTCTAGAGGCCATCCGTGCCATTCTCTGTGAAGATCCACGATCAATCTATAGACGTCAAAAGTGTGTGGACAATTTGTATTACTTCACAGTGGATGTGCTGCATGTAACTTGCTGGTTTGATGATGACTTAGTGGAAATTGTTAGAATACAACCTATTTCACATGCTCAACATCTTCAACTTCCTAAATAAATAGATGTAAAATAAAAATATATCTACGTAAATACTCAAATATGTTATTACCATTTTAATACTTCATAAAGCTTTGTTTTAAGAATATTTTATTTCATTAATCATTTTCTCCACAGTCTCTCTAATAAAAAGCTTTGAATAAGCTTGATTAAAGTGACAGTCTAGGGCTGCGCAATAATATTGATATTCTGGTATATTGCGATTCGTTAACAAAAAATTTCGTATTGCGATACGTTTTTAGCTCACCTGAGCTGAAAGCTCAAGTGAGCTTTTCTGATCACCCGTTGTCCGTCGTCCGTCCGTCTGTCCGTCTGTCGGTCCGTCCGTCCGTCCGTCTGTCCGTCCGTCTGTAAACTTTTCACATTTTCAACTTCTTCTCAAGAACCACTGGGCCAATTTTAACCAAACTTGGTACAAAGTATCCTTGGGTGAAGGGGAGTATAAATTGTTAAAATAAAGAGCCAAGTCCCATTACAAGGGGAGATAATCAAGAAAAGACAAAAATAGGGTGGGGTCATTAAAAAATCTTCTCCTCAAGAACCACTGGGCCAGAAAAGCTGAAACTTATGTGGAAACATCCTGGGATAGTGTAGATTCTAAATTGTTCAAATCATGACCCCCGGGGGTAGGGCGGGGCCACAATAGGGAATCCAAGTTTTACATTGAAATACATAAGAAAAATCTTAAAAAATCTTCTTCTCAAGAACCACAGGGCCAGAAAAGCTGAAACTTATATGGAAGCATCCTGGAGTAGTGTAGATTATAAATTGTTCAAATCATGACCCCCGGGGGTAGGGCGGGGCCACAATAGGGAATCCAAGTTTTACATTGAAATACATAAGAAAAATCTTAAAAAATCTTCTTCTCAAGAACCACAGGGCCAGAAAAGCTGAAACTTATATGGAAGCATCCTTGGGTAGTGTAGAATCTAAATTGTTCAAATCATGACCCCCGGGGGTAGGGCGGGGCCACAATAGGGAATCCAAGTTTTACATTAAAATATATAAGAAAAATCTTAAAAAATCTTCTTCTCAAGAACCACTGGGCCAGAAATACTGAAACTTATATTGAAGCATCCTGGGATAGTGTAGATTCTAAATTGTTAAAATCATGACCCCCTGGGGGTAGGGCGGGGCCACAATAGGGAATCCAAGTTTTACATTGAAATACATAAGAAAAATCTTTAAAAATCTTCTTCTCAAGAACCACGGGGCCAGAAAAGCTGAAACTTAAATGGAAGCATCCTGGGGTAGTGTAGATTATAAATTGTTCAAATCATGACCCCCGGGGGTAGGGCGGGGCCACAATAGGGAATCCAAGTTATACATTGAAATACATAAGAAAAATCTTAAAAAATCTTCTTCTCAAGAACCACAGGGCCAGAAAAGCTGAAACTTATATGGAAGCATCCTGGGGTAGTGTAGATTATAAATTGTTCAAATCATGACCCCTGGGGGTAGGGCGGGGTCACAATAGGGAATCCAAGTTTTACATTGAAATACATAAGAAAAATCTTTAAAAATCTTCTTCTCAAGAACCTCTGGGCCAGAAAAGCTGAAACTTATATGGAAGCATCCTGGGGTAGTGTAGATTATAATTGTTCAAATCATGATCCCCGGGGGTAGGGCTGGGCCACAATAGGGAATCCAAGTTTTACATTGAAATACATAAGAAAAATCTTAAAAAATCTTCTTCTCAAGAACCACAGGGCCAGAAAAGCTGAAACTTATACGGAAGCATCCTTGGGTAGTGTAGAATCTAAATTGTTCAAATCATGACCCCTGGGGGTAGGGCTGGGCCACAATAGGGAATCCAAGTTTTACATTAAAATATATAAGAAAAATCTTCTTCTAAAGAATCACTGGGCCAGAAATACTGAAACATATATGGAAGCATCCTGGGGTAGTGTAGATTCTAAATTGTTCAAATCATGACCCCTGGGGGTAGGGCGGGCCACAATAGGGAATCCAAGTTTTAAATTGAAATACATAAGAAAAATCTTCTTTTCAAGAACCACTGGACCAATAAAGCTGAGGCATATTTGGAAGCATCCTGAGGTAGTGTAGATTCTAAACTGTTCAAATTTTGACCCCTGGGGATAGGGCGGGGCCACAATAGGTATATTAAAAGGGGGGAAATCTGGTAAAGAACAGCATGGCCAAAGTTACTCAGGTGAGCGATGTGGCCCATGGGCCTCTTGTTCCAGTACCAGTATACCGGCAAAATCAATATGGCGGCCAACGGGAAATAACTCTTGCTAATTTGGGCCTACTGAAAACTATCTATTTGATCGCGTAAATACCGCGAATATAAGTGCTTCACGTAAAGTCTGCAACACAGTAAAATTTCAAATGATGGAGAACCCTGAAAATGATTGGGCTTTAGATTTATGAAGTACAATATGAAATTTAAGATGTCAGAAACGTTTTCAATCGTGCCAAACAGTACCAAACGTAAAGATGTCTGTTGTATGGTTGCAGTTCGTTGCCAAACTGTAGTGAAATAAACTAGAACTTTTTTGTTATAACGTGTTTATAAAAGTTTAATACAATCTGCTTATAAATGGAGGTTAATAAAGTAAGAAAGGAGCATTTTAACTATTATTAAAAATACTGCAATATTACATATCGCAATACAGTTCCAAATATCGCAATACATTGTATATCGCAATACGAAATTTTCAACCGATACCCAGTCCTAAGTGACACCGTGACGCACAGACTGGAAAATTGACAAAAATAGAATGTTGGCATGCCCCGTTCAAATTTTGTTCATTTCCTGAAAGTATTAGGTTTCATAAAATTACAGCTTTTGAAACCCAGAAAATCCACTTTTATAGAGAAAAAAAAAAATGTTACCTGGCCCAAGACGAAAATATTGCTTGACTTCTTCCTCCCTATTGTGCGTGTGCACAGAAAAACTGAAGAAGTTACTATGGTCTCAAATACCAAAAAAATGAATGTCGGTAGACCAAGAATTTTGATTCAATCTTCAAAAAAAGATTATTAGAACATATTTCTCACATTTGCTTGCTCCAATTCAATATTTTTTACAAGTTTAAGCTAAAACTAAAAGTTGCATATGACAGCAAGGAAGTTTTAGTTTGTTCATCCCTTGATGCATCATCCATGCAAGTTTGGTCTTGGTAGGGCTTGAAATTACACTGGAATAAGTCTGCTCCAAAAAACTTTAACCTGGTCACTCATCTGGAAAATGTAATTAAATCCAGCGTCTGTAGCAACTCTGGTAGTGTGCATCCCTTGATGCATCATACATGCAAGTTTGGTGCATGTAGGCCTTATACCTTCTTGGTAATAGATCTGCTCCAAAAACATACACCGATGAAAAATGTTTTTTGGACTTTGAGAAAATTATATTGCGTAAAGGAGGTTATTTTGAAATTAACTAACCCATTTTTAATATAGGGAGCGTGTCTTTTTTATTCAGGAAAAATCTTCAAAGACAATGAAGTAATACTGTAATAATGAAGAAAAATTGCCTTTGCTTACTCAAATGGATAAAATACATGTAAATAAAGTTTTCAAATACTCTATTTTGGTCTAATAAAATGTTTAGAATACTTGGATTTTTTTCATTTCATTTCATTTCATTTTATTCACTCACACCAACATCAGTGGTACATGAGGTACAATAAATTAGTCGTCATAATTGTGACAAAAATAATAAATATAATTATGATACAATAGCATAAATGAGGGGCATATACATATGTACATAGTATAGCAATAAACATACAATGAAAGAAGAAAAGAAGAAAAAAAAATGGTATGATAACATTTAAATTATGGAGGACAGACGGTGTCGTTTATTTTAGATATAAATATACAAAGGTTTTTTAAAGTTTTTAAGTTTGTCGTTGACATAATTTCAGAAAACTTAAGTGTATTTGGCGTTTTACAAAATCTGGGATGTAAAAGATTCTTTCTGATGCTGTTCAATGTTTTACATTCTAGGATGAAATGATATTCGTCTGCTATTTGCCCTGTATTACACAATTTACAAACTCTTTCATCCAGTGGAATATTTAACCATCTACCAGTTTCAACTGGGAGGTGGTGGTTTGAAGTTCTAAATTTTATTAGTATTTTTTGGAGTTTACTAGGTAAAATACTTAGATATTTTTCAAATCCAAAGTCAATCTTAAAAATTTTTCAAATTATGTAATACAGTTCAGATTACAATTTATTCTATCCATATGTCAAATGGTGGGTCAGTCTAATTACACAAAAGTACCCTGAAAATAGGGTGCAGTGTAGAGAGGGTCCTTAACCTGGTCACTCATCTGCATCAAGCAAGTTTGGTCAACACAAGGCTTATACAAGTAATTACTATAGAATGAACCTGCTACAAAAGCTTAAACATGGTCACTCATCCGGAAAATGTAGGTCAGATCCAGCATTCCGAAGCAAGTCCAGTAATGTGCATCATTAGATGTGTATCATTCATGCAAGTCTGGTCAACATAGGGCTAATAGTTACTTTAGAATAAAATTGCTCCAAAAACTTTAATCTTATCACCCATCCGGAAAATGCAGCTTCCGAAGCAAGCCCGGTAGTGTACTTGAAAAAAAATCTGCTCCTAAAACTTTAATCTGGGACGCCGACGCCAATGGTATTACGTAAGCTCCCCCAACTTCGTTGAGATGAGCTAAAAAGCAGAAATTTGTCTAATACCTTTATAAACTGAAATCATAGTAGGTCAATTAAAACAGTAATTTACCAAATATAGCAATGAAAACATTTGATCTTTATTTATAATAGTGAAGGTATAGGGTCAATATCCCCAAGAGAACTACATTGTAAACTTAAATTACTTAACAATTTCAAGGTCAACTTTGAAAGTTGTATGGACATTCCCTCATCATTCTCACCTACAATAAACTAAAATTAAATTGTTGACACACATTAATGTTCGTCGTCAATCTATTGACCAAATTTATTACAAATTTTGCTTGGTTGCAATCTGAATAAAATGAAAGGGGTCAATTAGTTAAGTTTTAATCTAGCAAACTTTGTCTTCGGTGATCTTTCGAATTTTATAGGAATTAATAATATATATAGACATTTTTTTCATGCTCTGAAGTGTGCAAAGCATAATTTTCGCTGAATTTGTCATAAAAACTATTAATAGGGATTGGAGAGATGGTATTAAAGTCAGGATATTCATCCCAAAGTCAGAAAGTGTTTCTGTCAACGTAAAACATGATGTAATAAGGTCAATCGAATGAAAATTCTCGAAAAGAAATGTCTATACTTAAATAAAAATAACAACCAAACTTCTTATATGTTAAAACACAAGTGGGTATTTTCAAAGTAGGGCTAGCCAAAAAAAAGGAGGGGTTAAAAAGGGGAAAAAAGGATGAAAACAACTGTCTTAACTTTGAGGCGAATTGAGTACATAAAACGTGTGAAATTTCGACCTATCTGCAACAAAAAGTATGTGAGAGGGTGTCCCCTAGCCCTTCCCAACGATACTACGGGTCTTTTTTGAAGTTTAAAGACACACTAAAGTATAAAAAAAATTTTCGTATCAGGGGGTCGGGAGCTGACCCTCCCCCTACTTTTTTCCAAATATAAACTTTTACTGCGTGTCGAAAATGATCATTGAAATGCTGGTTGGCCCACCCCACCCCTCCACTTTTTGTTGCAGTATAGCAAGTCAGGGTAATGTATGATTAAAATTTGGTCGTGAAAGAATGAAATTAGCCCCCCCCCCCTTTCACCACCACCACCACAAAAATAGAATTTTGGAGTTTGGGACAATTTAAAAAAAAAAAAATTTCAAGTAAATTGTCCCCCCCCCCCTTTTTATAAAAAAAAAAAAAAAAAAAAAAAAAAAAAAAAAAAAAAAACACTCCGCGCCTGTATCAGCAAATTGATCAGTAGCAATATGACATGGATCGATTTTATGTAAAATTGACAGTTATGGACTGCCGTAATTTTACACATGTTAAAATGCTTGAATGTACTCAATGAATTTTGAAAAGAAGAAATGTCTTCAGCTTTATTCCGTAGATTTAAAAACTATAGTAACTTGTGTATGCGATGGATAGCTTTAAAACAACGTAATCTGCGATTCTGCTTCACTACAAACCTAGGTAAGGGATTATGTATACATGCATAAGTTATTGGGCGCTTAATCGGTGGAGAATATCTCCATGTATTATATTCAAAGTTTAAATCTATACTTTTTTTACGAAAATTTATGAAATTGTTACAGACAAGTTTAAATTGAAAAAAAAACTTTAAATGTAACCTATGTATGGCGAGCACTTAGCGCTGTAATTGTGTTTGTAAAGCTTAGTTGGAAAGCCGCACTTTGCAAAGAGGATATTGCGGGGTCAACACAAAGGTAAAGGGAAAAAAAACAGAGTTCTCTTTTCTATGCTTTCAAATATTTGGGCGTACTGTGATAAATTCACCTGTGTATTATATTTGTTTTTCTTTCAATTTTGTAATGTTTAATGGACTTTTAGGCTTGAATACTTTTCGTTATCTCCATATATTTCATGCATAGGTAGCCCTATTCTGGTGCAATTAAAATACAAGATGCAAACGATATTTTTAATATATTCGATCAGTGCATATTATCTATTCAAGATATATTACTAAAGTCAGGTACTCTTCACACAATTGCTCCAAAGAAAATAGTTCCATTCATGATCAGCAGATACAACATTACAACAAATTTTAAGAATAATGATGAATATCTAATACGTTAAAGAAAACAAAATTATCGTGAAAAGATTTTAAGAAAATCACTTTTTCCCCAGAAAAGCAAAGAAAAAGTTTTCGTATTCCTACGCTCGCTGCCTCCTCAGTCTTTTTCACGAAATATATAGGTCATACTTCGATTGATAATGATAAATCTTTTCACCAATTATATTACTGTCATGATTATTGTTCGTTAATTGCCGTGTATTTTCTCTTGAGTTAGAATATTAATCATTAACTGTTTGTTTGTTTTTCCCCCTCTTTTTTAAGCAACGGAATGGTTATTATTGTTAAACACCTGCAATCGTAACTTCTCGGCAAAGCAACGTGATTTTCCAAGCTCGTCGGAAAGGATCTTCGAACGTATGTAGACCTAGGCTATTTGATCTTGCAAGCACAGGTGTGTGCACCGTTCGCTAGTGACGCTTAAATCATGTAGACTGGGTATCAGTATTTGCTACGGACATGAAGAAATTTAGAACTATACACCAGTTTCATAACAAATGCAGGTTTTTTACTCAAGCCTTAGACTGGGCTAGAGGGACTGAGTTATCTAAAACGATGGTAGGTCATCGATTTACTCAGTTTTTAATCAAGAAAATATACTATTTTTGTAAATAAAAACATTTCTTGAAACAAAATGAAGTTTTCAAAACGTCTGTATCTTCAAAATCTATATTAAGTGTTAAATATCGGATTCTATTCTATGACGAAGGACTATTCAGTATTGCTCCACAGCCGCAACCAATCTCGCGATTTCCTTTGCGTTTAAACAACGGCCGTGACACCGTCAATGCATCTCTGGACGAGTTCATTGATTACTCTAAAAGGTGACAGGTTGACCCATCTTTAACATCTGCCTATACTTTGAGTGATAGTACTTTAATAGCACAAAATTAAAATATAAATTAAAATCTATCCTTGATAGATCTATAGTTTTGCTATTTAAAAAAAAATTGGGCTATCTTTGATAATCCATAACGGCTTGAATTTTTTTCACAGAAGATTCTATCATTGGAAAGTTAGATGCATGTAGCACAGGCCCATAGTACGCGGGATTTTTTCGGAGCCCCCCCCCCCCCTTTCACTTTGAAAACGTTGCTATGCCTGTAACATGCTATTTGGATTATGAGTGAGGTGTTAAATACATTTTTAAAATTATACGATTAATTATATTTAGTCTATGTTCTATGTGAAATTAAACCTATTTTTTATGCATGTGCAACTTTGTGATAAAGTCACTACAAGCATGTAACGATATATATATATATATATATATATATATATATATATATATATATATATATATATATATATATATATATATATATATATATATATGTACATACAGGTTGTTTCCTAGTACATGCATAGTTTATTCAACAAAAGATGTTGAAACTCAGTAGCCTAAATAATATGTCATTTTAGGATATTTATGGCACTTTTATAGTTGACTTTCTACAGCTTGAGTATCTCTGACGTTTTGTCAGTACATGTAAATACTTGTTTTTTATTAGAAATCATCTGAGCACAATGAAAATGCGAATAAATTAAAAGTCGAATATCTTGGATATGGGGTAACCCATATCTTTTCTTGTTATGTCAAAGGACAAATCCGAAAGTTACAAAGTGAGATTTCTCCCCCAAAGATGAGGGCCAGGGAAAGTACCTTTTAGAAATTATCGATTCGCCCATTTAGTAAGGTTTCATGAAGCAGAAAGATATACCTAAAATATTACGTGAGTGTACCTTTTTTAAATAGTATTAGATAGTTTTGTGTGACGTATTTTCTAGGAATGTGCAACTTTATCGATAAGACAAACTTCTAAAAACAAGTAACTTTATCGATAAGAAGATTTATCCCTTGTTTACCCCTTTATCCCGTGGATATGACTCATTGGATAATTTTTTCATAATCCACAGTTAAGTGCAGTTGTAACGTCACAATGGTTTTTGCGTTAGCGTGATGAAGTAAAAAAAAAGTGGAGTCCTATATAAAACAGTGTAAAACATTGGTTGTGAAGTATTAAACATGGGATAAAAAGAATCTCCCATGATTTGTAGTTGGATATGACTTTTATCCAACTCGTTGTGTGTTTTTATCCCCTCGCCAAGGCTCGGGGATAAAAAGCACACAACTCGTTGGATAAAAATCATATCCAACTACAAATCATGGGAGATCCTATATATCACGTATATCGTGATCTTTTTATTGCACGATACGTATCGTGATATGGAGACTAAAATACCGGCATTTTCATGTTGTTTATAATTACAAATTCCGGAAATAATTTTTTTTTCAAACTTTTGAATTAAAATTACCAGAATTGTAAATAGAAAATTAATGTAAAACAGTAAAACAATGGCATCATAGCATCCAAACATGCTTAATTAATATATAATTTAATATATAATAATATAATTTTTTTCAGTCAATGCGATGATTTAGCCACTCTCGCAATTTATTCACCTCGTTCTTCTGACTCGGTGAATATCGTACTCCTCAGGTGGTTAAATTGTCGTATTGAACTTATATAAAACAGCAATTATATAAAATATCCTTAATTATTCAAAGATAAGATGAAGAATTATTAGTTACTTGCAAAAATTAAAATAGGCCTCCGCACAAATGATTTGCTGATCTATTTAATTCAAGGGACCTCGGTAATACTCAAACCCTTGCCATCAAATGGCGCCCCCCCCCAACACAATATCCTGGATCCGCGCCTGCAACCACGTAGGTCACACCGAAAAACTTGTGACCATTCACAAGGCTTTAAAGGACCCACCTTTTTGTAGACTATGTTGACAATTTTGCAGGTGAAGTAAAGCCTATTGGGTTTATGAGTTCCCTATTCTGCCACAAGAGAGGGACTCCACGCCAGCCCACGATCTGTCCTCACGCACGAGGCACATTAACATTGGACCACCATTTGGTCAACAATCCTCAGTATATGTTAGAAGGTCTGGAAGAATTCTCTCATGTCTGGTATGTTCATCCTTTCAAATTTGTAAAAACTTGTAGAGATTTTCTTGATTTAAGATTGTGTATTCTTCTATTAAGTCTAGATTTACGTGTACATCTTTTCATTTGGAGTTTAATTAAACCTAACATGTGATTTCCTGAATGCAATTTGAATTTTGCATTATGAAAATAAAAACAATGAAAGCATAAATAGAGAGGAACGATCAATTAAATTTCTGTTAATCCAAATCAGATTTATTTAGTGCATTTAATAAAAATGTACATTTAATGATGTTATGAAGTAGACTAAGCCTATCTGAAAAAAATGCATTTCTGTTCTAGTTTTCTCTGAAAAAGTATTTTGTATGAATAGGTCGATAATTTAAAGAAAATTTGAATTTTTCATTGTAGGTTAATATTTGTCTTTCATAAGAACGAAAAAGAATTCGTGCGTTCTAAGGTTAGTCCCCCAAGGTTACACGGCAGGAAGGTTGGATTGTTTTCAACCAGATCACCACATCGACCTAATCCAATAGGACTATCGCTAGCAAAACTCGACTGTGTTCACGGTAAATGCATGGAACCCTACTCTAAATAGCTACATGATGCTGTACGTGTACTTGTATTAGCGGAATTCATATTCTAGTGCCTTTGTCCAAGGTCCTTTGAAACCGTCTATTCGTACGCTAAAATATGATCATCGTTAAAATATGAAATATGAGTGAAAACTCGTTCATGTTTCATGTTTGCACAAATTAGTCCACTACCAACCGTTGATCTTAAATGAAAATGCTAATACAGTGCACGTACAACATATAGATGTTTTTGTTATAATTATTTTGCAGACAGAACCCTATATCTGAATGGAGTCGATCTATTAGATGGTACCCCGATACTGGACATTAAGCCTTATATTCCTGAGTACGATACCCCACAGCCTTTGTTTGATAATTTAGAAAAGATACAATCAGAAAGAAGACAGTCATGCTTAGATAATCAAATTTATCCAGAAAACATTCACAAAAATGAGAAAAATCAAATTTATCCAGAGAATTCGAACATTCACAAAAATGAGAAAAAATTAAATCCTGGAAGAAAAACTCCGTGCTCGACTTTAAACACAAAATACAAGAACAAAAACGTTTCCCGGGAGAGTTGTATTGAAGGCTGCCTCTGCGAGGAGGAATGTGAAAATACCTCATCAAAAGGTGTTTCTGTCAGAACTCCTGATTGGATACTTCAGCCATCTTCTCCGAAACTAAAAATTTCTTTTACCGATAGAGCAGTAAATCAGCTGAATATGTTTTCGCAGGGATCACATGACCCAGATTTTACTCTAAAATTCCTCCGAACTTCCACAGAAGCTATGGAAACAATTATCTCTATACTTAGTGAGGATCCGCGTCCAGTTCACGTCCGAAACCAAGAAGAGGAGGCTTTTTATTATTTCACTGTTGACACAATGCACGTCACCTGTTGGTTTTATGATGGCATCGCGGAGGTCATTCGAATATTACCTATTTCACGTGGAAAACATTTGATATAGGTACATTAAACATAAATGTTTATTTTTATGCCGATTGTTGTGTTTTGTCTGCTATTGAAAATTTTGATCCGTTGTAAGAGTAGCCTTTTCGTCAGAATTTTCAAGGTTTGGGTCAGAATTCTTATTTTTGTTTTGAAGCATTAAATCATTTTCGTGTTCGAGACGAATTTCCTTCTCTACAACAGGAAAGCAACGAAAAATGTCAAACTTTTTTGAAAGGTAATGACGTGTAAAAAGGAAATGAGTGACATAAGATGTCAGAATGATTGCTGCCAAGGAACAAAGCATAGCGACGACTTTGAAAGGGAACTTTTGCTGATTGTGCTTTACATCATAAAATGGATACTTAATAACAGCATCGATTCCAAGCACTTGTTCTCCGCCGAGGATCCTCAGTAATAGACCGACGATAAGGCCCACCAGGCTTCCATAGGTGTTTCCAACATCCAACCACAGGGCGCAAATCAGCTGTGGGAATTGCGATACGGCCATGAGGTCTCCACAAAGTATCAGTAATCCATATACACTCTGTACTGTTAAAGCAAAAACTGTTCCCAGGATGCCAACAATGACTACGCAAATACGGAAGACCCAAACAACCTCCCTGTCTGATGCCTGAAAAACAGAGCAATATTACTTATACAAATTTTAAAAGGATATAATGGTCTATTCATAATAATTATGTATAGACCACCATATCCTTTTTAAATTGTATTCCTTTTACGAATTTAAAAATGATATAATGGTTTATACATAATAAGGTGGTACTGGGGTTTTTTGTCCCCTGCTTTCGCGGGGGGTATTAATTTGGGTTTGTTCCTCTGTTTGCCCATCATTCTATCTGTTTGTAATACTTTCGTTTCCGGATTGTATCTTTAAAAGTCCTTAGGTTTTTGCAATGAAAATTTACACCATAACCCCCTATGATTTCAGTAACGCCCCGTTGATTTTGAGGCCAAATATTTTCCAGGAAATTTTCAGTTCTCTTTGAGCTTTTACAGTGAACTTAAAGCAGTGACTCTAACTTAAAGACCCTCTATTTTTGAAGCCAAAGGTGACGGAGTCAAGGCCATGGTACGAATTTGTTTCTAGTTCACTTCAATATTGTCTATTGACCCAATTCGTACCATTTCACTTCAATAATGTCTATTGACCCCTAGCTTTGATTTTGAGGTGAACAGGTCAAAGGTCAAGATTACAGACTTGTATGCTGTTACTAATTGTTAATTCTGTCTAATATCTTAAACAAACTTCTGTCATTGAGTGGGGGACATAAATTCCCTGAATTAGCTTAGCATGTCTTATCTACACTCACATTAGGCCTTATAATATTCTGATAAATATTTCTCGCCACCACACTGCCAACGGCCAGAATAATGGAATCTGCGGACGACATGACAGCTGCACTGAGCGCACCAAGGGCAATAACTGCTACCGCTGTGGGACACAGGTGCTGAAGAACCATGGGAAGAATTGACTCCCAGTCTGTATTACTTAATGGAAGACTACCCTCATAGCTTGTGGCATTCCAATCTATTGAGAATTAACAAAAACTTAATCAAAACAGTCAGTGTGACAAAACAGGCATCTGCCATCAATTCTGTTCTGTTTAAAGAATACATGTACATGTATATTCTTGAGAAAGATGAAAACAAATATAAGATTATATTGGTTTACTATTACTAAACTTTCGAGGATTCGATGCTAATCTGTGTCTTTTAATGCAAGTTTGATTGATTGATTGTTATTGTTTAACGCCGAGTCGGCAATATTTCAGCCATATTTCGGCGGTTAAAGTTTACGTTCCGGGTTGAAAGTTTTTGGGTTTCCCTGGCGGCCCCCAATGAGCCTACTCTTTTTTGAAAACCAGAGAAACGATCTTTTGCTTGCCAAGGGGGTTGTAATCCTTGACACGGGGCACCATTTAACGTCCCATCCGACGGACATTTAATGTAAGTTTGAAAATACATGAACAATTTTCCACATTATGACACATTTATGGCCCCGAAATCATTAACTGTTACCTGCCGAGGCACCTGCAAGTCCCAAGAAAGCAGGTGGAAGAAACAGAAGCATGGAATATATGATGGAGACCAAGGTGGCGTTTCGGGCCAAAGATGGTGAATGACAGGCCAGTACACGTTGGTAATATGACTGTATAAAATTGAAAAATATTACAGTATTGGCTAAAACATGTAGGTGCGAACTATCTTTGTTCGTAATTGCTTCTCAAGTATTTCAGACAGATTTCTGAACCAGGTGACACACACAACAGAATCTGTGAGATTTCAATGCTGGAAACATAAGTTCCCTTTAATCGGAGCATATCTTTTGATTTTCTAAAAACGCCCTAATACTAACTTCAAAATCACCAAAGAGAAAGATTTCAGGCCACTTCCTTATTTGAGCAAGTAGAATTTGCACCCTGTGATGGCTTAAAATTATACCTGCCATGGAATTCCACCGAACACAACAACAGCAAAGGTATCGATATAGTTTCCTATGTGTTCTGTGGCCACAGTTCCTAGCCATTTGCCCTCAACTCTGGACAGGTCCACGGATTCGTTCGTGAATACAAATGGCAAAGCTAATGTCTACAATGATTTTAAATTATTTGTAATACTAGTAGTTAAAATCACGAAAAGATTTAAACATTAAGTCGCACTTCATTGTGAAGACTCCTGAATTATACATGTACATGTATTTTACTCCTTTTTTTTTTTACTTACGAGCCAAATATGACCAATTTTACACATTAAATATTACAAAAATATTTCACTTGCCAAGCCAACTCCAATGAAAATGAGTTGAATCACATCCGTGTATGCGACAGAATAGAGTCCACCAAAGAAAGTATAGACTACAGCTACACAAGCAGATGTTATAACAGCCACGTTCATATCAAGTCCGATAATAGACTTTAGAGAGGCCCCTAAGAAAAGAAACACACAGTGAATATATTTCATATTAGGTCTGGTATTCTGATTTGGCCACTCGCTAACTCCCCCTTACGTAGAAGGATGTATAAGGATTTAAAGTGACCAAAAAAACTCGCTTGTTTTCATCTGTCTGCCATCCGACAAAAAATCAAAACGAGAATTTAATGGTCTGTGTAGACGACTATAGAGGGTGGATAAAATATGCAGGATGGTAATATAATATGTCTAGAATTGGGAAATAAAAGTCAGTTGATTGTCCAATGCTGAAAAGTAGAGAAATACTCCCAAATACACCCCAAGCGTGCACAGAAAATCTTGCGTCGTAAATTGCACAATATTTGCATTAGGGATCTGTAGCGTTATGGTCAAAGACTAAAATATAAAACCATAACGCTACAGTTTCTGCATCTACAATGCATCTCTCTGTTGCATGAAACCTTTTCTCATTTTCAGGATTTCCAGGTCTACATCAGTAAATAGTCTTCGACAAAGTCGCAGATTGCGCATTCAAATAACACATTAGCTATTTTCCTCTTCTCGTTGGGTCTGATGTTTAAAATTTTTTTTGCAGTTTTATACGAAAACTTCAAAATGTTTGCCATGTGCTTGGGAGAGGGGGAACGTACAACTACATCGTCCTCACGAAGTAACGGACTATAACAACGGAACCTACAGCATTGATTAATTAAGTCAGTAGGAGACACCCTAGATCGAAATAGTTGCAGCTTAAGTGTAAACAAAGCTTAGGTCATCGGAACAATCATCTCTTGCGTTAGCAAGATTGGGGGGGGGGGGTGTGCAATTCAATTCAAATAAACGTTTGTTAAATTGAATGTGAATTCTCTTCTACAGTACATATAAATAATCTTAATTTGGCATGTAATGTAATTTCTGAGAACATTCTCAACCCATCCATTCCAGTGCATAATAGATGACATAAAAGAATCTAATTACATAAACAAATTGTAAAATGGGGCAATTATTCGCATTGCAGAGGTAGGTTTTAAAGGTCATCATATAGTTGTGAACTGTTGAACATGATGTGAAATTTATTCTGTTTGATATCTATTAAACATTCAGAACTATAATATTTCTCTCATATAAGATATAATGAAAGTCTGTATAATAGTTGAAAACCTAATGCTCCAAGTATAGCAGCCTCCCAGAAAATGTTTGCAAAAAGTTCGTTGAAGAATAAAACAGCTCCCATCTTTTTGCCGAATTTGATCTGAAAGAGATCAAAGATGGTGGTGTAATTTCCCCGTCGAACCTTCGGTGCAAAAACCACTCCAGCTACAAAAAAAAAAAAAACAGGCATCATTATTTAAATTACATGTATTAGAATGGACTATCTTTGTGAGAGTTTGTGATTTTGTAATGAATTAAGACAATTTAAGACAGATCGAATCAAGAATGCGCGAAAAAAGTTATCATAAATATATACATGTACATACATGTATAAATGCATTAAAACGAAAAGTGAAATAAAACATCAAAAAACAAAAACGCTCTCCTCGATAAATAACATAAATTACCAATTGCTATCCCGATGTTGTATCCAATGGGCGCTACGGTGTTCACCAATCCCTTCGTTGCAATTTCTGAGGCTGTTCCACTAATATAAGCGCCACCTACCATTGTAGCTAAAATAAAGAATTATCAATTCACCAATGGTGCATACGATCAAAATATTCTTCAAAAGTCAAAGACATAAACATAAGTGTTCCTTCTTAAATCTTGGTTTAAGACTTCCAATGTAACAAATCTGACCATAAAAATAATAATCACACGTGTATTAAGAAACATATGTCTGTGAAGAGACTGTAGCTCTAATGGTTTCGGTTCACAATGCTTAATCGAAATGCAGAGGAGCATTTAGCTTAAGAATCATGAAAAAATTAATATACCAATTTAAATTGGTGTAAATTTGGTATAAATTGTTTGAGAAATTTCCCCATGCACCTTAAAGGGATGTAGCGGGGGGTGCTTTAAAGGCAGCCCCCTCTCCCTGTACAGCTGGTGAAATTAATTCTAAATTACCAATTGTTCAAAAATAACTGATTGAATTTAATACCAATCAAATTAAAGATTTTAAAAAATATCACATTTTATATTTACATCGTTCGTGGAAATCAGGTAAAAAAAGGAATATGAACATCCTGTTGTATTCTACTCGTATACCAAGTCTCATTGAGAACACAACTGTTGCAATTCGAAAGAACTAAACAGATTGCTGAGTATTTTATTTCAGTAACTCCAAACACTTATAAAATGATGGGGGGGGGGGGGTTAGAAAAAAATTGAATCTTATGAAAGTATGAATTTTCAATATAGATTACCGGTCTTTTTACACCGGAAAAAAAAAATGTCAAAGACAATTAACTTATACAAATGAATTGAATCACTTTTGCTTGCATAAATGGGTAAAACACATGAAAACAATGTATTAAAAAATCCAAAATACTTTATCTTGTTTTTATAAAATGTTAACAATATTTAGATCATTGTTTTAATTAAATATGTCCTATATACAGTTAAATTTGATTTATTGCCATTTTTCTTCTAAGTGCAGATCACTCTAACTGAAAAAATAGCTTTTAGCATACAGTGTTTGGAGCTTTCTTTATGCAGTTTGTACCTGTGTCTGAAGTTGAAGATCTAATTAAGAATACAATGGATTTTAACAGGACTGAATTCTATATAAAGCCTCCGTAATTATTGCACAGTGGCGTTGATTGATTTTGACTCGGTATGTTACCGACTATCTACAGAAATATATATAAATTTCACAGACGACGAGCGGACTATAATCGCAAATCGACAACAACGTGAAAGCAAATAAAGGCACCCCTTCCCCGGGAAGCTTTTGAACTTTCAGCATTTCTGGAAGCTAAATTCTAGTTTCCAGGAAAAAAAATGTACGTTAATCAGTCTGAATTTCAACATTAAAACTGCTTACTTCATCGTGAAATTTTATAATTAAGTAGAAATGGCATCCCTCTTTTATTATGGGATATGATTTTTATCCAACGAGATGTGCTCGCTATCCTTAGCCCTATCTGTAAAGTAGAAATATATCGTTTCAATTTAAAGGTATTTTCTACTTTGAAATTCTGCTAATTTTCTTAATTATTTCTAGTGCGCATCGTACATTCACATTATGAAGTTGATAAAAACTGGGAATCTTATCAATAATATATGTATATATGTTTACACTGTATATTTATATTCATTTGTTCTTATAGGTTTCGCATTATTAACAAAGTATTGTTATGTAAATACACGTATATAGAACGAAACCGTATCTAATATCAGAAAATTATGTAAATATATATAGAACGAAAAGCACGTTACAAACCGTATCTAATATCAGAATTTTTTTATCATTTATTCAAAAGGAAATGCATGTCTTCTTTTTTATTCATTTATTCAAAGGGAAATACAGGTCTTTTTTTCGCGGGGGGGGGGGGTCTTTTTAAATGACGTTGAAGCACTTGCGTATGCCTGGCAAGGCAGAGGGGTTAGGGGAGGGTCAACATCAACTGTAATAAATGTCAGTCTCACAAATTTTTGACAAGCCAAAACAAAAACCAAACAAACAACAACAAACAACTTGCCCAAACCTGAAAATCCTATCTCTGTGGGGTGGGGGACTTTCCTTAGTCAATTTTCTCCAGATAGATAACTCTCCCTACCGTTTAAAGAGGGGCCAGTGTTTCCTGGAGGGTTCAATGTCAGGTCCGAACCCCCTCTTGATAATAACTCATCGAGTGAAATTAATAACAGAAATGTTTGCAGTATCAAAATTTGCAAGAGCTAGCGAGATTTCACCTTGGTTGCCTTTTTTAGCCTCCCTCAATGAACATTTTCAGCTTGAAAGCGTCTCAAGAATCTAAGCCATTTGATATTTTAATATGTTGGTTGGGTTGAAATTTTCTTATTTGTACATAAAGGAGGCTTTCTTAACAAAGGATATGCAAAATCGGCTGAGATAATTTGATGCAAGATGTACGAGCATATATGCACTTGTAGACACTGATTAGGACTGTTGGACATAATATAAAATTATACATATATTTTTTTCGGCGTAAAAAAATTGGTTTCCCTCTTAAGTTTTTATTATTGTTAATTCTGTGGATACTTACCAGACAGCGTAAAACTGCTCACAAATAGTCCCAAGTCCCTATTGGCCAGAAATTGTGTGTCCGAACTGGTCGATTTCTTCCGTCCAGCGATCAGTCCGATGACCAGGATGACGATATAGAAGACAATTGTACCAATGAGACCAGCGATGAACACTGCCATGTTTATTTCGATAAAACAGTTTTACTTCTGCTCTGCGGGCAACTTGATGCAAACTGTCGTCTGCCTTTCGACCTCATTTTACCTAGCGACTTTTTTTTATCTTCTCTTGTTAGGTGTAATGTAATATATAGGATTAGGCTGTTTGTTGTACACTCTATCGTGTGATTTTTGGACATGTAAATGCCTTTTGTTAAACGTTATCATCAGATAAGAGCCTAAGCTTGGGGCAATGCCTTGGTCACTTCTGTCCATAAATTACACAATACTTATCGACATGCTAATTCAGATGAGTATGCAGACGAAAATGCTACTTTGGGACACCTCTGGACTTTTGTTAAAGATATTTACAAAATTAGTTTCTGTATCTGATTCATGAAAAACTAATAAACAAACACTTCTTTTCCTGTGTGTTTGCAATGGTGACTTGTTTTGTCTTATACTGCAAGATCTACCGATATCAATACCCCCCCCCCCCCCAAAAAAAGTGGTTGAAAACATCCATAAATCAATAAAAAAAAACTGCAGCTTTAAATATATTTATTCTTAGTAACAGAAAGTGTACGCAATTCTTTTACAGGTTTTAACCCACAAAACGACAACAATTACATGCAACTACTGATGACAGTGACTAATAATCATTTAATTTTTCCATCACTTATACTAAGCATGTTTCATTTCGATATATCCCTTCTGGAATGTGTTTGGATTGACATTATCTTGGTATATTTAAAGAATTCTAGACACATTTTAAACTTTAATAGATTGATGTAAATATAATTTGTAACAAACTACATAGCACTTACTAGTGACTTGGGATTAATGAACGTAACATTTAAACACCAAATGGTCAGAGAGACCGTGCACAAAAAATCAACACATTCCAAGTCATAATTTCTACACAAATACGCACTTCATTTCTTTAAAACTTGTCTTTAGTGATGGATCAAAATTAGTGCAAAATTAAAAACTTTTAAGTGATAAATCAGTGAAATTAAACAATAGTATTTTGTGACCAACAAACAACAAATGCTTAATTAATTATCTTCATCAGTAATTCGTAACATACATGCTGTATGAATCAATTTTAACATTGCTTTGTTTTGTGGAGTAAGAAAATAGAAATTAATAAGTTGTACAACACAGAAGAGATGAAAAAAAAAGAAATATCATTAACAAAGTATAACAAATACATTATGTACAGAATCTGATGATATGATTGTTGAAGTCTTCCCTTCACAACAAGAGCTGGGAAAAATCTGTAACACAGGCAAAGATCTATCAAACACAGTCAGAATGACAAACACAGGTACACAGATACATCTTATTGTCCAAATTTCATTGAATCACAATTAGGAATTGGATTGGAGGAAAAGTTTGGCAATCACTGGACCTTCATAATTTGAAAAACATATATCGTGAAAAAGCTTGCCTTTTTAAAACTATAAACTTCATATAGTTATAGTGCCTTTCATGATATCTTATATATATACATAAAATTGATAAAATATGACTAAGAGAAACCAGAATTTCTCAAAAATGTTGAGTGCACACCTTCTTGACTATGCTAAGACTTAAATCCCACCCCAAAATTATACATGTATCAATAATTATATGATAAACTATTTACGAAGATTACCTCTACCTAAAACATCAAATACAGTACTCATCCATTACTCAAAATCCAGAACAAACATGTACATACAAATTGTTACATTACTACTGGACTTCCCGATGTCGATTTTACAGACCAATGCATTTGTAGGGGAATGAAGCACTGTTTTCACAAGCTGGCAAAAATAGGGATAGGCACACCTTATGTTACACTAATTCTGATATAAAATCAAGCTGGCAAATAGCATGATGAAATTATTCTCTGTTCAATGATACAAATAAAGCAATCTTGATATTTCAAAGTTTTACATCAATGATCATTTGCTTGAAATGGAATTCCTTTAAACAAAATTAAATACCCAATCATGACAATATCAATGAATTATACACCTGTGCTGGAATTCTCTTTTTTTAAAAAAAATGTAAAGGTTATGATAAAACTAAAGCTAATCTCCATTCTCTCTCTCTCTACATCTGGGCAAGCATAAGCAACATCCATTACATGGCTTTCTCCCGATATCTAAACAAGAATGTGGTGAAATTCCCTTACATCAACACAGGCTGCTACTAAAAATGACTTGGACATTCAAAACATGTGACTACATCAAGTCTTTGCCATTCAACAATAAATGATAATATAAATAATTGTAACTTCATAACTTAAAATACTTCAGTACCACATTAAGTTCATATAAATTGAATAAGTCTTCCGATGACACCTCTACATGTAATTTCCTACAATTTCAATATTGGCCTTGGCGAGGGCATATGTGGTTTTTTCAGTACTTGTTATTGGATCCGTACTGACTAGCCATGCCTTTGACAGCGCCCTGAGCCGCATTAGCAGCTACACCCTGAACAGTCTCATTCTTCATAACACCAGTGGAGAATTCCTGCTTAGCTTTGTCAAAACTGGCCCCTGTGCTCCTATAGATTTTGTGCACCTGAAAGAAGAAACAATATCTCCTGTACTGAAAACAGGAAAAAACAATCAGAGATTACCTCAACGAATGTTATCTTTAAGTAAGGCAAAGTCCTACTAATAATCTAGTAGTGTGCATCCCTAGATGCAACATTTACGCAATTTTGGTCTGATAGGACTTGCAGTTACTTGGGAATGGACTTATCTAAAAACTTAAAACTAGTCACTCATCCAGAAAATGTTGGTCAAATCCAGCATCCGAAGCAAGTTTGAAAGTGTCCGTCCCTTAATGCATCATCCATGCAAGTTTGGTTCAGATAGGCCTTATAGCTTCTTGGCAATGGACCTGCTCCAAAAACTTTAACCTGGTCACTCATCCGAAAAATGTAGTTCAGATCCAATATCCGAAGCAAGCCTGGTAGTGTGCATCCTTAGATGTATCATCCACACAAGTTTGGTCAACATAGGAATTATAGTTACTTTGAAACGAGATCTGCTCCAAAAACTCTAACCTGCTCTAAAAACATTAAACTGGTTATTCTTTAGCTGAAATTGCAGCATCTGAAACCTTGACTGGTACAATGAAACACTAGAGGCATCCTAATGCACCTCTGATTGATATAGGGCATAGAAGTACTTGAAAAGAAATCTGCTCCAAAAACTTTTAACCATGGACGCAGATGCAGAGGGTATTACATAAGCTCCCCCAACTTCGTTGAGGTGAACTAAAAATCCATTATCTTAGAAACATGAAATACAGAAATACTCAATGGAGAAAATCAATACAGAACCAATTTTTATTTCAATACAAAAATAAAAATACTATTAACTTGTATGCATTTTGCATGCATTTTAAGAAATGTAGAGATATATAAGCATCTTTGCAAATTAAGAGTTAGTAAAAAAAAAAAAGAAAAGTGGAAAATATAACAGAACAAAGTTTAAGCATTGTATGATAATCTGTCTTTTTTAAATTTCAAATTGTTATTTGATGAGTTAAACATATAGATCAAATTATTCAACCCACAGGATTAGCTATCTTCTACAAAGTGACATTTCTAAAGGATATATTAGCTTCTACATTACATGTAGCACAATGATAAATTTGTTCTCTATATACAAACCTTAAGTAACATGACTATCATAAGCACAGCACAGATTGAAAAGAAGAGGGAGATGAAGAGCATGAAAGCTCCAGCTCCAGTACTTTTACCAATAGTCGACAGAGAATTAATCCATCCCCTACAAAGTATGCAATCAAGACATGTACAAACACAAACTAAGCTACACTTCACCGAATGATTCCATCTGATGCCAACAACCTGGACTCTTTTTGAGATTTTTTTCAATCTTTAATCTGATTGGCTCTGTGGTTGTCAAATCAGATGACCTCATTTGATTGATTTGCTGGCAACCTGATTACATTCAATGGCAACATCCAATGGCAGTGGGAAGCAAAAAATATGGGACGAAGACTAAAACCACTCCTGTCGACCTTCAACCCTTCTACCCACAACGTAATAATAATGGTATATGTGCAGACATGCAGGGATATTACCTACCAGGAAAATAATGAAAATATCTACCTTGCTTTATGTTTTTATTAAAACAGGTTAACAACTTCTCTATCTTGAATGAATTTGGCAGTTAAACTAGACAAGCAATGTCTTGCAGACATTTATTACTTAAACATTTACTGAAATTTATTCTTAAAAAAAAAAGAGTAAAAAGAATAACTTCATTTAACCCTCGATAACTTGAAAACGAAAGGTTCACAGGCCACAATGCTCACCTGAGTCAACATTAACTTCCTGATAAAAATATGCAGCTAAATGATATCCCTTTTTGTGATCTCCAAATATGAGCATTTGAATTTACAGTATATTGAGGCTTGTTGTTATTTTTACAAATTACAACTTATTTTCCCCTTGTGAATGTCTACATGTTTCTATATAAAACTTTGCTTCCCAATCATGATGCAGTGCTTGTCGCTAGATAACAATTACATGTAGTATATACATGTATATGCATCTACATGACATTATGATGCTTGACTATTTGACTACCTCTTGAGAAGCTTTTAATTTTTTTCTCTTAAATATTTCATATTAAATTTTGACCTCTTATTGAGGCCCCACCCTGCATGACGATGCTTGTACATGTGTGTAACAATATGAGTATCAGTAATTGACCCCATTTTCTTGACATTTTTCCTACACATGGCTTTATATAACTTTAACCGACTAAAATGGCTCTATCCTAGCTTCTCGTGAAGAAGACCCTCAAAATTTTTATTTCTTAATCATCTCTTCTTGAATGGGGATTCATGTTAGTTCAAATGAACAGCAAAACTTCTTTCCCAAAACTTCTTTCAAGATCCATGTGAGAAGGGGTTCTCACATGGATCCTTTGTGGCAAGATTGGTTGAAATGGGTCCATTGTCTCTTAAAAAGAAGTTGAAAATGAGAGAGGTTTACAGACAAAATACAATGGACAGATAGACACTGGACACTTTGTGATCAGAAAGCTCTCTTGATCCTTTAGTTTAGGTGAGCTAAAAAGACAAAAAAATTCTGAAAACTCATCAACACTTCATCTGGAAAACTGATCTATAAAAGAATATCTAGCCTCTTACTTTAAAAGGATAAAAGATTTAAAAGTAATCAATTGCTTTATTATAACACTTGTGTGACATATTTAAGGACAAATATATCATTTTAGGGCAGATCATGCTACATTGTTAAAAAGGGTCAGCTCATGTAAATCTGGGTTTATATGATATTATCATAAGCTAATTCACAACCTTATTTTGGGTCAACTTAAACCAGAATTAACCATGGTGTTATTTTTTTTTTTCTCAGTAATGTAATATGAAAGGTACCCACAAAAGAATTCGAGTGGGGTTGATTACTGTAAAAGTATTACATTTTGCTGTGTATTCTATTCAGCACCTTTGGCAGAAAGCAACTTCTGTTAAATCAAGTACTAGAACATTGCTACGTCACGCATATATATATATATATATATATATATATACACATATACAATCAGAAATGTGCTAAATTAAATCTACACTAATCTGCTGAAAATTCAATTTCCATTAAACTTTGTGCACACTAAATATAAATACATTTATAGTATTGTGGGTTAATCGGGCTACGATAAGTTGATCTCTGTATTAAGTTAACCTTACATGGAATGCCCCTTATGTACATATAGATTAAAAAATCTAAAAATAAAATAGCTTGGAATTTTTTTGATGGAGAAATTCAAAGCTGAATATGCATGATAGGTACATATGTATATTCATTAGAGGGTCTTAAATACAAGTGGTTTTATATGGAGAGTGCTGTAGAGGCTTATTTCTTCTGAATGTTATAAGGCAAACCCCCACATGCAGTATTTGAAAACACAAAATGCCAAGCAAAATAATTTGAACATGCAAATAACAGAAAACATATGATTTGGGATGCTATACCTTGACCAACATGATAAAATCTAACAAGGCAAGAAGGCCAAACATCAGGCCAACAAATATCATGACCAGTGCCACACCTACGTGGCTGACCCCCTTCCCACTGTTTTTGTATCCAGTCATGGTGAGGCCATTGATGATGCCACTGAAATTGAAATCAGGTATTAGCAAATCAAAATCGGCATTAAAGTATGATTATCATAAAATAAAAATCAATAACATCTGTACCAATTGCTGAGATTCAGTTTTAATTGGACCAATCACTGAGATTCAATTTTAATTGGACCAATCACAGATACTCACTTTTAAGTGGACCAATCACTGAGATTCAGTTTTAACTGGACCAAACACAGAGATTCAGTTTTAACTGGGATGCAGTAAGGCACATGGAACATAGACCCGAAAAACTCAATAAATTTTTTTTTCAAAAAAATAAACATATTATGACTGTTTCTAGTACGGCAGTCAAAATTAATCTTACTTCTATGAAGTTTAGAAAGGCACTAATGTTTTGATTTAAAATAATAAAAACTGCCTCATACCTTATATACACGTTTACACGATTCAAAATCTTTGTTTTCATTTTTGAATCATCGCAGACTAGGAGTAGTTTTTTAAATTACGTCACCTAACCCAAAATCTTAACTCGTGTTTTCCCTTTTTTAACAGCATTCTTACAATATTAAGGTACTATTGAAATAAAATACAAAGTATAATACATTGTTATTTAATAAATACAAATCATCCTACCACTTAATATAAATTAACAAGGAAAATGAGGGACAAAAATCAGACCAATGCAGGATTTTATACAGTTTTCTGCCTTATCATAAACAGTATTTATTCATTCTGACTGCCTTGTTCAAATGTCAACTGATTTTGTCTATACACTGCAATATCAAGTCTATGGCCAACACTATCGGTAATCTTAAAACCCTGACAACAGACATTTCCAAAATTTGCAACAATTATTAAAATACTACATATAGAAATTTGCAGTCAATTTTTCAACACTTATGTTAAATAATACAAACCTTCAGAGCTACTTTGCTCATTTTCAAATTGTATAACAACCCTGCATGTGTTTTACACTTAGATAGACTCATACTTACACTGTGTAGCCTGTGACTCCTAGACACTGAATTATCGTACAGATAAATTGGAAAAAAAATATAAAGAAAAACACAAAGAAGTTGAAGGAGCTGTCACTTCTGAAAATAAAACAAAGGTCAATAGGTCAATGTTTTTGTCAATAATTTCTCTAGATCCTGCACAGTGGAGGAGTGGAGTGGTTCTAGAAATTGTGCAAGACCTAGAGCTTTGGGTGAATTGGAATACTTACACTGTGAAATCTGTTATCCCTATTAACATGACTACACAACAAATGGCTTGGAAGAAGAAATTGAAGAAAAATACAAAAAAGCTGAATGAACTGTCTGATCTGGAAAACAGAATGAAAGCCTTAACAAAGTAGTTCCAAAGATAATATTTTTCACTGATTAAAATTTTTTTTAAAAATTTACTTTTTATATCAAAATATTCAAGTTTCTATTAAAGAAATATGCTTTCCTAGCATCAAAGCTCAAATAAAATAAAACAAGTTGGAAAAGTGAACATCTTGAAATTCATAAACATAACAATTTACAACTGATACATAGACTTAATGCTTTGAAATTTTGTGTTGTGCTGCTATTTGCAATTGGATGATTTGTGACAAAAATGGATATTTTAGGGGGATGGATTTGGGAAGGTATGCAGATTTCAGCAGTGCAAGATACAATGATGTAGAAACATGTAAAGCTGTCAACAATATAACATCTTGGGAATATAGCCCAAGTAATATCATATACTAGAAGACAAATTGATTTGAATGTACACATAAATGCCTTAACCAATATGTGGTACATCTATGCTAGGGATGGGTATCATCAAGAATTTTGCATCACGGTATATCATGATTTTTCAAAAATATCACGATAAATATCAGGACATTTTTGCAAGTATTTTTAATTATGATTTAAACTACTCTCCATAATTTTTCTTACAAATATAATGCTATGAAAACCTAACTATATATATTTTTTTTTTCATCTATATTTTTAATTTTCTTAAAATAAAATTGAACAAAAAATTAGTAGGCTTTATTGTCAATGAAAACGGTTCATCCCCAGCACTGGGGTCACAAAGTTCAATCCATAAATGGTTGAACACAGGATGATGTATATTAAGACATTTACAACCATTTCTATGCTTGCATCCCATAAACAATACAACAATGTAGTTGATCTGATCATTAGCTCAGAGTTAAATCACATGGAACTTAATGATGTTTAAACTACCAAAACTTTATCAATTTGGTTGAGGGATACAAGAAAGAAACCAAATTCTTAATAATTTCATTGTTAGGATGCCTTTTTTTAACAACATTTTTCAATCTTCCGATAATTGTAATTAAAAAAAATAAAAGATTTTTTTCCAGAATTTATAATAACAAATGAAAGTCTCCATATCCTGATACTTATCATGAATTAAAATATCATGATTTACCGGTATACGAAAAAAATTGTGCATCCCTAATATATGCCATACATATATATTTCTTCTTTAAAACATGTGCAACAAGACTTTTAAAAATGTGTTTCTGATCATTCACATTGTATAATTCCCCCACCAGATATAGATCACTAAATGGCTTTGTAACTAGTGTCAGGTAATATACCCCTCCCCATCTCACAAGACACAAACTGTAAACTGTAAAGTGTTTTTTGTTTTTGTTTTTTTTTTTATACAAAGTGTGACTGACATTGGAATAGTAAACATAATTTACCTGAATGCTTTGTACAGGGGTCTATACCAACATATAAATGAACAAGGAGTGAACAGGACAAACCACACTATTGACATGCCGAAAGTGGCTCCTCCATCAGAATCAGCAATGAAATACGCCAAACTGGCCCAGATGTTGAGAAAAAGAACTATTACATAGACTGAAACAGAACAAAATAAATATTACCTTTCAAAGTCAAAAGAGAAAGAATGTACATGTACCTTAGCAGGGCAGGCATTAATAATCTCTTTTATACTAACAACTTTTTTTCAATGTTTAAAAATAAACACAATAAATTCAACTTACATAACCATAAATAGTATACAAATTTAACTGTTCTCTGGAATTCCATAGGAATATCAACACTGAAGTCTTGGTAGAAACAGGGTCCAACAGGACAAAACTTTGGAAGTGGTGGCCAGTTGTTTGCTCGCTCTAGAAAGTAAAAGTGAAACACAAATAAGCTAAAAGTTTAATCGCTGATATTAAGAATATAAGAAATGTTTGAGAAACATATAAGCCCCATCCCCAATGTGTAATTTTAAAAAGGGAACAACTTTAAATTTAGAATGTCTGTAATGATAGTGAAAACAATAGGTCATCTTCTAGACAGGGCAAACATACTAAGTTTGATCTTTATCAGACCTCAATATCATTAGGGGTAAAGTACTTCTTAGAGGGTATCAGTATACTAAAACTGATGTCTATAAAGAAAAAGGTTCTCAAGAAATTGACCTGAGAATATCTTCCTAAGTCTTGTGTCTATATTGTTTGATACTGAGTTTGTGACCTCAAAATTTTCTCAGGAGGGATAACCAGCATACTAAGTTTGATGTCTGTCTGAGCTAAACACTAATTTAAGAAAGATGAGGTCAAGGTCAAAGGAAAAGTCAAGGTCAAAAAATGTTGATGCAGTTGAATAGCTTCCATCAGTATGTATCAGCATATGAAGTTGGATAAAATATATCTTGAATGATTTATATAAAACTGAGCTAAACACTAATTTAAGAAAAGGGAGGTAAAGATCAAAGGAAAGGTCAAGGTCAAAAAAATGTTGATGCAGTTGAAAAGCTAAAATCAGAATGCATTATCATATGAAGTTTGTGAACACTATCTTGAATATTTCTTTAAAACTGAGCTACACACTAATTAGAGAAAAGTGAGGTCAAGGTCAAAGAAAGAGTAAAGGTCAAGAAATATTAATGCAGTTGAATAGCTAACTTCAGTTTGTATCAGCATATGAAGATTGATAACACTATCCTGAATAGTTTATTTAAAACTGAGCTAAACACTTATTTAAGAGAGGTAAAGTCAAGGTCAAAGGAAAAATCAAGGTCAAAAAATGTTGATGCAGTTGATAGCTTTCGTCAGTATGTATCAGCATATGAAGTTGGATAAAAAAGTATCTTGAATTGTTTATTTAAAACTGAGCTAAACACTAATATAAGAAAATTGAGGTCAAGGTCAAAGGAAAGGTCAAGGTCAAAAAATATTAAAGCAGTTGAAAAGTTAACATCAGTATGCATCAGTATATGAAGTTTGAATACACTGTTTTGAATAGTGTCTTTAAAACTGAGCTAAATACTAATTAAATAGAAGTGAGGTTAAGGTCAAAAGAAAGGTAAAAAAAAAGTTGAATAACTCTCATCAATATCTATCAACATATGAAGTTTGATAAATATATCTTGAATAGTTTCTTTGACACTGAGCTTTGAACTTAGCTAAATGCAAAGCGCAACGGAAGGACAGAAGGATGGAAAGATGGAAATGACAAACTCTATATGCTCCGGCCATATTCATGACGGGCCTTAAATATAATTAATTTCCTAGAGGTTTAAGAAGTTTGAGTTGGGCAATTCTTTGTCAGTCAGGAGAGGGCAAACTGAACATTTTTTAAAGATAGCTTTATTGGCATTATTTTCCAAATACAGAGCACCTGTAACAAATTAGCAGTTTCTGTTCATTTATACAGGGTTGTAACATCTATGAATTATTGGGTTTTCTAAAAGGCTAAATGGTATTATCTTGTGGCTTGAAGGGTTTTTATCACGTATCTAAATTTCTTAAAAATGAAACACTAATATATTCTTGAAACATATAATTATCGTTTAATTATGAAATAATGTTGAAAACGGCCGTAATTAGACGATAAAACCTCCGTTATATAGGGTCCTCAGAGTAAAAATTTCCACTAATTAGATAGGGGTCACTTGGTACTGAAACGTCATAGGTGTCAATGGTCAAAAGAACGCGTAAAGCTTATTGTAAGAAAAAACATACTGGATAGATTTTTACGCTAAATAAATAGAATACACAGTATGGCCGGTTGAAATTTTGACATCGACTATATTTCTTTGGTTATGGACGGTCAATCTTTTAGGTATGAACGTCTACCAGAGAGAAAAACCAGAAAATATACCGACAATTAGTGAGAGGTCACCGAAGACAAAGCTGTTGACAACTCGGGACTTCAACTAAATAGAACGAATTACTAAAGTTTAACTTAGTAAACATTTATAAATATGGGAATTTTAAATTCTCCTTCATTATTATTTTAATTAATCAAAAATAAATAAATCCTGTATATCTTCTATCTGTTCTAGCAGTGAATATCATGTACTAGAAATGACACTTCTTCAATGGCGCCGTACGCCATTACGAAGTTCACAACATTCCTACTAGATTCTCTGCGACTTTTTAAAAAATGCGTGATTGTCACTTATTTTTTTTTAAGTATCTTTCCTCAAAATATTTTATAGGACAGAAAAAAATTCGTGATAGATCGTGTATAATGATTTGTTCTGAATGGAGATAATCGCCATCGCATTTGCAAAAAAAGACCCCCCTTTCATCTCTCGACCAAGTCCAGGAAATGTGGGGAAAAAATTCTTCCTAAAACCTTTCTTGTGCATCATAAAGCCATAAATTATACCTTACAAGCTGTCAATTATTCAATTATCACTTAATTATTTTCTAACAGGTTTAATAGACACAACAAATGAGCCCTTTTGTATACACAATAAGTACTTCGCTTGACCAGGATTGACACCTATGACGTCAGAGCAATGGCACGTAACATCGACGATCAAAATATGCATATTGAGAAATTCAAACTTTGAATCACTGAAACATCAAAAATATTAATTTTCTAGCAAAGATTTTTAAATATATGATTTTAATAGCATGTAAACTTTGTCATATCAAAAAATTTTGAGATGTGATAAAAACCCTTTAAAGCGAATAAACTCCCTCATGATGAATAATGAATGAACCGAATCTGTAAGCTTGCCCTCTTACAGAGAAAAAACATAATAACAAGCCTTCATCAATATGAAATCAAAATAACATCTTTCCTGGAAACTGGAATAGCCCTATGTAATTTGTCAAGTCCTACTTAAAAGTTACTGGCATGTTGTATTTGGGCAAACAGGAGTTTCATACAGTCAATACTTGCCATTGTACTGCATATTTCTCATCTCCTGTTCTTTCCTTTGTAGCTCTGCAGCTTTTTTTTCCAATTCCTACAAAACATTTTAATTGTGATATAAAATGGTAAGTTGCATGTCTCAGGGTTGCAATAACCACTCACCCACTTGAAAAATGCGAGTAATTTTGTCTGTGGGTGACAAACTCTTTAGGATCTTATCGCCCATATGGTGAGTAAAAATTTTATTGGAACTTTTCCAGAACCCAACCACGGTTTAATTCTACTATTAAATGGCACTTTCAGTGAAATTCACCGTTTCTTTCCAACAAAACATTTTCTTGACCCTGAATTGTGTCAATGTTATGACTACGTGAGGTCTCAGAGTAAAGGAAAAGATGGAATTTTATACAAGGGTTGTCAAAATTTGCAGGAAAATAAAAGATTGTAGAAGGCAAATTACACATTGACGAGATCATGACATGAAAAGATTGAGATTTTTTTTTTAACTCCGTGGACAGAAAATTCATGGACCCCAAAATATTAATGTGGACTCACTAGTAGAACATGTTAAGTTGGGGGCCCATATGGCCCATTAAGTTTTAAATGTTATTTGCAACCCTGTCTCTATTACAGACAAAAACACAGATTAATCATTGTATTGTAAGGAATATATTGTCTATAACAGTCTTAGTGTGACCTTATTCTTCAACTGTAAAAATTCCTAAAATTATGTGTGACCACTTATTATCACACTTTTTTTACCCATATTGGTATGAATCACCAGGTTTTGAGGGGTCATCTATTTTAAAGCATATTCCATTACCTCTTGTCTTTTCTGTAGATCTGTTGTGTCAACTCTCTGGGCTGAAACCTCTGAGTATGGAGGAGGTTCATTTGAAGTGTTTAAAGCATATGCCATTACCTCTTGCCTTTTCTGTAGGTCTGCTGTGTCAACTCTCTGGGCTGAACTCTCTGAGTATGGAGGAGGTTCATTTGATGGCTGCATTATTGCTGGTTGGGTCTGAGCTGGTTGTGGGGGTGGTATTGTTTGCTGGGAAAATATTAAAATCTCATGCATACACTAATAAAGCAACTTGTTTGACTTTTAATTCAGAAACTAGCTATATACTTTGAGAACTGTGCAAGTGCTATTTTGTGCATCAGGTATAATTTTATGTGTGTGTGTGTGTGCATGGGTCTTTGCAACAAAGTCTGCAATAGATTTCTAAAAGCAAAGACATATCCTGTTTCATTTTTTTTTTCAGACTATACAAAAGTGAGTTTGGGTTTATGGGTTTCCCTGACCTTTTTCCCATTATGGGTCCAAGTTCCACAGAATTGGAAATGTTAACTCATAAGTATTTTTACTTGAAACTTGATTGGGAATAACATGGTAAAAATTGGGAAAAATAATTGGGAATGGGTCAAGAAATAAGTAAGGAAAACCCATGTGTTTCAATTTTATACCGAAGAATAAGAATTATATGATCCTTTTATTAGTGGTTCATCACTCATTGACTGTAAGAAGAAACAAGACAAATAATTGTTTCATCTAAAGAGTTTTAGTGATGTGTATATAAATTGTTTTATTTTTTTAGACATGTATTCTTAAAAGTCCGAAATCATATAATACACACCCCTGCTGTAGGTCTTGTCTGGTTTCCCTCCGCAAATGGATTATAGTCATCAACTGCCCCTGTTCCTGTTTGCTGACCACCTCTTGCTTGTTGGACTGAGGGATCCTGTGCATATTTTTTTTTTCAAATTGAAACATTACATTAAATCATTGTAAAGAACAGTTCACAACAATGGACAATTCACAAATATATATCATAAATTAATTACAGTAGTTCAATGAAATATGAATGAGAGATTAAAGTTGCTTTAATCTGTAAATATTAAATACAGTAGGACTAACTAAAAACTACAAGCACGCCCACTGATTATGTTTAATTGATTAATGAACCCAGTGTTTTCTTTTTTGGAGTAACCTAAACTATCCGTGAGATATAAAAAAGGACAAACGTACTGTTGCAAATATGTTTATATATTTAAAAAAAAAGAGAGATTTAAAAATATGATTTTGTTTATTACGTGTTCAAGCTAAGCCTAATCAATATGTTATTAGAATAAATTACCGCAAACGGATTTGCTGCTTCTGGATCAGCGAAGGGGTTGCTATCTATTTCCGACATGGTTCGCAAATTAATGAAAACAAAGACGTTTTATCCTTAGTGTTTAGACATGCGTTGTAATTTTTGTTTTGGGGGATGACTTGTCTTCGAGATATGGCAGAATCCCGGCTTCCGCATAAATGGAGCATGCGCAGTAAGGACAGTCACATGAAATTACATCATTTGAATACATTCGTGAATTTCAAGAGTTTTCGTTTTGATTTTAAGAAAACACTAGAGGAACATCTGGTGCGTTTGATTACTCACCAATTACTGTATGATTATGACAGCATGTTTAAAAAAAAAAAACGTGAATTACTGATCAAAAATAGTAAAGGTTTAATTGCATTTGTTTCATGTACCTAGTATGTATAAACTTTTCGGCCCCGTATACTTGCTAACATTTGTCAACAGATAAACTAACAGACAAAATATACTTTTAGGCCAGGGATTTTAATTCTTCGGATGTCATTTACGGCATTCATTCCTCCTGATATAATTTGTTATTTTGCTTCAAGGCATTCTTTTTTCTATTTTGCACGTGGAATTCTATTATATTTGTTTTAACTTCAAATCAGAATTCGGATTGACACAATATTTTATAGGTTACCGTAGTCAACGTGGTCAAGACCCCAATTGAAAATTTCTAAAAAGTTTGATTGCCATTTTATCTAGAATCAGCTATCTTCAGAAATAGCGATTTTCGGCATCAAATATACAGCAATACATGCTTTCTTTCCTCTTACATTGATTATATGTATGGATTTAATTACGAGAGCTACAGTTAACTGGCTAATTTCACGCAAACAGGTGTTTCTTGTGACACGATTGCGGTGTTTTTCTTTGAAGTTTGCTGTTCTGTATTAGCAATACAGAACGGAAATACAGTGGGCGGAGCTACTTTCCGTTCTGTATTAGCTCTGTATACTGTCTTGTATTAGCCAACTGTTCTGTATCTAAAATACAGCACGGTCTAAAAATAAATCTGATTCAATTTATCAAAAGCACGTACAAATAGTAAATGCTAAATGCTGATCATAAATTTTGAAGAAATATTTCCTTAGGAATGTAAAATGTCAAAATTTCTCAATCACTTTTAAAAAATTATTCCACACAGAATCTACACGTTATTTCGATCCAAACGAAAAGGAAAATTCGCAATTATGGAAAACATCCTATGTTAGAGAAATTCCTGAAAACCTGTTTGCTTTCACTGCTTTTTTGTGTCCCCTTCAAAATAGTAAAGCCAATGGGTTCGCGGATGCAGCATACATTACGTGAAATTCGCACCCCTCCCCCATTTTCCACTCTTCTCGTGTAAACTCAATCAAGTCTATTTTTCAGGATTTTTTTTTTAATTTCATCTTAAATCCTTATCGCTGACGACTGCCGCACATCTCTTTCACTTCGTTTTTAATGTCGCATTTCAATAAGAAAATAAAAATCCGTAACATCAAAGTCCATCGAAAAACTGTCTGTATCGCCTGTATGTGTATCTATAGTTAACTGAGATTTTAAGACCCCTGAAATAAATTCGGATCAATCTCCATATGCATTTACAACAAGATTAAATCGTCCACCTTATCAATTAAGACTGACTTCGAGTCTGTTACGTCTACCCCGTTGTCAAAACTAATCTGACTAAATCTTACGTTGTCCGTGAAAATATATATATACTCCGGATGTATACTCCCCGTCGAGGCCTCATCTACAGAAAGAACAAACGAACTTTGCGGGCGAAGTTTGGATGCTGCACAGGTATGAAGTAGGCGGTGCTTTTTTTTTTATTGATCGTGTCGCAAATCATTTAGAGAACGAGACAGGTTCTGTATCGTAGATACAAATTTGGGGGTGGAGACTCGTACTACGCACTCGTCCACCCCAAATTTGTATCAACGATACAGTACCTGTCTCGTTCTCTAAATAATACATATAACACAAAAGAATGTCTACCTCCGTTTATAGGGCACAAACTACGGTACTTTTTATTTTGCTATACATTCCTTTATGTGTAATGTAAAAATCAATTTTTTAAAAAAATCAACCCGGCTCAACTCACTTGAAACTTGGCACAGAGCTAGTACAATTCATATCCCAAAATTTCTATTTTCTACCGGTAAGCGACCACCTTCAAAATTCTGACTATTATGCTACTAGGTGTGCGCATGTTAAAAAAAAATAATAAAATTGTGATAGTCTATTAACAGGTGAGTTTAAAAAAAACAATAGGCTGGGGACTTATTGACGGAGAAGAGCCTTGAAGCAGTCAAGGCTCTGGGCCATCCCAGTAGAGGTGGATAGGGCGTTCCACTTCTCGATGGTACGTGGGTAGAATGATTCCTTCCTCACTGAAGTTCGGCATGAAGGTTTTGAAATGCCAATATATTGTTGTTTCTAGATGTTCTGTCTTGGATTCTAAGTTTCTGGCTAGTGTCAATCTGAACTCTGTTGTTAACCAGCTTGTACTTGACACTGAGGCTAACTATCCTTCGCCGCTCATCTAGCTGTTTAGTGATGGTCATTCAGCTGACTGAGCATCTCGGTTACGGACGAGATGATGTGATATCTATTGTGGACATACCGGGCTGCTCTGCGCTGAATCATTTCAATTTTATTAATATATTCGATCAGTGCATATTATCTATTCAAGATATATTACTAAAGTCAGGTACTCTTCACACAATTGCTCCGACGAAAATAGTTCCATTCATGATCAGTAGATACAAGATTACAACAAATGTTAAGAATAATGATGTATATTTAATACGTTAAAGAAAACAAAATTAACGTAAAAAGATTTTAAGAAAATCATCTTTTCCCCGGAAAAGCAAATAAAAAGTTTTCATATTCCTACGCTCGCTGCCTCCTCAGTCTTTTTCCCGAAAATATATAGGTCATACTTCGATTGATAATGATAAATCTTTTCACCAGTTATATTACTGTCATTATTATTGTTCGTTCATTGCCTTATAATTTCTTTTGAATGGATATGTTAATCATTAACTGTGTTTTTTTTTTCTCTCTTTTAATGAATAACGGAATGGTTATTATGGTTAAACACCTGCAATCGTAACCTCTCGGCAAAGCAACGTAATGTTCCGAGCTCGTCTGAAAGGAGCTTCGCACGTGTGTAGACCTAGGCTATTTGGTCTTGCAAGCACAGGTGTGTGCACCGTTTGCTAGAGACGCTTAGATCACGTAGACTGGGTATCAGTATTTGCTACGGAAATGAAGAAGTTTAGAACTATACACCAGTTTCATAAGAAGTGCAGGTTTTTTACTCAAGCCCTAAATTGGGCTAGAGGGGCTGAGTTGTCTAAAACGAGACTAGGTCATCGATCTACTCAGTTTAAAAACACGAAAATATACTAAGTTTATCTTCAAAACATCTGTATATTCAAAATCTATATTAAGTGTTAAATGTCGGATTCTATCCTATGACGAAGGAATATTCAGTGATGCTCCATAGCCGCAACCGATCTCGCGCTTTCCTTTGCGTTTAACAACGGCCGTCAATGCATCTCTGGACAAGTTCATTGATTACAAGTTCATTCGTTCTAAAAGGTGACATGTTGACTATCTTTAACATCTGCCTATGGATGATAGTAATTTAATAGCACAAAATTAAAAAAATAAATTAAAATCTATCCTTGATAGATCTATAGTTTTGCTATTTATAAAAAAAAATGGGCTATCTTTCATAATCCATAACGGCTTGAACTTGATTTGAATTTTTTTTTACAGAAGATTATATCATTGGAAAGATGGTACACATGTAGCACAGGCCCATATAGTACGCGGGATTTTTTTCGGAGCCCCCCCCCCCTTCACTTTGAAAACGTTGCTACAGGCCTGTAACATGCTATTTGGTTTAAATATTCCTGAAAATGAAGGTGTTAAATACATTTTTAAAATTATATGATTAATTATATTTAGTCTATGTTCTATGTGAAATTAAAACTATTTTTAGCGACTTTGTGATAGTCACTACATGCATCTACATCTACCGATATATATGAACATGCAGTTTGTTTCCTAGTACATGCATATTTTATTCAACAAAAGATGTTGAAACCCAGTAGCCTAAATATTTTGTCGTTTTAGGATATTTATGGCACTTTTATTATGACTTTCTACAGCTTGAGTATCTCTGACGTTTTGTCAGTAAATACTTGTTTTTTTTTTATTAGAAATCATCTGAGCACAATGAAAATTCGAATAAATTAAAAGTCGAATATCTTGGATATGGGGTAACCCATATCTATTCTTGTTAACATCTGACTTTTGATAAGGATTCCAGACTGCATTGGCATACTCTATACAGTTGGTCTTACTAATGATTTGTATGCTCTCTCCTTGATGTTGTTATTACATATGTTGATGTTTCTTTTGAGAAAGCCGATGGTGCTCTTTGCTTTATCGGCGATGTTATTTATATGTTGAGTCCACTTCAAGTCTGACAAGATGGTAACGCCTAGATATTTTGCAGAAGGAATATGCTCTAATTGGTGGCCATGTAGGATATAGTTCTTGATGACTCTACGATTCTTTGTGATGCTTAGCAGTTAGCACATTATATTTCTCTGAGTGGAACCTCATGAGCTTTTCATTTTCCCAGACTGCTAGTTCGGTTAGGTCGTCCCGCAGCTTCTCTGCATCCGCATCTGATGTGATAGTCATGTATGCTACATTATCATCAGCGAAGAGTCGTACAGTTGATAGAAGGCCTTTGGGTACGCCTGAGTCTACTTACACCTCTTCGAATGATTCCCCCTCTACGACCACCCCTTTGCCTGCGGTCGGCAAGGGAAAATTGTCCGTTTAAAAATGACTTCTTTCTGCAAAATATCTAGGTGTTTAAAAATTGTTTGACAAGGGAAAATTCAGAATCTGCTGGTTCTGCTATGGCATCACATGTAGGTACTCCCTACTACCCTGCATATTTCACTTTCCCTTTGAGGAAAAGGTAAACATGGGCCCTCTATACCTTCCTTTTACACATTTTGATAGCAAATTTCTCATTAATATACATTTTAATCTATTCTTTTCCATCTTCGTCCTGAAATCAACCTATTCAACCCCAAATACATCCACAGGAACTGAGGAATCGACTGTTTTAAGAAATAAAACCCCTCTATTTTTAAACAGACAATATTTGCGTGGTCAATGAAAATAGGGGTAACCAATCCCATCTTTTGCTTTTTAACATCAGAAGAACAACTAAGGATTGCAGGCCCCGACATCCTTTTGATTTCTTTTTTTATTTTCTCTTTTTAAGTATTTCAATTTATTTATTCATTCATTTTACTTTTGAGCACACATAATATGCCCCCCCCCCCCCCCACCACCACCACGAGGAAGATCGATAGACCTCTGACCAATTAGTTTCCTAATTCTAAAATAAAAATCTGTAAAATTTAGGATCCTTCCCTCAAAACTGCTGATATTAATTCTCTTGCACTACTCACTGGAGGGAAAATCACTGATTAGCGCTAATTTCGCTTTTATTGAGTTCACTCCAAATCTAAAGTGTACATATATGTATAAATGCAATAATGTGTATAGGTCGCCCGCGTGGCGCAGTGGTTAGAGCGTCTGCTCTAGAGTCGCGAGGTAAGGAGTTGATCCTTACGTCGCGGGTTCGAATCCCACTGTGGGACGTGGAGACCGGTCCTTCGGATGAGACCGTATATAAACTGAGGTCCCGTGTCGCAGTAGGTGTTTGCACGAAAAAGACCCCTCACTGCTCAATGGCCGTAAGTGCCGAGCATAGGACAAAATTTGCAGCTCTCCACCGGCAAGTGAGTGAAAAATTCACGAGAGGGACGTTAAACAACATACAAACAAACAATAATGTGTATAGAAATTCAATCGGGATCGGGATGACCAAAAAAAAAATTATTTTCCATCAAAATCTTTTTTTTCCAAGTATTTTCAAATGAAAACACCCAAGGAATAAAATTGTATTTAATCTAATTAATAGAACATGATATACAAAATGATTATTAACTCAATAATCCAAGCATTTATCTGTTTATTTGAATTTACCAAATTTAACTAGAGTTCTTTTAGGTTCCATAGAGTTCTCTAGAGTTTTCTGTTTAGCTCTGTTTAAAAGGCCTTCATATTTTCACATTAGAAGTACAGCAAAAGACTATTCTTAAAAGATACCACCACCACCACCCTCGAGTAACACAAGACGAAAGACGTATCATCATGTAATCAAACGCACCAGATAACCGGAAGTTGTAGCAGAAGCCATTGAAAACTGGGAACACCTGCCACGGCAGCGGCTTTCTGAAAGATGACGTCCAACAGCTTTCAGTTGGGTGGAACTGGGTTTGGTAATGACAAACCACCATCTACTGGTAGCGGAGAGGGAGATTTTTCCAATGATCCTGCGAGCAACAGCTTCTTTAATGAGAATTTTAAACGGTACAGAATTGCAGAAACATGACCTGTCAGCCTCACATGACAGTCACGGACACCCTATTTAATCTTCTCTCCTGATATTTTTTACCAGTTATTACTATTACGACGTCAAACTTTAGAGAATCAGATAAATTCAGATATTATGATTATCATTTAATACAGTCGTTTTACCGGTAACGAATCGGTTTGTTGTTACGTCTTGCACGCATCTTACATGGTTGAAGTTCCAAATGTTCTTGGTTGTTATTTAATTTGTATTTCTATGCTTTTCAAATAAGTGGTACCCAATCTCCCAAAATATGAATGATACAGGCACAGAGATGTCAATTACAACACCCCCCTATTTTCCTAGTTTCGAATTGATTTTTCAGTATCGAATCGAACGCCCTCTACTACTGCTGACCCAATAAATAAAATCGGCTGGTCGAAATTATTGTTGAAATATGCCTTCAAGAAAAGTCTACAAAAAGTATATTAACATAACTTGTTGATTTAAATGATTTTTTTTCTAAAACTAAACAGTATGAAAAATTTTGCATTTAATGATAAACTTTTCATGATATGCTTTATCAAAATTAAATCAACCATCTCAAAGACATAATTTTCATGGAATACCTTTGCTTGTAATTTATTTTGATAGTATTTTTACTTCTGTGAGCTTTTCAAGTTCTTGCATCCTGTAAAACAACATTTTTCAAACTTCAAAAATTCATGATTTGAAACTAGGAAAACAACATGTGGTTAGTTTGGATGTTATAATTTCATTTAAAAGTCAACTATTATTTATTTTAATATTTAAACTAGTTACAGTTATCCTAAATATTGATAACATATTCATTCTGGATCAACAACACACTGAAAAGTTTGATTTAGACGCATTTGTTCACACACACTCGTTTTCTATGACTTGCACTTGCGCGTGTTCAAATCTGGGTCATTGTTTCAAATTGTAAAATAGCATGAAAAATAATCCAGCAGATGTTACAAAGACACAACACAGGGATAGAATATTCATCCTTTTATTGTATTTACCTAGTAAGAAAATTTTAAACCCATCACTATGTTTGTTAAGAATAATTGAATAAAAAAAATATTCGATACTGGCAAATATTCGTTACTGGTAAAACGACTGTATAGAGTGTTGGAGACTAATGTCCATGACTCAATGCTGCATTATGCACCGTTAAATGATAAAAATGTTTGGTTTGATTATTGGGACAAATGCAGCATTAGTAGTTAGAATAATCTAACTGTGTCTCGGGACAAGCCCTCACCACAGTTAGAATACGTCCCATATACTTGTAATGTAGCAAATCGGAGTGGATCCACTCCGAAATGATTTTGAAGAATACAAAAGGAGTTGCACTGAAAATAACTACCAAATTAATCATAACAAACCTTTTTGAGATGGTATATGTCTTTTAACTTAAAAAATAATCCATATAAATACGAAAATTCAACTCATTTTCTAAACGTTTTTTCCTCGCTTCAAATTTAACGCCATGTTGACATTCTGACTCTCTGGATTGTTCATAGAAAATGCACAGAGTACGAGTTATCGCCCGTGTTTATTTTGCAACATTGCCAATACACGGAACGAATTCTATCATAAAACCGGGTCCATAGGACAATATCATTTTAACGATAGAACATTCTATCTACAGCATTAGATACAGCCATTGTTATAAACAGTATTGAACAATATAAGGTTCACAAACATTTCCCATAAATGTCTTGGTTTTTCCTTGGTACTACTTGTCAATTCCAGCGATTTTTTTCTACCCATGGGGAAAGGGTCCAGTACCGCTTCAATTGGGAAAAATAGCATCGAAGTAGAACAAAGGAGAATTTTCTGCCTTTTAAACAAATGAAACGTATTCTGCGTTTATTCCAACCTCATTACCTATTACACTGTGTTTTAAAGAATCAACACAAGTATTTATTGTTTTTCATATCAATGTTCCCTGTTTTTGCATTTTTATGCTTTCAATTTGTCAAAATGTACACTACGCTGTCTACACCACAGGTCCTGCCATATTACGACTAATCTCTGCTTTCGATTTAAGCGGAAGTGAAACAATTAGTCAACTTGTACAACATTTCATATAAAAAAAAAACAAAACACGATGTCATCGTAGTCTGTTGCTTGGCAGTGGAATTGGGAATTTTTAGTCTCAAAATTGGGAAAAATTAACATTTTTTGGTATTGGGAATGGTACCGTTTATCGGTACCACTTATATAAGGAATATAAACGCTGAATTCATTTTTTGCCTGTGTTTTGATATCACACACCACCCTAATCCTGGGGTTCCTTTACTCTTACCTTTACATTTAACCTCTTACCCTTTTATATTTTGAATAATGCTGAAGAGAGTCAGAGTGGACATCTTGCAAAATTCCCTACAAGATAGTTACCAGCTTTCCTTACAACCAGGGAGTTTCCACCAACCTATGTAGGGCCGAATTTAGACACTATTCCCAACTTTAAATTCCTCCCTCCCCCCACCAAATTTAAATGTGTGTTCAATTTTTAAATGCACGAAAACTAACAAGCTTTACTGGGCCAGAATATGGGTAAAATAAGTATGGTATTGGTCTGAAATCAACGGAATGACAAAAATTTTAGGAAGCATGGTCTTGTTGATGACTGACAGTTTGTTAATAGGTATAATCTCTGATTGATAGATAAATTAGATCAAATTTACTCATCAATTTTGTTCATGTCCTTAAAATTGTCATGCAATATAATTTCCCAATAAGTGATCAAATGTTGAAATTTCCAATTCCAAGGGTCTAAGCCCCATTCCCAAAATGGAGTAAAAAATCCCTATCACTTATTGTCTTCTAATATGAAATGCTCAACCTTTTAGGCTTAGTTGTAGCGATTTTACCGATCATTATCAGAGGTTAATTTTTATTTGAACAAAACAGTATCTTGCAAATTTTTAAAGGATTTCTTCATTTACAGTGTTCTCCATTTATTTCAAAGTAAAGGGTTAGAGATCAACTTTGGGTTGAAGTTTTCGACAAATCTCTGTGGACCTTACAACAATTAAATTTGATTTTTTTTTATTTCAAAGCAGCATTTTTAGCAATTGAAGTGGTCAACTTGGCCGGCAGCCAGTTCTTAGGGAAAACACTGATTTATACATTAATTTTCATGTTTTCCATGTTGCCTTCCTGCTTGTACTTTCTATATTTGCATATTTTGATTCTTAATCAACTTACCTTTGTGCTTTTCTTCCTATGTGTGTAAATTTAAAACAGAAATGAGCTAAATGCAGTGGTAACTCTTTGAGATGTATGAATCTGATAATCAATCATGAAAAAAATAATCGATCATTGAAATTGGGAGTGGATGTTTTCTGATTATCAATGCAACTCTTCGTACAAGACTTGTTGTAGAAAGATTAACTAACATTTTTATTTCCCAAAACTTGCACTGTTGAAACACTGTGATCACTGACAAACTTCCACCTTGTCTGTTCTCAGAGTTGCTTCAGTTCTAACTAGGTGGATGTTGTTGGCGATCATGGTGCTTAATCAGTGCAACATATGAATCAGCAAACACAATGTAATCTTTGTGATACAAATCTTTAGTACATACTTAGTAATAAATACAGTTTTTTTTTCCATATATGATATGCCAATGTCACAATAGCTGTATCAGTTTCCAGGGCTGATAGCAGCTCTTGCAGGGTTGATATGAATCTGCTCTGCAAGGCTGGTATATATCACATCCCTTGTAGATTAAACACCCCTTGTAGATTTAACCTTTAAAAACTTGTGATAATAGATTAATACACCTATTTTTTCATTCACATTCTCTGTTAAAAAAATTAATTGTAAATTACTGTTATTTGTTAAAGAAAATCAAAACACCAGCTGCTTGTATGGATTGCTGGGTTTTCTTATTTCATATTTTTCATGTGAGTGAAATTCATGTCTTTACAGGTCACTTAAGATTAAAGTAGAGCAATGTGTGTCTGATTGAGTGTATAGAACATTTCATGTTTTCTTCGTTCCCATATGCTGAATGTAAAAAGCATGTGCAATGTTTATATACTGGACATTCAATATGACAGAGTAATAACTATAGCTTGTACTTTAGGATATCAGATCCATCAAAATGTCCCACTTCATAACCTTGGTAACCCAAGACATAAGCCAGTAGTTGAAAGATTTTTTGTTGTGGTAATTCAAATTAACTCCATGCAGTCAACTGTGTTTATGAGAGGTTTATTATAAGAAATAATTTTATTTCAGGCATGAAGATTTAAAAGCAATGTTAGATGGAAATAAAGACAACTTGAAGTTAGATGCCATGAAAAGAATCATCGGGGTAATGTTCTTTAGATCATTTGTAAGATGAAGTTTATATTACTGATCTTCATGAAAGAGCCTCTGATAATGATTAATTAATAGAAATCAAAAGGATTTTCAAGTCTTCAGGAACTGTAACAGTTCTTGCTACTGACAGTTTAGTCAGTTTGAATCAAATGCAAACAAAAGATAGTGATAAATGTATGGACCCTGTTTTACAAAAGAACTAAAGACTAAGTTGGAAGATATCACATTGTTTTAAAATCTAATCAACTTTATAATTTGATGAGATTATACATATATATAGTTACAACTGATTTTTTCTTATTTTTCTTAAAATTACAATTAAATCAAGGTAAATCATTAAATAAATTGCAAAAGTAAATTTTGGTCTTCGTCACAAGTCCGTTATAAAACACAGCCCTGTTGCTCAAGTTGAATCACTGAAACTATCAAAGATTTAGGATATTATTGTCCTAAAGTGACTTACTTTTACATTGCACAGATTATACCTTTTCAAAGCTTTCTGAACAGCACTAATTCTGTAGTTACTTTTACATGTATTGAAGTAATGAATGTGTTAAATACATGTAATCTGAATTTGAATCTGCACTGCATTTGATTTTTTTTTAAGTGTTTTAGAAGACAAGAAATGTTATACAGTATGACCCCATCAAAGGTTCAAATGATGGAGAGTATGGGTATCATAAGTGTTATTCCAAACAATAACTTTTGGGTCTCATTTTCCAAATAATGACTCTTTAAATGTAATACTTTGACAGATGGTAGCGAAAGGAAAAGATGCCTCAGATTTATTCCCTGCAGTAGTGAAAAATGTAGTCTCTAAAAACTTGGAGGTAAGAAAATCTGATGGTAATTTTCAATTAACATAGGATTTTAGTTCCAAGAAATCTCAACTTTTTTAATTTCTTTATTCTTGTTCTTAAGGACATTTTATAGACCATTTTCAGTTCACCTTAGGCAAAAGTTCATTTGAGATTCTCTGATCAGGAGTTGTTTGGCACATTTAAAATTCTATGTATGCCTTTACAGATTTCCTCAATATCAAGAAAACTTAAATTTATAAACCTGCAATTGGTCAATATTCTGTATTTATAGCATATATGCTTTAGTTTTTGGCTACCATAAGGAGTTTCATTCAAAAATAATTTGTTAGAAAAGAAATTGTAACATTGGTGAGTGTTGTTGTTTATGAGCCTCTTGTCTTCTTATTGCAGGTCAAGAAACTTGTCTATGTCTACCTGACAAGGTACGCAGAAGAACAGCAAGACTTGGCCCTCCTGTCCATCAGCACATTTCAGCGAGCCTTAAAGGACCCCAATCAGCTGATCAGGGCCAGTGCTTTGAGGGTTCTGTCCAGCATTCGTGTCCTCATGATCTCACCGATTATGATGCTGGCTATCAAGGAAGCTGTAATGGACATGTCACCATATGTCAGAAAGACGGCAGCACATGCAATACCAAAGCTCTACAGGTACTGAATAGGATTTTATGCAAAAATTCACTGCTAAGTTTTCTTTATAATTAGATTTTGTTGTAATTTGATAGTACATGTATAATTACAGAATACTGTACGTGTACATAAATTGGCATATTCAAAATTTAGTGCAATCACTGGCTATGGAGTTGTTGGCGAAATCATGAATTAGCGCTATACATGTCTGTGCTGTATATTGTATTTATAAATGACTTCTTAGCGGCATTGTTATCTGCGTCAAAGCCGCTAAGATATGAAGCCCACTTTTTTAAGTACACATACAGTATCTGCTAGTAAAATAATTTGTAAAAAGGTACAATTTGAGGTAATGAAGGGTATTTTTTTTTTAAGCATTTCATTGCAACAGTGCAGGGCTCGACATTAACTTTTTTTCCGACTTGTCCATTCGGACAAGTGACGACGACATTTACTTGTCCAAACTTCAACTTCACTTGTCCAAAAATTTTTCAATGAAGATATAATACTGTCAACTGGAAAACTAAAAATAAGTCCATTACATGTGCATGATGTTATTTATAAATACAACAAACACATAAAACAAAATTTTATCTAGACTTTCTGTCCTGACAACATAAATTCAACATGAGACAGAATCCAAACTTCGTAAGTTCCATGCCTTTGCAGTAGTATGCAATTAGTGAACTTCAATCCCAATCGAGTGTACTCAATAACACAGAGATCCATATCGGGATCGAAGTTCGTTTTTCATGTACTGTTTCCGTCTTAAAGTACCGGTAAACTTTCAACAGTCGTTCTTTTTAATATTTAGAGACTTCTTTACATTAAAATGCACTTGTCCAATTGGACAAGTGCCCAGCAATATTCACTTGTCCGTAATTTTTTTTCACTGGTACCGGACAAGCGGACAAGCGTTAATGTCGAGCCCTGCAGTGTCAGTTGCACTAGTTACTGCAAAGCAGTCTTGTACATGTATTTAACCTTTAATTTCTATTTAGTCTTGACCCTGAGAGTAAGGAACAACTTGTTGAAGTCATTGAGAAATTACTTGCTGATAAAACAACAGTAAGTATTATCTCTGCATGAAATATAGAAATGTCATTATGTTGCAAATTTAGAATTTTTTATTCTGAAAGTTTTGCATACAACTATGTAATATGTATAGGCAATTTATTGTGTCAATATAGTTGAGCTCTTAATTTATAGCTTGTTGCTGGTAGTGCCATTCAGGCCTTTGAGGAGGTTTGTCCTGAAAGGATTGACCTGATTCACAAAAACTTCCGAAAGCTTTGCAACCTGTTGGTGGACGTCGAGGAATGGGGTCAGGTGGTCATAGTTGGCATGATGACCCGCTATGCAAGGACCCAGTTTGTCTCGCCCAACCAAGATGTATGTATTTCACCCAGTCTAGGGTGTAAGTGGGGCTTTGATATTAAAAATTGTTTCAATATTTCTTATACAAGTGTGGGGAAAATAAGATTCTACCGAAATGTGGAGAAAGTACATTGCATATAATTATGTATACTTTAATAACATCTCTGCTATCTGTTAATTTGAAATGAAAGTTTTCGTCACATGAATTCTATGCATGGCTTTTATATCAACAATTGAAGTATACCTCTTTCATTTTCAGGGCACTGGAGAAGAAAGTAAGAATTTTTATGAATCAGAAGAGGATGAAGACGAGAAAAAGGATGAAGAGGACAACGAAAAAGATTCCAAGAAAAAGCCATACATGATGGACCCTGATCATCGCCTCCTACTCAGACAAGCCAAGCCATTACTCAATAGCCGCAATGCTTCTGTATGTCACTGGCAGAATTACCTACCTCTTTTATTTTTATTCATTCTTAAGTCTTTGACCTCTGATGACAAAGTTAGCAAAATAGCACTTATTTGATGACATGTATTGTATTCCATAGACATTTTTGCTTTGTAATGGGTGAGCGTGAAGAAAATCTGAACTACATGTATATTATGATTTTCTTAAGGTTGTGATGTCTGTAGCTCAGCTGTACTATCACTGTGCACCAAAGTCAGAAGTTGGAGTGGTTGCCAAGGCATTGATTCGTCTTCTAAGGGGACACAAGTAAGGTTTTAATAATGTTGTTTGCTTATGTTTATTTCACTCTCTGGAATCATAACCTTTTAACATGCTTTCTTATGCCCATTTGAAACACACTTTATGTACTTTTTTTTTTACAGGGAGGTCCAGTTTATTGTTTTAAGCAATATTGCCACAATGACAGTTGCAAGAAAAGTAAGCTCTTTCAAATGTTTTGCCATATGGCATGTAATATGTGGTAGATACTGGATGGGGCAATTGAAATATAGCATATGAATCTACAGTTGAACTTTGGTATCTCGAACACAGATATCTCGAATACCATGGATATGTGGAAGTCATTTTGAAGTCCCAATTACTTATTCCTAAAGTAGTTTACCCTGGATATCTCGAATCCTCAGTTATCTCAAAGTATTTTCTCGGTCCCTTGAAATTCGAGATATGAGGTTTGACTGTACATGAATGTTAAATGTTTTTAGACTATTTTTACAAAAAGATGTTGTATTTCAAAACTTGGACCTGTTGCTTGTCTTCACTGTTCTGCTTTATACATTTGAAGTATTTTTTTTCTGATAACCTACATTTGAATATTGTTGAATTCTAGGACATGTTTGAACCATACCTGAAGAGTTTTTATGTGAGGTCAAGTGATCCAACCCATATTAAACTGCTCAAGGTAACTGAATACTTCAAAGTTTGTCTGAGTTTACCTCAAATTTCAATCACAAAGTGGTAAAGCCATCTTTATTTTGTGTTTACAGCTGGAAATTCTGACCAGTTTAGCCACAGAGACCAACATTTCAATCATCCTGAGAGAACTTCAGGTCAGATTTTAATTTTCTTCTTTTATAATTTCCCTTTCACATTCAGTGAATATCACCTTTAGTCTTTACATTCTAAAATATATGTACATCAAACAAGGTGCGTGTTCATGCAACTTTTCTGATATGAATGTAGATTTTTGTCAGTGTCATAAAAATGTTGACAGAATGTGTAAATAAAGTCAACAAAATGACAAACTTTTTTTTTTTTGCAAACGGTAATATATATATGTTTATTTCTGTTTTACTCATCTTAATTTTAACTTAATCTTGTTTCGATTTTAGACGTACGTAACAAGTACTGACAAGGAGTTTGCTGCTGCCACCATCCAAGCCATCGGCCGATGTGCCAGCAACATAGCGGAGGTTACTGATACCTGCCTCAATGGATTAGTCCACTTGATGTCCAACAGGGATGGTAAGACTTACTAAATGATTCTATATTGAGGGGGTGTCAACATTTCTTTATTCTACATGTATTTGTATTTCACTGAAATAACAGAAAGAAGGGAATTAAAAATTTTGTTTCAAATATTGTAATTCAGTTTTCTTTATTTGGCGGAAAATTTTGAAAAGAAATTGTCATTCCTTTTACAGGATATTAAATGTACCTTTGATTTCATTCTTCAGAAAGTGTTGTTGCAGAAAGTGTTGTTGTGATCAAGAAGTTGCTGCAGATGCAGGTGAGTGGATATAAAGGTATGGTTGACATATTTTGCAGACCTGCCTACTCTCCCAATTTACCTGTAATTTTACCATTTTTGACCCCCTAATTTCTAATTAGTCAGATCTCCAGATTTTGGAATTTCCACTATTTTCAATTTTAAAATTATTGTGAAGAAAAATGGAACAGTACAGACACTTGAGTGATAGTACATCATCATATGGTCAAGCATTTATTTCACAAGTAGCTGTCCAAAGGACGGGCATTCGTAGGTATGTCGAGACTGAAATTGCCAAAAAGACTAGTGATATGTAAATAAATTTGCATCTCTACTTGTGATGTCCTGTGTCGTCAAGTCTATGTCATGTATTTTATTAAGGTAAGTACTCTGAGTACAACAGGAAGTTTCTGTTTTATGTGAATACACTTGTATTTTCTGTATTAAAAGTAGAAAAGCTTTGGCATTAAAGTCAAATTTTACAGACAAATAGGTCGAAAAACTACGGAATACAATTTTTTGGGGTAGGCAGGTCTGCATTTTGTATTAAATAACATAAAAGAATAGTGTGAGATTATTTTTGGAGATTTACAGTGTTTTATTAGTCTGAATGGTATATATATTTTTTTTAGTCACAAGAAAAGGGACACAAGACGGTACACATACATATGTATATTTGGTGGAGGGATAGAAAATGGAGCATGTTGTTCCCTTCCAATTATTTTACTATAAATGTCATTTTTATTTATGGATATGTAAAAATTGTACCATTAATACATTAATATGTATTACTGGTATTAATACCACATACATACTGAGGTCATGCTTATGTTTAAGTAGAAATATTCATTGTTTCTATTCAGTAGTTAAAATGCTTACAGGATTATCTCGGAAGAAGTAGACCCGTTTACATAAAGTATTTCAGAGAGACTTTCTTCATAATTTTTAAAAGTAAATCGCTCTGAATTTAAAATTCACATTGATCTTTATTTGAAGTGCATGATATATTGCTCTTGCTCAGATCAAAATTAGAATTATTCAAGTTGTCTAGTTCACTGATTTGGGGCAAAGTGTTTGCATGCAATATCACATATTATTCATAATTAGCGTATGTTGTTTACAGGATTTTTTCACATATAATTCTCTCTTCAGAATATTTTTGCTGCATATCTACATGTAGTTTATTTCATTGTTTTAAGCTCTGTGTATTTATTAGGGCCCTTCAATAAGAAGCAGGAACCTTACAGTAATCACTGGGTCCTTCTGGTTATCACTACTCTCATGTGACACAATAATTTGAGTACCTTTAATCTTATAGACTTCGTATTTACTACTTAAGTGGAGGATGGTTAAAGAAAGACACCTTGTGTGTTTTAGATCATGTAAAAGTTAAAATACATAGTAGATACCATTATCAATACACATGTTTGTGATGCAATAACTTGTCTAGTGTTAATCCTATATGCTTCATACTTAATGCATATGTAGAGAATGGTTAGAGGAAAACAGTTTTTGTGATGACTGTGTCAAAGGTCAAGGATAAGGCTCAAAGACTGTTAAAATGACCATGTACACTACAATTTTATGTGGATCAAAAATCTGTTAATGTGCAGACTTTTTCACCAAACAAACCTGTATAGATTTTCAGGCCATTTGCTCAAAGATCTTGGTCAAAAGGTGAAATTTGATGATACATGGATAAGAATATTGCAGGGCCATGTATGACTGTCAGTTATTTTGGATTGGCATTTTTCAACTAATACTGATATATCACCCCCCCCCCCCCTTCCCCCCAATCTTGACCATTTAATGTGGCAAAATTTGAAGTGTTGTGATGTTCCATGTAAATATATAGAGGTTATTCTTTTAGTCCTCTGAACACAAGGACATTATAACACACATGGCCAAGATGGCAGACCAGATCACCGTTCCCATGGCCAGAGCCAGTATTCTGTGGTTGATTGGAGAATACAGTGAGAGGGTGCCAAAAATAGCACCTGATGTTCTTAGAAAAATGGCTAAAACATTCATTAATGAGGTAGGTACACGTAGATTTGTGATTTGGCAATAAGATTTTGGAGGAGGAGGAGGAGATTAAGTTACTTGCAAGAAAGAAAAGATTTTCTTTGAACTGTAGATAATCTTTTTAAAAAAATGTGTGAGTTAAAAAAAAAGGTTCATTGTAAACTGTTGGAGAAGCTTCAAAATTTTGTTAATTTTTAGATAAAAGTAAATGTTTTAATGTGTTTCAACATTGCAGGAGGATATAGTAAAATTGCAGATCCTAAACTTAGCTGCCAAACTCTGTATAACCAATTCCAAACAAACCCGTCTCCTCTGTCAGTACATCTTCAACCTGGCCAAGTATGACCAAAACTATGACATCAGGGATCGGTCACGATTTCTGAGACAGCTGATAATGCCAGCCGAGAAGGGGCCACTGGCAAAGCATGCCAAGAAAATACTGCTGGCAACAAAACCTGCTCCTTTACTTCAATCTAAATTTGAAGGTTAGGATCAATATAATTCTTACATACTGAAGCTAGGCATACACTTGTAAAAGTTGGTATATGATTTTTTTGGTTGATTGCTTTTCCTTTTTTTTCGGGGAGGGGGGTTCAGTGTTTTTATCCCTATGAAGTGAGAAGAAGTAATTGAAGTACATGTATGACAAACTTTTAATTACTGCATATACATTTGGTATTTCCATAAAAAATTGTTTGCAGTGAAGGAATTATTACATTGACAAACAAGATATCACTGAAAATGCGTAATCTTTGTGTCAGTTTTGCTACTTTCTTGCTAGAGTAATTCTGTGGAATTAAAACTGTCTTAAAAGTAAATGGAAAAAAAACAATAAAAATGATAAGAAATGATAAATTTCTTGATAAAGTGAAAATGTATTTTCCTTATAAAGCTTGAAAATATATTTAACTTTGAACCAAACTGAAGTTCTCTGCATATTCACACTGGAAAAAATTTCATAAAATTCTTTCAGATAGGGACCTATATCAGTTGGGCACACTGTCACACATACTGAACAACAGAGCCACAGGATACAAAGACCTACCAGAGTGGCCAGAGGAAGCCCCGGATCCCTCCGTCAGGAATGTTGAACTTCCTGTCCCAGAGGTCAAAGGAAAAACAGAAAGAAAGAAGCCTACAAAGGAGAAAGGGTTTTACTCGGAAACGGAATCCAGCTCAGAGGGTGTGTTAAGATTTTGATATCCACTGTTGTTTTATGAAAATAGTTTTATCTCTGTCATTGACTCTACACAGAAGTTACCCCAAGAAATATGATAATATCATGTACAATAAGCATGTATGTTCATTTTTCTTATGGAATGAAACATTTTAAACTTATGTATAGTGTACTAGAATAAGTTTTGATATATCTGCTTGTTATGAAAAATGTAACTTTGATAATGCGTATAATAAAGATACATCATTTTGAATGTCAGATGAAGACTCTGATGAAGAAACTGAAGATTCTGAGGAGGAGGAGGAAGAGGAAAGTGATGAGGACAGTGGAGCTGAATCTGATTCTGAGGAAAGTGAGGAAGAAACAGAGGAGTCAGAGGAATCCGATGTTCCTCAGAAAAATGTTGTTGTCAAGAAGACAGCCAAGGTTGTAAAGAGTGAATCTGAGGAGGAGGAGGAGGAGTCATCGGAGGAAAGCTCCTCAGAGGAAAGTGAGGAGGAAAAACAACCACCACCAAAATCCAAGCCTGGAAAAAAGGCAAGTGGAGGAATGGGCTTGTTTAAATAGAAAAGATCATGTCAATTATGAAAATGAGTAGACTTGATGAGTATATGTATCACACTCGGCTCTTTATTTCCAGAAAACAACAAAGGCTGCAGAGTCTACTCAACAGAATAATGCAGATTTACTTTTGGATCTAGATTTGTGTAAGCAATTCTATATTTATCCAAGGACAGAAACCAAATTTGAGTGCAGTATTACTTTAATATACAGCTTATAAATACAATACATGTACATGGATTTAAAAAAAAATTAAGGCTTTAAGAATATTCTGAATTGATGTTATGCTTTAGATTAGTGATTGGATATGAGAGACATTGCATTAAAACTTGCTTTTCTTTGAAAATAGTTGGATCCACCAATGGAGTGACCAGTAGTGGGGGTACACCAGGTGATATTCTGACCCCAAGCATGGCTAGTGCCATGAGTAACTTGTCCATCAGTTCAACACAACCTAGCAGCTCCTCTAATGTAAGTTTTCTTGATATAAAACAGAAATTTCCTAATCCCTATATATATGTATGTTTAATTGTGTGGTGTTTTGTACTTTTGCAGTTTGTTCAGCCCATGAACATTGCCTTGAAGTCCTATGAACTCCTAAACAGGATGACAGGCAATGGATTAGGAATTACATACAAGTTCACAAGGACTATTTCTGTCTTTTCACCTAAAATGGTATCCATAGAATTGACATTAACAAACCATGGAGATAAACCATTATCAGCCATAAAAGTAGGAAAAAAGGTCAGGATTTACAAGGCTTCATAAAACAGTTTTAATTTAATTGGTTTAATTTTCATAAATTCCAGTCATGAAATTACTGCATATAAAGAGACATTTCTTGGATAAGATTTTTATTTATCTTTTACTTTCAGACTTTACAACCTGGGATGGAAATTCAGGATTTCCCAGAAATAGGTAAATGCTTCACTTTCTTATCAGATAGAATCTAACCTTCTAAAAATGGAAAAGAGATTTTGGGGAAACCTGCAATATAAAATGAATGTTTGTATTGTATTTTATAGCATCTCTTGGAACTGGGGCATCCACCTCAGTACTGATGGCGATTAATTTCAATGACACCACTCAGCCTGCCAAGTTTGAGATTTGTACATTAGAACAAACTTTTAATGTCAGCATAACAGCACCTGTGGGGGAATTGCTTCAACCTCACACTATGGGGCTCCAAGATTTCACCCAGCAACAAGGTATGGACAGGAAATGTCTAGAACAAAACAAAATAAAGAATGCTAAGCTTTATTAAGAAACATGTAAATAATTCCTTACGTTACAGAATCGTAATTCAAAAACATGATCTTAATGCAACCACTGTTTATTCCTAGAAATTGCTACTTCAAAAAACTTTAAAAAATAAATAAGAAAGTTTTTAATGTTTGTTTGATGGGTCTTCTTATACATGTACATATAGTTAATGTATTGCATTTCTCATCCATCCACCTGTCTGTCACTCTATAATAGAATTTATTGTCCAAATTATTTCTTACACACATGAGGGCTAGTACCATGAAACCTGGTCAGTTGATATGTGTGTGTGTGTGTGTGGGGGGGGGGGGGGGGGGGTATTCATGGTTATTCAAATTACAGAAAACTCGTCAAATCCGGACACCAAAGAAACTGTCCGGATTAGACAACATTCTGGATTAGGCAACATTTTAAACAATTGAATTTACTGAAGGGACTTAAACTTTACACCATATTAGGCAATGTTTCGGAAAACACAACATCGGGATTAAACAAGATTCACTCTATATCCTGATCATGTCTTTCACACTGTGAGGACTTGGACCATCAAACCTAGTCGATTGATGCATATTTCGAGAAGACAAGTCTTGACCCCAAAAACAAGATAACGGAGATTTCATTTTAGTTATTTCATAACTTTATGTAGTCAAGTCTTATTCAGCTCATTTCTTCTTTTTGCACACAGGGGCCCAAGGCCATCAAATCTATTCAGTTTGCATATCCTAGGAGTGCACTTGAAAATAAAATTGGGCACTGTATGCTCCATCATTAAACATGAACACCAAATACATGTAGCTTTATTACATTAATGCAAAAGAAACCAATATTTCTTGTATCTTATTTGTTTTTCTTTTCCACAGGCAAATTAAAAGGAATGACAGAAAATACTGGAAAAGTGAAACTATCTGAGAAGAAAACAGACTCCAAATCAATAGTTACCAGTGTAATAACTGTAGCTAATATGCTACAAGTTCCATCAAGTGAAACAGACACGGTCTATCGATTTGCAGCAAAAACTATGACAGAGGGGGTGTTAGTCCTTGTGTCTGTAGCTGTAAATGGAGATTCTGCAAACATAGTTGTTAACTGTGAGAAAATGGTCATAGGGACCATGCTTCTAAAGGACCTTAAATCTTTACTTGGACAAAGCTAGAGAAAATTCTAGTGTTAACAATTTGATGACAATCTGTTTAAAATATAAAATTATGTGAATTTTGAACAAGTTATATAACAGAGAGAAAGTAGAGGCCATGTTCAGATATGCATAACTGTTCAGCAGGATAAATTTAAATTTGATAATCATATTTTTCGTTAAAGTGTCCTAAATCTTTCAGCAATTGCAGAAGTTAATGCAGTCCAGCTTTAATACAAATATGATTAATTATGGAACTCATCATATACAACAGACATATACCAGTACAACTACTTACAGTACAGTCAATTTACTGATGTTTTCATTATTAATGGCTTTAAATTATATTAAGTGGTCAATGTTAGTGTTATTATATAAACTGCACATACAATAAAGTGTTCATAACATTTGTTGTGTATTATTATCATTGATGGACATTACAACAACCATGTGCTTAAATGAGAAAGTAACAGAGAAAATGTGCTGTAAATTTTGGTTTGATTTCTCTCCCATTCAGCTGGTGGGATAAATTACTAAAAATATGGTAATAGCTGTTGAAGCAAAACGAGAAAGAATTTGCAAAGTACTATGAATGAAAAATGCATTGTTTGAAGGTGGTTATAAGAAATATTTATATTTATTTGTATTCCATCATAAAGTTGAAGTCCACATTTTGTATTTCTTGCAATTATTCATCCACCGTTGATTGCAAACAAGCAAAAATAAACAAAATGTGTTTGTGAAACACTGATGCCCCCATATGACAGCTCATAATGGAGGTTAAAAGTTCTCAAATACAAGTCAAACTCCAAGGTCAAGGTCAATAGATCAAAAACGTTGGTACCCAAAGAAGAATACACCAATATAATTGCCGTAGCACCAACTGTTGAAAAGTTTTGGCGAAGGTTAAAGTTTCTCAAAGGTAGGTCAAACTTCAAGGGCATGGCGAATGTCTCGAATGCAAGTCAGACTCCAAGGTCAAAAGATAAAAAATTCTGGTACCCAAAAAAGGTATTGTCTCAAGAAAACACCTGGGAAATATGAGTGTCCTATCTCCAACCATTGAGAAGTTATGGCAAAGGTTACGGGTATTCCAAGGAAGGTCAAACATCAAGGTCATGGTAAAATGGTCAAATTTAATTGTGCCCAAGGGAAGGTTCTTGTCACAAGATATACCAACGTGAAATATGAAAGCCCTAGCTCCAGTCATTTAAGCTTAACAGTTTTTCAAATTGGGTCAAACTCAACGGTCAAAACTGTTGTACCCAAGAAATAATCTTGTCACAAGTAATACACTTGTGAAATATGAAAGCTCTAGCTCACTAACTTTTCAGAAGTATGGTCAAGGCTGGAAGTTTTTGAAAGTGGGTAAAACTCTTAAGGTCAAGGTCATCAGATCAAATATTTTGGTACCCAAAGAAAGGCTTTGTCATAAGGAAAACACCTGTGAAGTATGAGAGCCCTAACATCCATAGTAAAATTTCTACCAAGACTATATGAAAATATTAATCGCAGAGGAGAAGCTCTAGAAGTACTGTACAACAATGTATTCAAGAAGTGGTGTTAATCAGATGTGGATACACGTACTTTTAAAAACCCCAAAGAACTGTTAGAAATTTGAAATTAAAAATTTAACCAAAATTAATAGAACCAAAACGAACAACTTTCAACATTTTATACAAACATTCGCCACAATAAATTAAAATTCAGGCTTTTTGAACTCATGGACAACTGCTTCTTCAATAATGTAGCTCGTAATTCTGTGTACCTTTTCATTGGTCAACTGCAAATTTATTTTGCCCCCAAACATTCTAATTATAGACACAGTTACTCCAAGATTGTTATTAAAATGACACATGATTTTCTAACTGACATTATCTATTTTATTTTCTTCAACCAGGTCTTCCAACAATCTATTGGGATCCTCATGGGTACTAATTGTGGCCCATTGTTAGCAGATCTATTTTAGAATCCATATGAAGCAGGATTTATGCAAAGTCTTCTATATGAAAAGAAGAAGCCCCTTGCCTGGCCTTTAATTCGATTTTTGTCTCCCGCTTTCACTGTAATTTGGGTCTCTCACTCTGTCCGTCCGTTTAGCTGTATTTCTGTGTGTGTGTAGCACTTTTGTTTCTGAAAGATATCCCAAGAAGCCTTTGAGCTTTTGCAACGAAAGTTTATATTACAAATTCCTATGGTCTAAAGAAGATCCTTATTAATTTTGAGACCAAAAAGTTAAAGGTCAAGGTAATAAATTTATACATTTTATCCTTGTGTAACACTTGTTTCTGGAAGATATCTCAAGAAGTCACTTAGCCTTTGCAATGAAATCTTATATTACACATTCCTATGGTCTAAAAGGACCCCTATTACTTTTGAGGTCAAAAGGTTAAAGGTCAAGGTAATTAATACATTATATCCTTTTGTAACACTTTTGTTTCTGGATAATATCTCAAGAAGCCTTTTTGCAATGAAATTTTATATCTTAACTTCCAATGGCCCAAAAAAGACTCCTTGATGTCAAAGGTTAAGGTCATTATTTCATAATTATTTTTGTGTGTAACACCTTCGTTTTCGGGCAATACCTTAAAAAGTCTTTTGAGTTTTTGCATTGAAACTTTATATCACAACTCGTTATGGCCTAAAGAGCATCTCTTCTGATTTAAGGTCAAATGTCATGATAAAAAAGATCATATATTACAAATGACACTTTCCAGATGATAACTTGGATTTATTTTCCTTGAGCTTTCTTCAATAAAATTAATATCACATTTCCCTATGATGTAAAGAACTCCCCTGTCGATTTTGAGGTCAAAAGATCAAGGGTCAAGGTAATAAAATCACGCATTCTGTTTGTGTGTAACACTTTCAAATTTGGAACAATATCTTAAAAGTCTTTGAACGTTTGCAATGAGATTTTATATCACAGCTCCTTATGTGGTCAAACGGTCAACGGTCATATAATTATACATTGATAACATTTTCCACTTCCTATGGCCTAAAGAGGAACCTATCGATTTTCAAGGTCAAAAGGTCAGAGGTCAGGGTTATAAATTCATACATTCTCTCTGTGTAAATCTTCTCCAGACTAGATCTTGAAAATACTTCTGAGATTTCACATCACAAGTCCAATTGGCCTAAAAAACAAACAAAAACAAAAACAAAGGTCAAGGTACAAAATATATATTGCATATTTGCATTTATAGTTTTCAGATAATAATCTTAGTTTTTCTGTAAGCTTTTGCAATGAATCTTTTTGTCGTGAATTTCCTTGACTTTTAAAAAACTCCCATTGTCTTTAAGACTAAAAGAAAACAGGTTACTTTTTTTCTTTTTCCATTTTCAGAGTTTCTCCAGTTATTCTGTTCTCTTTTTTTCCCCTTAAGCGGGGAAAACAAGTTCTCTGTGCTAACTTGTTAGATATATTGATGACGTTTAATCCACTAACAATATTCCTACGTTGAATAGATATATCCAGTTGAATCAATTTTCATCTTTGGATATTTATTAGAGAACGACTTTGATGTCAATCTGACAACTGGACTTTATGATAAACATGATAACTACAACTTCTCTCTCGTTAACTTCCGTAATTTATGTAGAAATATACATACAGTCTATGTACCATTATCCCCTGCATATTGAGTTTATGTATCCCAGTTAATTCGATCCGCAAGAGCGTGTTTTACATGCAAACAATTTCTCAAATGAGGCAGGCTATTGATAAATAAGTTGATGGTACAGGGATATCAACAATCTTGTTTAAAGTCAACATTTCGCAAGTTTTATTATCGATACAATGATTTTGTCAGAAAACACAATCTATCATAAAGTCGAATGCTGACTGACGGTTTTCATTCGAATTGCTGGGCAATTATTTTCACACTGAATTGACTACATTTATTTCCGTTAACCCGATCATGACAAGGCGGACCCCGCTGGTATGACCGTTCGTCATAGGATACTTACTCATCCATGGTACGTGATCCCATTTAGCTCTGTTTCCAGTTGTACTTTATTTCCAGTTAAGCGACGAATTCCTAAACGTTATTGCGCTTCTACAGGATACCACAAATCAGATTTGGCTGCTAAGTTGGCTAGTGAAAGGGGATCTATGAATCTGCATGTTTTTTGTGTTTAAACAATTGTGTTTTTCCATCCCCAGTTGGTCCTCAGGGTGAAAATGGAGATTCAGAAACCTTAAATTATTGTACATCTACTAGACACCATGAATCATATTTCAAAAGACGTATTGGATATTGCATAAAATGAAAGAGGAGTTCGAGATAGAAAATAATTGCTGAAAAACATCGCTTTTCGATCCTTTATTAGACCACGTTGCGAAAATGAAAAATTCTGAAGCTTTATTGGACATCTACGGGACACCAATTACTAGATTTCAAAAGATGAATTAGATATTGCACAAAATGTGAGAGGACTTGAGAAGGGAGCTTTTGTAGAAAAAAAGTCGTTTTTCGACCCCCACCCCCTGCACACACAATAATTAAGCCTCAAGGGTGAAAATTAAAAACCTTTAGTTGGTACACATCTAAAGGACACCACCAATCATACAGATGAATTGAATTCTACTTTTAAAAATGTAAGAGGAGTTTGATGCAGATGAGAGTGTGACAGACGGGTCCGAATAACAACAATAATGCATATACATGTACTAGCTGCAGAACTGTAGCGTTATGGTTTTAGTCTTTAATTGACATTATGGTCAAAGACTAAAATATAAAACCATAACGCTACAGTTCTGCAGCTATTACATCCACCTGTTTGCTCCCTAAATCACAATTAAGATATTGAAAATTCCGAAGGAGGTTAAGCCATTCCTCTCCTCGTGTGAACACATTGCACCGTTCTCTCACTCTCTCTCTGCGTGTCCAAAGTATGTGTAATTATTTACCATTGTGCGTTACAATCAGGGGCAGATCAGGTCTTGCATTTGTTTTAGGGTGGAGGTTTTGTTAGAATAAATTGATATTTGATATTTTTTACAAACAAAACAATTAGATTAAAAAAAAAATGAAGACGCAATCTCTGGCATTCTAAGCATCATTTGTGAGATGAAACTCGTCGTTTTAAAATATTTTCAAAAATTCATGTAGTCATATTTTTAAATTTATCTCGCTTCAACTTACAAAAATTGCTCCTGTAGCATAGAGTAAGAAAATTTAGCACTGATCCAACTTTTACAACGTAATTTTGTTTTTAAACTGAAGAAGTATAAACTTGTGCTTAGGCTATTCAACTGTTCAGGCCAATAGGAGCCTGACCGAGGGAGGATTCATTTCACAAGTATGTATTATAGATCCGCTACTGAGAGTTGACAGACTTAATTTCATGCTTGAATTCATCTTTTATCTATAGCCCATGCGTGAGAGCTCTAACTTCCGGTTTTCTT